TTTGCAGTTCTTCAGAATCAAGTCACAGACAGATATTAAATTACTTCAAAAGATTGATAAAGATGCCTGCAAGAAGATGCCGGCAAAGCAGTTGTCATTCCTGTTAAAAGCTTCAAATTTCACGTCGATAATGTACTGATTTTAATATAATGTGATATCTCCTCAATATTGATTCGTCCTTTTTCCTGTCACAAAAAAATAGTGTATTGTACACGGGAAAAATATCAGATTTTAGCTCACAGGACCTGGAGCTAAAATCTACTACTTTTTTCCCTTGTATAATTAATAACTATTTCTTCCTGATTATATGTATATTTGGTACTTATGAGGATTTTTTAAAGGACGGCGAATGTGACTATTTATTTTTCCAGACTTTAGATTAGAATATTTCAGATTCAACAACAACTGATGAAGCAAATTGATATGTTCAGAAGCAGCTAGGTTAGCCTCTTGGTCAGCTTACAGTCTCTCGACCAATACTGGTACTGTCTTCATTCATTTGGAAGCGTAATTAATACCTACCTGTTAATAAATGATTCAATCTTTGGCAATAGTACTTCAACCTACTGATTGCGTTCTAAGACCTGAACAGTGAAGACTTCGATGATGACGCCAAAAGTGTTATTTCATTCTCTCTTATTTGTGCCCATATAGGTGGTTCAAGCATTGACTTAAGTACTATCTAAACCGCTGTATACGAACCCTGTCTCAGTGAAGTTGGCCCAAAAATATCAAAACTACGTTTGTTAATAAATTTATCATATTGGCGAAAAAGTGATAAAAACTAAGATGTATTCCTGATAACATACAATATTTCCATTCAAAATTAGCCTGAAATGCTAAATTGTTTTGTAACAGAGAAAAATCATCTCACAAATTCAAGAACACGGGCGATTAATAAAGATCAACTGCTTTACATCGCCTTTGCGACTCATTATTGGAAAATACATTCAATATTGTTTGAACATAATTTGTGGCATTGGGCCAACTTCAATGAGACAGGAATCGTATGTCATATCTCAGCAACCCAAAAATCTCATTGAATATGCTCGCCTGAAAATGATTCTTCTGCTCAAGCAATACCTCAAATTGTCGTCCACGACAGCGAGTCATGTTTCTCGAATTGATGGTGATGTTCGATCGAACTCCAAGTTTTTTCAGAAGATTATCATGTCACTTATGTACCTTAATGTCGGCGATACATCACCTAGGTGTTTCAAATTGTGCATATTAGACTCATTAGCGGCCTAGTATTTGTATCTACTAGTTGTCTTCTATTCCCCAACTTCTAATGAAGCCCTGATTTTCCTAAGATTCATTTATTTTTTCTTCATACAGGTGTCATTGATACCTCTGCTAGGTTGTTCAACCTAGAGTGTCGTTTGTCTGTGGTTCAACCATTAGGTCATATTTGATTTTAATGGTTTACTCCTATCGAGACTTTTATAATAGATCTTTGAATTTCTGGCTCCTATGCGTTGGTAATATACATGATTTAGGTAGTTCAACTTGTGACAATGGAGTATACTTTTCTGCCTCGTAGTAGTAGTCATAGTACTTGAACTATAGAAACCTGGCGATTTTCTTTTATGCAGGCTTTATGAATATATTTTCTAGGTATTTCAAACTCTGGCAGTCTACAGTACTATTACTATACCTACTATATTTCTTCTGAATAATCCCCAGGAATAGTCCTGGCAGTTGTCCTTTCTTCTGCAGGTAGTTCAACTATTGGAAGACTAGGTAGACCAACAGTTGTCGTTTAGACCCAGGTTAGCCTAAAATTTCCTTACAATTTTTCTTTCCACTTTTGTATAGATATCAGTATACCTTTTCTAAGTCAGTCCTTCACCAGTACTTTGCAGAAGCAAAGGTGAGATACATTTTAAAGTTTCAGTAGTAGGTTTCAATCGCTCGAATTCAGACTCTATACGTCTGATATACTCATATTCTTGAGATTCTATTTCAGAGGACAATGCGAGGGACAATGTCTATTCAGATGAATATTATTGAGGTAGGGATACCGTGACCTATTTTCGAATTACCGACCTATGAAAATGACTTCAAAGAACGAGCGAAAAACTGAGCTTATCTTTAGTATTCAGTGTTTACTATTTTGGCACTGGTACTAGTCGGAAAGCGAGTCGGAAAGTATTTATTCACAAACACTTCGACCAAGAAAACGCAATATCCGATTTTATGGAAGGCAAGACGATGTCTTGAAAATCTGTTTTCCATTTCGACGATAATTGCTTATTCATGCTGCTTTTTTCCCCCTCTTTTGTTCGCGAAAAGTTCGAGAAACAGTTTTGCATCATTCCGACAAATTCCAATGAAATATCCATCAGAAAGATAATTTCCATTGGGACCGTATCTACTTCTTAGATTGTTCGCCAGGCTGTTCATCATTCATGAGATTTTCTTATGCAACTTGCTAACAGAAAATTTCAAGATATGTTCACTTTGCGAAGCTTTCGGTTAGTTCGAAGAGTCAACCCTGGAACTCATTCAAATCAAATGAAATAGAATGGAATGGGATTATCTGGTATTTCTTGCAGTCCCTGAGAATTTCGAAATTTTACGGAATTATGTAGTATTCTTTGAATTTCTTCACCACTCGAGAACACTGAGAAGAAGAGAACATCCAATTACTGGGAAATTTCGAGGTGAGTTTTTTGCTTAGGACACTGAATGGGGAAACGTGTGTGAATAAATGAGTAGAAACTAACTTTATACGATACTATTTATTGTTCAATTAGTCATTGTCAAAAACAACAGAACATATAAGTAAAATAATTATTACCAATTGAATCATATCTTACGATATACTGTTGGATTCTGTGATTGGTAAATTAACAAAATGTTGAAAATTGATTTCGTTAGACGTCAGAGGTAAATGATCATCACAATCTTGCAAGTAGTATAACATTTCTTATGGAGTGACAGTTGAATGTAAGTGTACAATTAATCAGTTTGTTGTTTTGATGTCTTGAATTTCTCATCATTTGTACCAACAGTGCTCCATTGGTGCCGTCTTCATTTTATAAAAAATCACTCCTTGGGATGAAATTCAACGACGCCAATGATTTCATTTTACCAGTACCCTGAACTCCACTTTGTGTACGATGTAGTGTGTACATATCTACGAAGATTATTTGGATAATCTTTGGTATTAGTACCTACAAAGAGTCGCAAAACACCTGTCGGTATAGGTACCTTCACCAATCTACCTGCCTAGTATCTAGATATAGAATATAAGAATTCAATTCCTCAGCCAATTCCCAATGAATGACACGGGACACCTGTGCCACAGATGTGCTACTTGTGTGAAAGTTTGAATGATTACTGAAAAATGCAATAGGGAATGAGACATAAAAAATATTTGAAATATCGAGTGAAATATCCTCTAAAATGAATTATCATTAGTACCAGTCCCAACACAACGCTGAGATTGTTCCTTCCTAAAAAAATGATGTGCGATAAGATTGCATATGGAAATTGAATGATTTTCAACATTGTCGCAAAAACATATGATTTCTGAGTTTTCTTGTGTATTCAATGATAACAATGTCTAGACTCATGGATCTTATTGTGATCTAGTTATATTATCGTCGAATGATGAAAAAAATAACTAGGTAATTACAGACTCGATTCTATTTTATGTGAAGGAATTAGAATTACTATATAACCTCGACTATAACCACAGTTTAGGGAATATTACATAAATAAATTCCGTCCTTTAGAATTGAACTCGGGATTGCAGAAAGCGAAAGACCTCAATTCTTTTTTTTATTAGAAGAGAAATTGTTGCATCAACCACTAAGGGTTATGAAAACCATAACAATAGTAGGTATTCTAGTGATTACATTACAGACAATTATGATTTCATTATAATTAAGTTATCATAGTTTGTTAAGTAGACCTATATCAGAGAGGAAACCAAAGGTATTCACAATATAGACCTTACTTCTCTTCCTGTGTCCATAGAACAGAAGAAAATTATGGTATTTCCACACACTACTAGTGTTTACATCTCGGTTCACATAATAGTCATGACAAAATACTTGTTCGCCTCGAGGTTTGTCCCTTAGCAAATATGGCCGACCTGTCAAAAACAGCCGTCAACAGTCAAGATAGTTTTAAAGTTTCATTCTCCAGGCCCAGTTGCATAAATGATTCGACAGATGATTTTCAAAGAAACAATTTGTGTATACTCATGGTAACGTATATATTTCTCCGCTGATTAGATATGAGATTTAATTCTTTTTAAGTGTTATAGCAGAGAGGGTCATATATATAATAATAATTGCCCATTGTAGTATCACTCGAGATTGGAAAAAAGTACGTTTGAATTTGTTTCTCAACTCCCTGAGAATTAGAATAATCCAAAAATACAATACCGAAATTATGCATTAGCAGCAGGATCTTTCAGATTAATGGAATTGAAGAAATCGTAGTTGCTATACTATCAGTGGATTGGCTTCCAGGAAACCAAAATCCAAAATTTGGTGTTTATAGTTTTATATACAATATATATATATATGAGTAGGTGTAGTGTCTATATGTTTAAGAAGGGTAGTTTGAATACCTATAGTTATCTAACTCGTTTGTAAACTCCTCTAGAAGTCTAGATATTCTTTCTTCATCCACAAGAATGAGGTTTATGAGAATTTGAGATATATATCCTCTCTTATTATTATCTGCATATACAATACTTGCTCAGTTATTGGTATTCCTATTCAGTTAAGATGAATCTCGGGTATTGAGAAAAATATACAGAGCCGCAAGTTGCAAACCATCAGAGACACAACTCCAAAAACTTCAAGGATACGAAAATGTTGTGATGTGATTGATAATGTGAGGTGCAGTGGTAGAAGATGCATTAGGGCACTGCACTGGAGCACTCTGGAAGTGAGGTTAACACCGTTAACAACAAAAATCCGAGCCGAAACAACCGACTCGAAAGCAATACAAAACCTGAATAAGGTCAACGAACTTACCAATAACAAACAAAAATATCCAAGAAGAAAGAGCCAGCGTTGTTTCCCTCATAATTCCGAAGCTGCCGTCCTAAAACTCGATTCGCACCTACATATCATCAGATTTGAGTCGACTCATCACGGAAACTAACAAAGTCTCAATGACAACGCGCCAGCATTACTTTCTCGCGAAATCTAGCTACCTAGTCACTGGTCGGCCACGATAACACACGTGTGTCGAAATGCAGAATATTACACACGCTCCTGCGATTCCGCAACAACGTAAACCGTATAACAGTCCCCCGTATTTTGAGTTTCCTACCGCTTCGGTAGTAGTTTCGGTCTGCGAGTCTCGAGTATTGACCGGGAATCCGCTGCTGTCTTGCGCCGAAGATACGCCTCTCCCCCGCTAGCAGGGACGGCGCAAGTGCCTTTTTAGGGCCGGCCAACAGAGCTTGGCCCACCCCAGCCCAAACACATCACCATGGAAAGCTGCCCTTCAACGAGCCTCACGGTACGAAAATGACTGATGAGCTAGATCACCATGTTCAAGTAGCGAGATCAACTTGCTCTAGAAGGGTGCTCATCTTGCCTAACGAGCTGAGTTATATTGCATCAAAATTTAGATCATCTTGCCCAAAAAGCGGTATCATTTTTCTAGAAACGAGATCTTGCTATAAAATCAGACCATCTTGCTTAATATCCAGAAGTCACCTTGGCCAAGGGAACCTGGAACACCGAAATCAACTTGCTCAAGAGTTGAGCACATCTTGCCTATGGAAATCAAAATCAACTTACTCAAGAAGCGAGCATATCTTGTACGAGAAGCGAGGTTTTGAACTCATCTTTCTCAAGAAGCAAGAACAATACTTGCCTGAGAAGCGAGATCGCATATTGCTGAAGAAGCGAGTTCATTTTACTGAAGAAGGGAGCACATCTTGTCTGAGAAGCGGGGTCTTCTTGATTTGAAATTGAAATCATCTTGCTTCAAAAGTGAGATCATCTCTTTGGGAGCAAGATCTTGCTATAGAATGAAAATGATCATTCTCAAAACGCAAGATTCTTGGTCAGTCCGATCACTTCACCGTCGACAGCTCCCCTTCAATGAGCAATAAGTGACCTAGATCACCTCGCTTAAGAAGCAAGAACATCAAATTGCTTAAAAAGCGGATCGACTTGCTTAACAAGGTAGATTATATTGCTTCAAAGCTGAGATAATCTTGCTTGAGAAGCGTGATCATCTTGTTGGAAGCGATATCTTGCTATGGAATCATGAACACATGACATGACCATCGATGAACCTCACGGTACAAAAGTGATAAATGAGCTAGATCACCTTCCTTAAGAAGCGAGGCCATCATCTTGCTCAATAAGCGAGATCATATAGCTTGAGAAGCGAGATCATCTTGCTTCACAACATTGATCATCTTGCTTCACAACATAGATCATCTTGCTTAAGAAGGGAGATCAACTTACTCACGAAGCAAGCACATCTTGATTTAAAACAAGGATCATCTTGCTGAAGAAGCGAGATCATCGTGTTGGAAACGGGATATTGATATTGTTATGAAATAAAAATCATCATGCTCACAAGGCGAGATCACCTTGTTGAAGAAGCGAGTTCCTATCATCAGGCCTAGAAAGCGAAATCAACTTGCTTTGAAGCAAGATTATATTGCTTGACAAGTTAGATCATCTTGCTTTTCAAGGGGATGAAATCAACTCACTTAGGAAGCGATCAGATATTGACTAAGAAGCAGGGCCATCTTGCTGTAGAACTGAAATCATTTGCTTGAGAGGCGATATATAATGTTGCTTAATAAGAGATATTATCTGTTTTCTTGTGCTGAAGATACGCCTCTCCCCCGCTGGCAGGGACGGCGCAAGTGTTTTTAGGGTCGAGCTTGGCTCACCGCAGCCCAAACAAATTATCATCGAAAGCTTCCCTTCAATGAGCCTAACGGTACGAAAGCGATTAATGAGCTGGATCAGTTTGCTCAAGAAGCGAGACCATATCATATTGCCCAATAAATAGCGGATCAGTTTGCTTGAGAAGCGATATCACATTGCTTAGGAAATTCGATCACCTTGCTTAAGAAGCCATAGTCAATAAGCGAGCACATCTTATCGAAGAAGCGTCGTCATCTTGCTCTGAAAATGATATCATCTTGTTCGAAGCGATATCTTGCTATAAAATCAAAACTCAGCGAGGGTGCTGGTCCCTCTAGTTGTTCTCTCCATATTATTCCCTGACAGCTGCAATTCATTATAATATCCATCGTCATTGTAATGCATCATTATGGTTATCTATTCTTCGACGACTAGCTAGTGTCAACCTGAAATGAGGCTCCCCCTGTCTCAACATATCCCGTCAGATATGGAGACGCAATGGCAGTCATGACTTATATGCTTATACTGACCCAATAAAGTATAAGAACCTGTTCCAAGGTGTAAGGCTCGAAAGCAGACAAGTGCTAGGGTTATAAGTACGGGGTGCAATAACAAAATATGAAAACAATAATGGATGAATAAAATAGCGTTACAATCATCTTGCATAAAAAGCAAGATTAACTTACTCAAAAAGCGAGCACTTTTTAGAGCCACCCAAGGGAACTTGGGGCAACCCAGCTCAAACGCATGATCATCGATGTCACCTCACTCAGAACCCGAGCACATCTTCTGTCCAAGATGCCGATACATCTTGCTTTGACACTGAGATCATCTTGTTCTTGCTATAGAATCAAAATCATCTGGCTTAAAAAGCGAGAAGTCACCTGTAACTCCTTGTATCGATTCGCTTCAAAACTGAGATCATCTTGCTTTAGAAGCTTGTAAGAAGCGAGATCTTAGAAGAGAATCGAAATCGAGTTGCTTGAAAAGCGAGATCAGAAACAAGATCATATCGAATTAAAAGCGAGACTTTGCTCAAGAAGCGGGATCATATCTTGCTCAAAGAGTGAAAGCAGGAGCAATATCACATCTAGGAGCAACTACCAACCATATCTTCAGTTTCGCTGACGATATCACTCTAGTAGCGTCATATTCCTCTGATATAACAATATCCGCTGCAACCAACCAAGGTCTACGATTGTAACAGATCGAAACAGTGAACGATGATTTGAAGATATGAATCTCGTACAAGTTAATGCTTCGAAGAAGGCTGTGCGTGTCCTGATACCATCATAACAGGAATAACTTCCACTCGTTCAATCTATATCGATGCTTGGCATAACGATATTCAACAATTTGTCTTATTGGAATGAAGCAAGAACATGTTGCCGACATATAGCCAGAGCTGCTCCTCTGAAGCTGGTATTCCTCTTTTACGCCAAGAAGTATTCCATCTCACAGCAGCTTTTGACTAAAGTGACATATTCCTTGAGTGGTTGTTTCCTTTTGGCTGAGCTCTCGAGAAATAATCTACTGGCAGAATCAAACTGGTCACTTTTGTCCCGTGGTACTAATATACATAAATATATAAGATACTAATTGAGGAAGAAAGCAAGCTCTCCGAAAATTGTCCTTCATTTGATTATAGTTTTTCCTCCACGGTCTCTCACTACCAGTCATCACCATCAACTCATATTATTATATTTTTTCCCAAGAACTAGACTTCTAGAGGTTGAAATTATTATACCCCCTCAGATTCGCTTTCCCTTGTAGGTACACGCTACAGGTTTTTCTGTGTATTTATTGGCACGGCTTCCTACAATGATATGGCAATCCAAAGTCCGTTATTGGGCTTTGCCAAAGTAGAAACCTTACCCCAGTGAAATGACCACCTCGATGATTAGGCTGCAGTGATAAAGTAGAGTTACGTTTATAACAGGAAATTATCTCTTTTGGGAGGGTCCAGGCTGATTGAAAATTGATAGGATTTCGGCTTATCCCTTTTACGTTTGCTCATGCACCGAAAACTGGCGAGTTTTTGAGATTATTGGAACTTTCATGGATGTTGGCGGAGATTATAAAGAAGATGCATTATTAGAACTAGCTGGTATCGGGTTTTTGCGAACTGTGGATATCCCATTACTGAAATTCTATTAGTATAGCTATACAGGGTGTTTTCGGGGTATAATACTAAACGAAAAAACAAAACGAAATGGAAGAATAAATTTTTGTAAAAAAAAAATAGTTTGGAAGATGTTAGAATTTTAAGTTTTGCAGCAACTTTTGAGAATCATTCCCAATCAGTGGTTAATTGATGCAGAACAGGAATGGGGTCAAGTATACATTTTCACGTGATAGGTTTTGCGAGTATACCACCCAAATCGATCGCCAACTATACCCTTCCAGCAGTTAGATGTTGATGGTCTGTTGAAAACAGACGTAATATATACTAAATAATACTCGAAATCATCGCCACGACATTCATATGCCCATCCTCAGACTAATAAAATTACTACATCTCTGTCATTGAAATGAAAAAGTAAGGTTAAATCTTAATATTCGCGAAAATCACGAAGTGTGCGGCCTCTGGTGGCTAACTGTACAAGTCTTGCGAGTATGAACAACAAATATGGCGACCATTGTTTTGAATTTCATAAATATGTGTTTTATTCGAAGATAATTTATTTGTTGAAGTGCATATTCCAGAACCTCATTTCTCGCTGATGAAAAAACTCGAATTATTGCATGATCTTTTATTGTTTTACAATGAAGAAACCAGTACCTACCTTATGATAATATAATATACATTTTCTGAAGCACAATTAGAATCATTGTATAAATGTTGGTTGCAATGATTCGATCTTGAGAATATCTTCAAGTCCTCAATTGCTGGAGATCCTTGTTTATGTAAATCGATGATATTGTTCATTCTGAGCAGCCTCACCAACCATATCTTCTTTTCCAACCCCTTCACTAGAATTCCATCTCCTTCATAAAAGCCAGTGATATTTCTTGATGAATTCAATTATTTCTTCATACCTATACCATATTGTTGTAATAGCTGATTGCTTGTATGGTTCCATTCCAGTCCATGCAAGTGTTGAGTGGACCATTCCGATCATTCCATATGTTTGAAAACTGTGGAATTGTAGTGTGATATCAATGATGAATACCACCATTGTCCACATCAAAATTGCAATTTCTCTGCACAAAAAGTAATTTTTTCCATACTGGAAACCTTGTACGTATTTCAAGAAGTCAACTTATTATTCACTATTTTGCAAAATGATTTGGAAATAACCAATTTGCAATGAGTGCATACGGCAATGTTTTTGTTGTTCATACTCAGTTGGAAATTTGACGTTGATTTGACGTTTAATAGAGCCATCTATTGGTTCGTGATTTTCGCGAATTGATAATAATTGATTTTGTATTACGTATATGAAAACCTCTTTTGAAAGGATGGTACTAACATGGAAATTAAAAGGTTATGTTATTTTTTTTTTCAAAATTATTGATAAACAAGAGGGTTTTTCAAAAGGTCCCAATCCCCAAATATCAAATCAAAAAGCCGTGGAGATGACTTTGTGCTTTTCTCGTTGAATATGAAATCTATCACTCCACTTCGAGCTACAAATAGACTGCTACCAACATTTATCTATTTATTTGATATTTTTTGTCACGAAAGCTTCTTGAGCAAGATGATGATCTCGTTTCTTAAGGAAGGTGATCTAGCTCATTAATCAATTTTGTACCGTGAGGCTCATCGATGGTCATGTCATGTGGTCATGATTTCAAGACTTTGTGCTTTTCTCGTTGAATATGAAACCTATCACTCGACTTTGAACTACAAATAGACTTCTACCAACATTTATCTATTTATTTGATAATTTTTGTCACAAAAAAAGTTTGTGGACGCACTATCTGTTCGATCTACCTCATTTCATCGTGAATATCCAACAAGGTTTCAACCGTGTCAAATCAAGCAATGCTTCTTCTAATATTTGACCTCTAATTTCGTTATTGATGAAAATTTTGACGCGAAATTAGTGGGGTCGAATAGTACTCGATCATGTATTCAAAATGAGGTATCACAACATATCTCATTCCTATTCAAAACCCTAGCAGTGGGTTCAAGTTACAGGGATGAAGAATGGAGAGAAGTCGTTCCCCTCGAATCAGAAATCAACGGGTCCAGGCGTTTCTCCGGAATTTCATTTGAAGCCCTAAAATCGGAGTAAAAAGTTTTCGTTGGGGCAACCTCTATATACAGTTGTATAGATGAGGCTTTTCTAGATTTTCATTTCAAAGTACTAAAATCGGGTTGTTGGACCACCTTGTATAGGTATTCATTGAATAGATTATATGCACTACTTGATGATTTCGATTTTTCTTGCAGGAAATTGAAAAAACATGATACCTAAAAAAACACACATGCTTTATGATGGATATACATTACCCTATCGTCTAACAATATATGCTAATTTACTGTTACAGGATGCTTATACTAGCTTTATTTATAGGTTGTTTACAAATTCCTTAACTACTTGTGCAAGTGTGCAACTGTGTCAATATGGCTTGTACTGTACATCCTCTATCCTATATTTGTAATTTGATAACAAGTTCACCTAATTTCGAGTGCAAATTTATGTTTGTTTAAGTTGGAGATAATGATGCGACATATAAACCATAATGTTTATTTCATTATCATCGAAGAACAAATTATATTATATAGTTATGAATACATAAGTAAGTAAGTAGGTATCAGTAAAGTTTGAATGAAATTTGAATACTGTAAACTGTGGCCAAAGTTGTGATTGTTGATGACAATTCCACCCCTCAATTATCTCTTGTTTTCCAGCCTACAATCACATACGATAATCATCAGTTCCCCCATAGAGAAACGAATAAATATTTTTCGGTTAATCAGTCATTCATTCGAAGAGAAAATACGCATTTCAATTTAAAAAAAAACTTGAAATAGATACCTATTACCTGCCTACCTTCCTATACCTATTATTATTAAATAATGGCGAATGCGCTTCAATATGTCCAGTGTAGAAAAATATCCAACCAGAATGTAATTGTTCCTTTTTACATAGAAAACAGTGACCAAAGATATTATTACGAGCACAGCTTCAAAACTGTACAATTCTTTACCACTTCACATGAAAAATATTTCTAGATATGATGCATTTGCAAAAAAATGTAAGCCAATCATCTACTATAAAACATTTGAACTAATGTAATTCCAGCTATTGGGATGTTGAATGGAGCAACAATAAAGAAATGAAAATACCAAATAAAGAAGAAGTATTTTTGGCTCATTTCCTAGAAGTGTCTGAAACCTAGAGACCAAACACCTTATGGGCCTGCTGGCTTCCCCAATGAACCTATACATAATGCGTCAAACTGTAAGTTCACAATAGCTATTACTAATAATCAGTAGATAGAGAATATATTTCTCTTCTTAGTTGTTTCTATATAAATAAATAATTAATTGAACAAATCAATCAATTTCCTACGCTTGCAGAAAAAATATTGTTCCTAACTCATGTCGTTCGTGTTCGTGTCAACGGCAGTCTCGTGCGGGAAAGAATGACTTTCCGCACTTGTTAGGAAATTTACTATTTTCTTGTAGGTATATCAAATAATTGAACTGAACAAATTATATTCATTCCGTTTTCTACATATTTTATTCAGTCTTTGTTTTGGTGATAATTTATATTTATCTTGCCTCCGCCTTGAATCATTGGCCTGCGACACCCTTGGAATATTTGTACAAAGTTCTGCGATATCAAAAAAAATATGTTGATCAAAGAAGGCCATGAAATGATAAATAGATAACATGAACATACAACTTGAAGGATACGAAATCTGCATTTATTTCAAAATCCATCACACTTTTTTATTCCTCTTTTTTTCTGTCTCTCTGTCCGACCATCAGTTATTATCTTAAACCTAATTAACGTTTCGAAGAAATCCAGGAATAACATTGATTATTTCCTTCGTGTGATTTGAAACCAATCAGAAGATTCAATTTTGAGTTGAAATAGGTAGTTGAACTACAACTTTTTGAAAACTCAAGTAAACCGTTTTTCACACACCTCACCACAAAGTAACTTAAAAAAACGATTCAACAGATAAAGAACAGTCGAATATAACACATAGAATGACAGACAAATAGCCTCCAAAAGAAGATATGTATCATAATAAAAAATTTGTCAACTTCAATTTCATTAAATTTTGGTTGACATAGGGAGATCTTCCTGTAGAAGTTACAACGATGAAACTTCGTATATAAGTATTCAATGTGTTCCTCCATTGAATGACAACTTTACCGGTTATATCAACTCCTTATATTGTGATACAGGGCGAATCGAAAAATCTGAAATATCAAAATTTGCCACTAAATACCTAACACCCTATATGAGATTTCGCGTTCAAATTTCGTATGGAGGTATTTCAGCTATGGCTGAATCGAAAAGGCTAGACACAGTTTCTAAAAAAAATGCCTATTAGTCGTTTTTCAAATATTGACCTCTTCAACTAAAAAAAGTAGGCCTTGAAAATCTGAATATTTCAAATTTATTCACATTATCGAATAGAGCTCGTTGAGTACTATATTATGCGATTTTTGTTTTTGTAAATCGGTCGACTGGTTGCAAATTAGCAGGATGTTGCTGGTTGAAATCGCACACAGTGTATCTCAAACTTCCTGCACAATTACAAATCGTGTCAGTTCAGAAGAATAATTCTGCCGCTAAATTGACACTCTCCGCAATTCTGCAGCAAGTAATCAATGTATAACATGAATATTTTGAAGTACTTATAGTATTACTACTGATTAAACAAAAAATGAACGTACCATTTCCTACGCAAAAATATGATTAGGTAGATTCAGAATGTTTTCCAAGCAATTCACACAAATATTCACGGCTATGCGTGAGAATGATATTTGCCGTGGTATTTTCATGCAAATGTGACCCTTTCTCATTATTCAAATAACTATTCATAGAATATATCTCGCATAATAATTATGTTGTTTTATCAAAAATAAACTGGGTGAACTAATAGTCTCAATTCTAGAAAGTGTTCCACATAAATGATCTACCAGTGGTCAGTAGCAATCAAAAAATGAAATTAGTTCTATCAACCGAAAAAAATCCCATTCAACCGTTTTATACTCTACTGTAGGTGTTTTTATAGTAGATTTCTCACAGTTAGTAGTTAAGTAGTTCAAGTTAACTGGTTCTGAAGTCTGAACGTTTTACTGACAAGACAATCCATTCGTTCGTGTGATGATGGCATTTTAGTGAGTGATGATTGGTGTGATGATTCTTCCGGTGCTTTTGATGGACCTACCAAATTCTCTGGCAAAATGAAATTATTTCCGTATGGCTTGATCGGTTTCTTGCTGATCAGTATAATACTAGTCAAGGGTAAGCGATCTCGTAATTTTTAATATCACTTTTTGAATTGACTAGACCGTTTCTTGATAGATATCCATGGCAAATGTAGAAACTGCACAAACGATAAAATTTCCACAAAAGTTTGTGGAAATCTTATCGTTTGTGAAGTTTTTACATTCGATATCAGTGTTGATATGCTTGTTCAGTTGAATTGGGTGAATAGGATCCGGCGTAAAAGGGTTTGACAAAATTGTTCTAAGTCATTTCTAGTTTAAAATCAAAGTTCGGTTATACTGTATTATCGCAACAATACCAGTTAATTCTACTACTATGTAGTGTTTTATAAAGATATGGAATATTATCGAAATGAATTCAGAAGTTGGAAATGTTCACCCATACTTTTCCCAATTTTCGCCGATTTTTTTTGTGATGGTACTTCGTCTGGCGATTCCTTTTTGATACCTTATTTTCTAAAATAATGTTTGTATATCGTGAAACTCCTATATATTCCTCCTGACATTTTCTTTTAGGTACTTCTGCAGGAGTTTGGAATGTTTGGGACATACAGTACTGGAGATGCATTATGAAGAAAAGCTATAATTGCCCAGACAATGATATCAAATATTTTTTATACACAAAGTAGTTATCATTCAAACTATTATATTTTATAACATTTCATTAGTGTTTTTTTTAGAGAAACAGGAACCAAAAGACTGAGAATAGATGTAAGGAATCCGTTATCCTTGAAATACTCTGGTTACGATCCAAGCAAGAAAAATGTTATAATCATTCATGGATTCAATGGAACAGAAAGCTTGAGTCCAATCACTATTTTAAGAAACGGTGAGTTTTTTATTTAACAAAATTCAATCAACAAGTGATCGTGAACTTGAACTTCAAATCAAATATAGAACGCTGAACACTGAACCTCAAAATATAAAAATGTGTGGGTATTTATATTAAGTTTTTGGTCAGATGATCAGTTTTCACTTGATGGAGGTCGATTATAAAGATTAATGACTTATTTATTATGTGTCACCAGATTTATGAGGTATAGGTATATTGCATACCCACAAGTAGAAAAGATTACAAACTAAAATTTGTAATCTTAAAGAAACAGAGGAACCGTGTATAAGTTGATTTAAGCGTTACATTGTAACAATAGTAGGTCAAATATCGAAATTAGTTGCAAAATCAAATTTTCCATGGTTTGAGCTAGACAATAATTATCAATTGTTTTCATTAAAATCGAATAATTTAATGTTCTATTGTTCAGAAATTGATTTGATTTCTATCGCAGAAGCTCTTCACGGAAAATCGAATTCCTATTCTGTATATACAAAGCAAGGGACATATATGTTCGACTCGCCATCCCCAAAGAAGTCCTGGGACGTATAAAGGGAGAGGATGAAGGCGTTCACTCCTGTGAGCCTAGAGTTTCTAAACAATGGGGCAGTTTCCTATATTCCTATTTCCTATGTGAAGTTTGTAGAAGACTATTAAATACGTATTTTTTTCCGTGAGATCAAATTTCACTTCAGAAAAAAATAAATAGAAGAGGAACCTGGCTCCTCCACCATTCCTTTGACTTACTTTCGGAAAATCCATATTTACACAGAGTTAAAATACGATTCCCTGTGCCAGTACGACGTTGCCTACACATCCAATATGTCTAGATTTCCGGAAATTGTTCTTTGAATGCATTATAACTATATCATAACAGCAATGGGATATAATAGGTTCGTCAATCCTACTTTGTCAAGTATTATGAATAATTTCTATAAATCTCTCATTGGCTGAATGAAGTTGATTTCTAATAAAGATGAATTATGATATTTTGCGATAGTATCTACAATTTTTCACTATCGTTATATCAGAATATGTTATTCATAACTTTGTCAGTAATTTTTTTGCTAATGAATTCGTTCCTTAATAAAACGGATCTATTTTCTAGGAAAGTTGCAGATTATATCTTGCAACAGTTGCAACAGCGCCTAATACTTCGAGTCCAGTGACTCTAGTCCCCACCACTCGAAATACCGACCGGCACAACAAGAGGAAGGAGTCATGGGTGTCGGCTTCATTCTGTTCTGACCGATGGCAGTAAAGTAGGAAGTAGAGTATCATTGAATGTAGCCGATATATAGTGATTCATTGATCCAATGATATGCTCGTTTAGGATCGAACTCTATTCGAGATATTTAAATGCAAAAATAACAAAACCATGACCTGTCAGAATGAAGCCAACTACCTTCTGGATTCCTGCTCCCAGTGCATTTCTGGTTATATATGTTTTTGTTTACCAGTTTTACTTCTTCTTCTATTTTTTTTCTTCATTCGTTTTTCAATTTTTACCTATTTGTTAGCTATTCGCTAGCTATATATTCTTCATCATCAGCTCTTTTCAGACTAGATTCAGAATGTACGTCACAGGTTACCGCTCCAAAAATTAGAAATTGCTTCAATTTGAGAATGATAACGACTTTATCGGTCGCCATTCTGTACAGCGTGGACATAAAACTGGAGAGTCATTTTATGAAACTTCCCCACTCTGTTTTGCAGATGACGTCAGTTTCATCATATCATGAACAATATGACTGACAAAGTATTTCAAAAAAGTACACTTTCCGAAAAAGAATTTTTTTCTATATTTTTTTTAGATTCTATAAATTTTTCGTATATGCCAACTCAGACTTTTTTCTAGAAATTTCCGGAAACAAATCCAATTTTCGCAGCTTTTTCCATCATCTCTGACTCTGGTGGTGTATTTATCAAAATCGTCACATCTCGGTATATATACATCATAATATTTATTATGAATGGGTGGAACAATATTTGATGGAAATTGCGATTTTTATCAGAAGCACTACCCTAAAGAATTTAAAAAACTTCTTCTGACAGTTGTGACAACTATGCAAAGCTGAACAGCAGCCAAGTTTTGGTCGATTTTTGTTGATTCTCCATGGAAATATAATGTGGTGTTGGCAAAGTGCCGTGAGAAAAAATATTTCTCACAATATGAGCAATAAATGGTTTTGAAATTGAGTAAGCTATGAGAAATGAGCTACTTTTCATAGCAGTAGTAGAAAATAGTATATTGTGCAACAAGTACGTCCCAAGGACGTCCTGAAGCCGTTCGCTTCGGACATTTCAGACGTCCCGGGGACGTCCATTTTAAGTACGGCGGACGATGTTACAAAATCGGAAGTCCCTAGGACATACGAATTAGGTCCGTTTCGGGTCTAATCTGGACCATTTGGGGACATTTCGAGAACGTCTGAGGGACGTACGATTTAGGTCGGTTTCAGGTCTGAAGCCATTATTGGTCAAAAATAAAATTTACTGATTCAGATAATACATTATATGATATAGTTGTGACAACTATTCAAAGCTGAACACCAGCCAATTAAGTTTTGGTCGATTTTTGTTGATTCTCCATGGAAATGAAGGTGGTGTTGGCAAAGTGCCGTGAGAAAAAATATTTCTCACAGTATGAGCAATAAATGGTTATGAAACTAAGTAAGCTATGAGAAATGCGCTACTTTTCATAGCAGTAGTAGAAAATAGTAGATTGTGTTATTAGGATCAAAAGTGACACTTTGTTTGACAAGCGAATTTTGCATTTGCGACGCGGAGCGTTTAGCGAAGCCGAGTGAAAGCAGAATTTGCGAGTCAAACAAAGTCACTTTTGATCCGAATGAAACATGCTATTTTTTCTGCAACCGAAACAATTAACTCAAATAAACATGTGAAGTAACCACCAATGCCGTGCCATATGTATGCAATGCAACAAATATTGACAAATAATCCATGTGGTGAGAATATTCTACCTGCATTAACAGCAGGTTAGGCTTTCAAGGATGTTCGAATTGTAGTTTCAATATAAATACAACCACAGAGTGACATATTTGTGTATGGACCAGGTGCTCTAATGGCAAATACCGCGCCAGTGCCGGGTATAGGAACAAGACGTGGAAAATGTTAGGTTAGTCAGCATATCAACAATGATAATAGTGATTATTTATTCCTCTCCATACTATACAGTGCGTTTGACTTGATAATCAAATGAAGCTAAACAATATTGTTGTTTGAGACAAAAAACTATTGCTTGCATGCCGTGATTATTCAAAAACAAGTTATCTATCCCGAGAATAACGAATGAAATGCAGATCAAGCTAGTATTTGAATCTTGAAGGTTTCCCTGATCAAACAAAAATACTTAGCTGAGACGTTTATAATTCCAACACTAAACTATAATAAGGTGTATTCATATCTCCAGCATGGGTATGAAATGCCAAATCTGCTGAAATCGGAAACAAATCAGGTATGCGTCTCAACCCAAATAACCAACCGTCACAATGTTGTTTATTCTTGAAGACGTCCAGTACATCCTTTTTAGTTCCTAGGAGCTAAAGTTGAACTTAAGCTCCTAGGAACTAAAATTCAAATTTAGCTCCTAGGAACTAAATGTGTTGCCTAGCAACACACCTATTTTTGTGTCAGTAATAGAAACGTCAATTTAAGAGCTAATTCTGGTATCAAAATGGACGACTTTTGTGTCGGTTGCAGAAAAACATATTTTCCACCCATTCAACGTTGAATCAACGTTACATATTGCTCATTGAGTGGCTTTTGTTCCAGCCTACCTCACCAGGAACGACTACAATATCTTCACGGTGGACTGGGAGCCCATCACCAGATTTCCCTGCTACATTTCCGCCCTTTCCAACACAAGACTGGTGGGTCAATGCGCCGCCAAACTGTACGCCTACGTCATGGCTAACGGCGGCGACGCCAAAGAAACGACGTGCGTCGGTCACTCACTAGGAGCCCACATATGCGGCATGATGAGCAACCATTTGGACGTTAAACAACACAAAATTGTCGGTGAGTATAGGACCTAAAATGAACACCTATACGTCGAAAAATAGTTGAGGAACCGTCGAGTCTGTATATCTCTTATTATAAATGCTGGTGTTCCGCAAGGATCAATTCTAGCACCAACACTATTTCTACTCCATATCAAAGATTTGTTGGGAGCAATAACTTCATGTCCAGTACACAGCTTCGCGGATGATAGTACCCTCCATACCGCCTTCTCTTCCATAGTTCCAATACCAGCCAGGCAAATCAGAAACGAACGAATAAATGTTGACAACATAAATATGGACTCGGCAACAATTCTCGAATGGGGATCCAATAACTTGGTAGATTTCGATGCAAACAAAACACAAGCATGCTTTTTCTCTAGAAAAGCCGATCTCACTGTGCCCAACATAAGCTTCTCAGGAGTAACCATACCTTTGAAGACATCCATTTCGATGCTTGGTTTTACTATCAGCAATAACCTTTCCCGGGAAAATCACGTGAGATCTAAAAGTGCATCCAAAAACTTGGTTTTCTGTTTCGGGCCAGGAGCTATTTCACTTCCAGTCAGCTGCTTATGATCTATAAGGCACAGATCCGACCTGTCCTGGTATACCGTTTCCATATTTGGAGTGCAGCATCCAAACATACCCTGAAACTGTTGGATTCTGTCTAAAAAGGGGAATTCGTATCGTGGGTGATGCATCGCTCACAAACTCACTCACTTCTTTGAAACCCCTTTCAAAAGTTGGCGATCTGGCTCTATTTTATAGATATTGCCATGGACGATGCTCTCCTGAAATAGCAACAATTGTTCCTTCCTTATTGGCAGTCCCCGCGAGATTAGCCCGTCGAGTTGAGACTTCGCATCCCTTCGTGGTCACTTTAGAGACCTGCAGAACATCTCTTTCCAAAGACTCGTTCATCCAACGAACATTTCCAAGGGAAGTGTTCCTCGAGGCATATAACCTCCAGAAATTCAAGAACACCAATTCCTACTTTATTTTCCTCGATTCTCACGACGATGTTCTCTGAACATTACAGGATAACCCTTTTCGTGGGAACCAGAACACCGCGAAAAACTTACGTTTTTTTTCAATCAAAAGTTGTAAAGTGAAAAAATACGTATTTTTGTTAAATCACGGTGAACTTATATGGTATTGAAACCTATATTAATAATATAAGTTGAAAAATCAGTGACGTATTTTTCACCCGTTAATCAATGTTGGATAAACGTATAATATGTGCTAATTGGACCTGAATAAAAATTCGAATTAGAAATTTTGCTGCTCCATAGGCACTATTTTTCATGAGTTATATTTCACCGTGTGTACGTCATCAACACCATGGAAACGGGTTCAGACAGGTTGAGTTAATAATCAAAACGAGGAGACAATATCCTAAGAAATGTGGTGAAATGAATGTATCACCTCTTCGATTAACCTCCAGACAGTACCTACCTATATCTAAAACTTACTTGAAATCCGAAATTCCACAATAGCTCATTTGAAAATCGTGTTTGAAATAAAAAGTTCTACACGCTCTCACAACCTAATATCGTTTTGACATTGAATATTGATAAGGAACATGTCAGTTGAAAGTAGTCCTCATTGTTGAAATCTATTTTCAATTTGAGAGGACAATATGGACATTTCTGACACCAGAAGATAAGCTATTTCCATCATTCGTCAAGAGTATCAACTTCAGTTTCTCTTCAAATAAAAAAACAGAGTATTCGAAAATTACCCAATTTTAGGGTTGCCATCCGTCCGGATTTCCCCGGACATGTCCGGGTTTTAGAGGCGTCCGGGGACGTCCGGGCGGGTTTTGAAAAATTGTCCGGAATTTCGTCAGTTCAAACCACTGACATAAACTTTCATCATGTCAGTGAAAGTTTGCTCAAAAATTGAAAATTTGTAGATTTGGTATTATTTATGTGACTTATATAGTTTTGTTTCAAACTCTTGATTGGTTTATTTTTTGTTTAAAAATGTTTTTGAGTTTTTATTCGATTTGTGCAACAAAAAATATGCAGGTAATATACCCGAATTATAGTGATATCTAGAGTGATATTCACCATTCACCGTTGAACTCATTCATATGTATATGGAAATGGAATTACAAAAAATGATTCCGAGTTTTCAAAATTCCCGCTGTCCGGATTTTGTCCGGATTTTCAAGTAGCCTTGTCCTGGATTTCACATTTTAGAGATGGCAATTTGGATGATACCGATCACTTAAAAAACACCTTCTGTGTATTTTAGGACTGGATCCAGCTCGACCACTGATAGATAGGTATGCGAATAAAAATTTCAAACTCACCAAGGATGATGCTCATCAGGTGCAGATTCTTCATACGAACGCAGGATTTCTAGGAGAAGTGAATCAAGTTGGACATGTCGATTTTTGCATCAACGGTGGAAGATTCCAACCGAACTGTTATGGAACAAGATTACGTATGTATATAATTATATAACCCAATCCAATTCACTCTCACAAACCGTTTCCTCCTCAGAGCTCTCTGTACATTTTCTGAATTTTGATTGAAATTCACAATATATCTACGAAATGAATTATGTACTGTGTGTATCTCAGTACACCCCTACGGTAAAAGTGAACTCTTGCGTTTATTCTTTGTTTTTTTGTTATGTTTCGATGTGAATTTCATTATATAATTATTTTGAAACGTTTTTCAATTAGCATCATATGTTGCTATTTTTCTATACTCCTTTTTTTTCTCTCCTCGAAGGCTCTGAAAGATCATGGCGAGAGGGCCCTGAATGATTAAGGCGGGGGATCCCAAAATGGAAAGTTACGCCACTGTGTTGACTCATCTGACGGTTGACAGATCTACGTTGACAGCGTCAATTGTCAGAAATCTTCATCTTCTTCATTTTTACTTTGGAAAACAGAATCGCACCGAATAAATAATTCAATAAATTTTCTCAACTGTAAAACTGACTAGACGAATGAACTGTACTGTTAAAACTATGACGACTTTATGTAGATTCAACTGGATAAACTCTATTTTCATCAACTTCATAATCAACTAGATATATTATTGTTTACAAATTATACATGAAACTGTCAATAACTCAAAAAAAATATGAACTAAGATTGTGAATAATACATTATTCTATCTTCTCTATCTCTATCCGTATTATGTAGATAAAGATGATGGAAGTAAGATATGGTGTAATTACTGATGCGATTTTGTTTCAGAAATTTTACTCGACCTCTCGAGAACAGTGAGAGCAATGGTTCCGTCGATCTTCTAATAGATGGCGACATTGCACAATCATGATATCTGTCAGTTTTGAAATTGTCGCAGATTTTTCGAATTCAGAGTTGAATAATCCCACTATATGTTCAGCGTACCTAAAATGCCATTTGCCATTTTATTTTCACTCGTCACAGCAGCAATAGCACCATCTACCGGGAAAATGTAGAATCAACGTCTCGCTCGTTGTGGACGTAGAGAAATCAGTAGGCGGTCGAGTGATTTTTCTGAAATTTTCAATACGTAATAATGGCCGAATGCGCGCACCATCTCTTCTTCCATCATTCAGATAACAATCCACAGAGTATTGTCGTCATGCAGAGGGGTGAAATCAATCAATAAATTATAAATGTCTATACCTAAATGTATTCAATATTGTCATTTGTCATTATGTAAGAAACACGGACTGGGAAATGCCCGAAGGCCCGAAGACGTTTTTCTGGCGATAGAAGCGATTCAGTGAACTTCAATAATGTCATCAAATTGTTGAACTTTATCACCTATAGCCACCGAACATAAACCTAGAGGTTTATGTTCGGTGCTATAGCTATTCTTGGGTGTATATTTTTTACACTACCATCCATAAAATAAAGGTGCAATGTATATTTATAATGATGGTTAATGGTTAAAAATATTCCATCCATCTTCCTTGGTGAATGATAAAAATGATAAAATGGTGGAAACATGATATTTTCAGGTCGGGCGAGATGCAGTCATTTTCAAAGCGCCTGTTACTATGCACAAACCGTTCGGTATGGAAACTCCATCATTGGAAGACCCTGCGTAGCCAGTTGCCCCAAAAAGACTTCCAATTGGGGATACTTGCCAGGAAAATCAGTAGCTATGGGCGAAGATACACCATTTGGGTAAAAACTCAAATAAATCAATCCTATTTTATAATGCATATAATAGTATTCACTTTTACAGCCACCTTTTACCTATACTGTAGTTTTCTTCAATTTCTCATCAAATTTCGTACAATTGGAAAGTTCCTCTAATCATTTGTAGATGGCAGCATATTGGGAGAATCGCTTCATGTGTCACTTGTCAAAAATTGTCATTCCTTGAGGTTAGAAACCACATGGAAAACACGGTCGAACAGTGGAAAATTGATCAAAAGGAATATTGATGACTCTCTGAACATTGCAACGTATTTTCTTCTCTGACGGGAAAAAAGTTTGACATGATACAAAATGTGTCACTCTTCAAAAATTTCTTTTGTCCCACGGGAAAAAAGTGAGTACTTCTTTCCCGGGTATATAGGTGCACTGTTGATCTGTCGATGGCGTTTGTTGTGCCAGTTTCTTCCATGTCTCTTCGCGGTTTCGTAAATCACTAAACAACCACACTATAAGTTCGCAATTTTTTAAAATCAAAACACATAATCAAATTGACACATGTTTGATTACCTCAAAATGTTACCATTTTCCATAGCAACCCTACTACCAGTTAAAATCTTCAAATTTCACATCGATAATTTTCTGATTTTATTTCAATGCAATATCTTCTCAATGTTGAATCGTCGTTTTCCCTGTCCAGTCTCACTTTTTTGTATACCTCCGCTACGCGTCGAGACTCAAGAGACAACACAACCTCGAGCTTCGCACGATTGGTGTAGCCATTTAAAAAAAAATAAGACATATTTGTTGCAAGTTGCGGTCGTTCTGAGCTATGCGCGTATCTAACAGTACTTATATATTTTTCTCAATTTTTTGTCAAGGCCTATAACAACTTCTTTTACATACTTACACTTATTTTCATTCTCTCACTTCTCTCAGTATCTGTTCGCGATAAAAAATAACACGTCGCCCCACCTGACGGTAACAACTTGAACACTTTTGAGTGGTTTGTTTTGAGGATATAACCAATAAGCACAAACAAAAAACAAATGTGAAGCACATGCCGCTTTGACAGCTCTCAAGAACTACGATAGGTGGCGTACGCTTATTTTCTATCGCGAATTGTATTTGTTTCGTTGTTTTCATATTAAAAATTTCTACCCCATCGGTCAAGCATTGATGAAATAAACCTCTGGTGTACGCACTTCAATCCTTTGCTGTTTTACAATTCCTTGATTTTCGCCTACTTCGATGAACATAACATGGCGTGGGTGAATGTCGCTAAATTTAGTCTGGTGCCGTACCAAAATTACAGGCATCAATGTGACAATTGTGACCGAATTGTGACCAATGAAGATAGGGAATACATTTTGCGATTTAGCCGCATCAAGGTTGGTAGAACTGATGTTGATCATAAGTTCTAAGAATCACGCCATCTAACATTCGATATGTGAACCCCACGTCATCGTCTGAAATTCAATTGTTTATATCAAGAACCAGTCTGACGAAACAAATGAAGAGTGAGCGCACCAAATGGTCAAGCCGTTAAGTAGTTGACGTACCTACCGACAGCAGCGCCACCTACCACGTCGAATTGTTTTTTTAAATCATCCAGGAAACCATCAATATACCCATATCAAATTTCAACCCAAGGATAATTTTTTTTACTCGTTGTCCTATTACCCGGCGTTTTTCCGTAGGAATGAAGCATTTTCCCGAGGTAAAAAGGAGCCTATGTTCATCAATGTCGGCTTCTAATGGTAATAGTTATTTAAACACCAAGGTAGTAAAGAATATTATTATTGCCCAGGGACCAAGATCATATCTCGACGCTTCAGCCCGTGGTAATAATATATTCTTCACTGCCAAGGTGTATATTACATTTTTTTCACCAAGCAATATGTTCACTATGAAAGCACTTCTCTTCAATTATAATGAAAATATAATAGCCATGACTATGACAGCTCATGTCAAGTCGTTATTGATAAATACGTACTAGATTCTAGTCCCATTATTTCTGCGAATCTCGCATCAGAACAGTGAATTCGGGTTAATTATACAAAGGTGGCTGTCATTATTGACTAGTGGTTCATAAAACGACGAAAACTACCTTGGTGGTAAAAACACTTTACGCCTCAAAAGGAGTAAATAATAGTAGCTATAGCTAGTGGTGGAAAAAATAATTTTTCCAATCGGTCCTGTAGTTTTGGAGCCTATCCAATACAAACAAACAAATATTTCCTCTTCATGATATTAGTATAGATATAACTATTGTTTCAGGATCCATGGAACGTTTTGTGTTCAAACTGACACAAAAAAAGACTGTCCTTTCTTCCAGTGATTATGTGATTTGTTTAAAATGTATTTTTATTTATTTTCCAAAAAAAAAACAGGATTACAAAAGATACAGCATTTATTTTTTCCATCCCAACATCATAAACTAGAAGTAACAAAATCAAATACAACAAATAATACAACAAGTACAAACATTTCCAACTTAATTATGAACATTTCATTATCTTAATGGTATCAAACTGTCATGATCAAAAATACTTCAACTAACGGAATTCGTAAGTCATCATCAAATTTTTACATCTTTATTATCGATAATATCACTGAGACATTCTTTGAGCTTCAAGAATTTCTTCTTGAATTGTAAACCACAGCCTTTGGATAACCTAAAATCTAGTAGAATCTTTCCGTCCATGTCAAATAGATTGGCCTTGAATGTCAATTGGTTCTTGCAAGAATCGACAGTTGTCACCGACACCTGAACAATAAAATACTCAATCATTATCTGCTAAACCAACAATCTAGTTGGCTATGCCATATAATTATCAGTCTGTCACTATCTTCTTCATTGTCCTCTTAGAGGGTGTCTAGTTAATTTTTTTTTTAATCCAATAACTGTCTACTGTAAGCCATAAGGTTAATCAAGATTCACATAATTGATCAACTTTTCAATTGAAAAGTTCGAGTCACTTATTGATGGCAGCAGTCACTGTCGAATTGTGTTTATTCAAGGAAAAATATACACTGAGTGCATAATTTCAAGTCTAGTGAAAGAGATATTAGTTTCGAAGATGGAGGTTCCAAAGAGTTGATTTCACTCTCATTTCCAATATTGAACACGCTGTTGTCTCTTAATTTATACCTTGATTTATCCTGTTGGGATGAGGTATGAGGAAGACAGATACAAATTAAATGATAACCATCACCTCTATGTGACATATAGAATTTCAAAATGGGCGTAAAATTTCCAAATGCGTTTTGAATCATGTGAAGTTCAACTAAACTTTCGAGGGTGTCCCTTCTTTCCTTCGGGACCGAGGAGTAAATAATTTTAGAACTTTTTGTGAAGTGAGTGAATGCAGAGTCATCCAAAGTGTATCACATAATTCATTGTGACTAATAATGAGCACTCAAATATGGAATTCTTTGAGAGATTTAGCCAAGGTTGGCAACGAATGACATCTCGACTTGACATCTGTCATGAGTGTCACGTATGCTCATTTTATTCGTGATTTTTTTTGCAATTGCATTTCCTCATTGGTCCCAGCATTGGGAGCAAACGCCCCATAAGTTGAAACTTGTGCTGGGTTAGATAAGCATACAAACATCCATGGCCTAACTAGGATTCGAACCTATATCTCGGTGGGAGTCCCATGCAAACTCAGCGCCTTCACGCTCTCGACTACCGAGCCGCCAAAAATTTGTGATTTGGTTCAAAGTTAAAATGAAAATATTGTATTATTATGAATGATAATTTATACAGACATCAGTGATCAGTGGTTCATTGAGCAGGAACAGATTTAATGTTAGTTCATTGAGTTTATTGTATTGAACTCAGCGCCTTCACGCTCTCGACCACCGAGCTGCCAAAAATTTGTGATTTGGTTCAAAGTTAAAATGAAAATATTATATTATTATGAATGATAATTTATACAGACATCAGTGGTTCATTGAGCAGATACAGATTTAATGTTAGTTCATTGAGTTTTTGTATTAAACTCAGCGCCTTCACGCTCTCGACCACCGAGCTGCCAAAAATTTGTGATTTGGTTCAAAGTTAAAATGAAAATATTGTATTATTATGAATGATAATTTATACAGACATCAGTGATCAGTGGTTCATTGAGCAGGAACAGATTTAATGTTAGTTCATTGAGTTTATTGTATTGAACTCAGCGCCTTCACGCTCTCGACCACCGAGCTGCCAAAAATTTGTGATTTGGTTCAAAGTTAAAATGAAAATATTATATTATTATGAATGATAATTTATACAGACATCAGTGGTTCATTGAGCAGATACAGATTTAATGTTAGTTCATTGAGTTTTTGTATTAAACTCAGCGCCTTCACGCTCTCGACCACCGAGCTGCCAAAAATTTGTGATTTGGTTCAAAGTTAAAATGAAAATATTATATTATTATGAATGATAATTTATACAGACATAAGTGGTTCATTGAGCAGATACAGATTTAATAATAGTTCATTGAGTTTATTGTATTGAACTCAGCGCCTTCACGCTCTCGACCACCGAGCTGCCAAAAATTTGTGATTTGGTTCAAAGTTAAAATGAAAATATTATATTATTATGAATGATAATTTATACAGACATCAGTGGTTCATTGAGCAGGTAAAGATATGATGTTAGTTCACTGAGTTTATTGTATTATCATGGAATGACGTTGTGTGTGGAAATTATATGAAATTTTGAATTGACTCTTCCGTTACTTGATGGAAATACATAGTAAATGTAAAAATCTTTACAAAGGATAAGATTTCCACGAAATTCTTAATCACAGAATATGTTTCACTAACACAGTAGCTTCTTCAGGTGACATACTGGAACAATAAACTATTTATTGTACTAGTATTTCGTTTGTAAAGTTTTTTTACATTTATTATTATGAAAATCTGAAAATTTGCTTCATTTTATATTTTATATAATAAGAGTGAGTAGAGGAATTATAATCACCGGATTTTCTGGAGCTGTCCATGAATTCGCCATTAAAAGTCGAAAATATAACAAACCATTTCCAAGTGGAAATCCTCCACTAAAATTGTCAAATTGAAAATGAATATCTCAATGAAGACATAATGCTTGCATATTTGGTTTGGAACTTTAGCAAGATTCCCCATGCTTCGCCATTTTCACAAAGTAGGCGATATCAAGAGAATAGGACGTAATCACACCATTTGATTTGGAATGAACAAAATGGAGCAACACTGTTTGTGTCTCTGTCTCTTTCTTCATTTGGATACCATCTCTGTTGGCACAATTTGGAAGCTTTCAAGCAAATGTGAAACTACAACTTCTGAGACTACACTTTGATATGAACTGATGAAAGTTACATAACAGTTTTTTGAGTGACAGCTGGCAAAGGCTGCTCCAAACTCTACCAAGTAAAAAATGTATGAGTGAGTTTGCTAACCTGTAAATGGAAGGAGTAATGCTGTTTGTCTCTCTATCACTATATTTCTCTCATAGGATGATCTAAGAAAGCGAGGGTGAATGACAAAACGACAACAGATACTTGCATCTCATCTGAAAAAAAAATTGTTTTCTTACCGCCCCATTAGCATCAGTCGTCCACCCATAGTGCAACGAATCCAAAACCGTGCAAAGCACCTCCAGCGTCTTCTCCAACCCAGTCTTCACATAAAACCTCGTCAGCCGCTTGATCAGATCCTGGAAGTTGTCCTTGGTGATAGGGCTCTGCGTGAACTGCAGCACCAGATCCTCGTTTTGCGTGGGTTGCGAGAAGCACACTTGATCGCGCCTCGTGTTGCGCAAGCTGTCCACGGCCTCCATGATTGTGGAGTGCCGGTGGCTGATGGTCGGTTGTGATTGGGTGACGGTGGGTGTGTCTCGGTTCATGCGCGTTTCCGCTTCCACCATGGAATTCCAGCGTTTCGCGGGTTTTTCGGAGCCGTCCTCAGACGAGTCGGAGCTGTTCTCTGTCGAGCGAATTAAAGGGTTGCCGGATATCACTAGGTTCAAAGATATTTGCTTAAATATTACACGCTGTTATCAATTAGGAGCAATAGGGCCGGTTGCATAAAAGCTCATCAATTATTTGATGTCACTTCGAATATTTGATGCGACGTTATAAATGGAATTCGGTTGCATAAAACGACCATCATGTACCTAATGGCATGGCAATGGCATTGAACATCTAATCTTATGATAATAACTATTTAACCACAAAATCAGTTGCACAAAGGCCAATCAACTTTAGATGTCACATCAAATCGACTTATTGGCATCAACTTAAAATATTTGCTTGACCACTGATTAAAGTGACAACCAGCAAATGACTTGTGAGAGTTCCGCCAAATTATTTTGAATGTTTCGCAGAATTTTTGCAGAATTTAAAAAAAGAGGTTGGAGTTCTTGGTTCTTGTTTTATTTCAAAAAGGTAGGGTTGGTAAATGAACACAACAATGTAAGTAAATAATAACTATATTACAGAAAATGTCTATTTCATCTTTGTCTTCACTATCTGAATAAAAACAACTAAATCCCAGGCAAAGAACCTTTCGAAATAGAAACAATCCATTGGAAATGTATTATGACAATGATTTCAATACCCGATTCAGGTTTTCTAAGCCAGTTGTAATAGAATTGAACTCATTCTTGATTTTTATCCATGTATCTCGTTTTCTTTTCAGACATATCGCATCCAATTGTTTGCATTCAATAATACTTTTATACCTGTAGACAAGATAAATATAATAGCTTCATGAGTTTTGAACGAAAGATATCAATTAAAATATTAAAATCATGCAAAATTTCACTTACCTTTTAACAATCTCCATTAATTTGCCTCTCGCTCTTTCTTCGAATTTTCCATTATTTGTCTATCCAAATGAAAATCAAGCAAATAAACCTAACCTAAAACGCGTATGAACAATGCGCGGAACGCAAGGAGCAGACAGATTAGCGCTGTTGCCACGCCTTTCTCGTCATTAGTAAACGGAATGATAATTATAACATCAGATTGTTTATGCAACGCAAATTACATTTGACATAACATCAAAGTTATTGTGGCATCAGTTGATTGTATGATTAATTTTTCTCTATGCAATCGCCCTTTTAGTCAAGTAATCAGGAGCTTTAGTAAAGTTGTTTTTTCTTGTTGGACCGTGTTTGAACTTCGATTTCAAACCGTTTTCAAGCGAGACTCGGTGATTTATCTCATTCTAGAAAACAAACCAAAACTAATATTCACCATACCATCATCATGATAATTTTGTATCAAAGCTCCTCCACTCGTTTTCGTGGTTCAAACCGTTTATTTAGGAAACCAGCTCAACTCTATGGATTTTATCCATTAGAATGGCCATTATTTTGAATTAGGCGCCAACTCATTTCGTCAGTATGAACATTGCTTCAGAATCTACTTATTTGGAATATAGTATAGGTCGGAACTCTGAAGTTATCTGAAGGAACCTAAACATTCTTCAAATTGAACTGGACTCACAGTACCATCAAAATCGTGAAAATAATTGTATGTAGAAATTATTGAACAAAGGAGTATGAGCTGCAAAGTAGATTCAGCAGTTTGATCTAGTTTGTTCCTTGTTCATTTTTTTTCAGAAATTTTGTATTTTCAACTTGGACAGAACTACCGTCTATTATCATAATTCATCAGCAGGAGCAAACAAAGCTCTGAATGGCCCAGAACCCTTCTGTGGTATTGCGAAAGCTATACAAAAGACTAGTATCAAATCATGGATGCAAACCAAATCTCAAGAATGGTGGAACAAATCGCCAGGAATGAGACAGGCAAAAGAGTTTATTAAAAAACCATCGCCAACATTCACAGAATATCTACTAAGCCAGAAACGAAGTTCAACTAGAATACTAGTGGGACTTCTCACAGGGCATTGTAGGCTCAACAAACACATGAGTACGATAGGTCTGACTGAAGAACTGCTGTGCAGGTTCTGTCAGGAAGAGGAGGAAACAGCAGTACACATACTTTGCCACTGTGAGGGCTTGTCAAGACTAAGGTTCCTTACGCTGGGTGAGGAAAAACCAGAAGCCCAGAGATACACAGGGGATCTGAAAGCTAGCCTATGGAGTCTCATAGAGAAGACGGGGCTAGCCGAAGAACTCTAATCGATTTTGAGGGCAGACACAATAGATCTGAAAAGGTCGCGGTGTGGAGGCAGATAGCCCGAAGGCCCCATTCTAAATCTAATCTAATCATAATTCATGGAATATTGATAGCAATCATTCGATTCAGCTGTTGTTGGGAGACATAAGTATGTATTCTCCTCTCGTCTTCAACTTTAGGGTTCCAACGTGAAATTATGAAAATTTCAAGTTGGTCACACAACAAAGGAGAATGAAGACCATTCTGACCACAATATAAAAAAGATTAGAATGGTTTCCTTCCCCATTTTCTCTCGTTTTTGGCGTGAACAACATGAATTTTGTCTGAATTGCAAAAACTATTTGATTCATACATATTATGATACTTAGTACAAAACAAAGAAAGGCAGGTAGTGTTTAAATTCAAGGCTTGATAGAGTACTGTATCAAACTTATTGAAATAATATGATTCTGAAAGTAACTTTTTGCATCATCACTTTCTGTTGAACCAGGAATAATGTTATAACATCAGAAAAAATCATAAAAAATATGTTTTTCACCAAAACAACACATATTTTATAAATTTCAAATTTTATGAAAAATTAGAATTTTGAAAAACATACAGAGTATTCTACTCAACTGTTAGTAACCTTATTATCGCCATACAGGTATGAGTACACTTTTCAAATGAATAAACTCTTCAAGATTAAATAAATGTATCACTAAAGTTGAATCATCTGAAAAAAGTATCCATGGAGTAAAGTAGGTAGTATGCTTATTTTGAAATTTGAATTTTGAAAGTATACTTCAAGTAGCTAGTAATCTTGTGGTCATTAGGTACAAGTATACTTTTCAAATTAATAAAATTTACTGCTTATTATTGAATAGAAATATCATAATACTCATTTTGAAGAAAACATCTGAAACCTTTGGAGTAAAAAATGTGTTCATTGGTAGTTTTGAACTGAACTGCAAGGTCTGCTACTATTGAACAAATGTTCAATTCTTATTAAAATAAATGTTTTTATTCAAACTTTAAGACCATTTTTCATGACCATGATCCTGGACCTTTTGTTGGCCAGTGGAGAGGATATGAATGACACATGTTAAGAATTTGTCAGACATGATACTTACCACAGTAGTTGATGAAATAGTTGTTGCCATATCTGGTTTTTATGCTTTGGTAATCTAGCTTTATGAATTTCAGAGTTACCATACCGCTAAGTCACCAAAGAAAAACTACCAGCTGAAAATAATCTCCAATGCCCTGAAAGAGAAGTCATCCCTTTTTCCTACAAAACACTCACCAAAACTGAATTCCAATCTCATCCAAGGGTGCCGCTCAATCTGCTCTAGCTTCAAACGCCTCATTGAATCCACATTCAATATTTGCCTTGCCAAACTCAAAGCAGTATTACCTAGTTTTGCCCATGGGGTTTCAGATATATAAATATCATTCTTCCACTTGAGGAATTCCTCATTTTTATCAGTGGCTTCAGCCCAAGGAAGTTCTGCAAAAATACCTAGGAGTATAAAGAAAAAGCACCCCAAAGAAATTCACTAAACTGACCCCCTGTCATCATTGCTACAAAAACTATTCCACAGCTCCATAAATCTGCAGCAGGGGCCTTATAGGGCCTTTGCAGCACTTCAGGAGCTAAATAGGGCTTTGTACCACACCTGCAAAAAGCCATCACCTGAGAAACATTCTACATGAAAGCAAGCCAAATTCATACTTTTTATCAAGAAGTCTTTCTCTGCCTTTGAACCTGAAAAGAGTTGCCATGCCAAAATCACTGATTTTGAGAATACCATCAATGCTTATCAATAAATTTTCTGGTTTGATATCTCTGTGTGCTATTCCTTTTGAGTGAAGATAACTGACCCCACATAAGAGTTGTTTCATGTACATTTGGGTATTGGCTGGTGGCATACCAACATCTGGTTCTATAAAAAGGTGTGTTGGATAAAATACAAAGTTTAGGAAACTGGAATAAATTGTGTATACATTCAGAAATAATACTCCCCTATAATATACTTAGTGAACTGATAATATAAAAAACTAAATTAGCATCAACAAGATAATGTTTCTTTACCAATAAGTTGAAATAATTCTCCACCAGCTGCATATTCTAAAAAAATATATTCCTTGAGAGGTTCTTGTCTTCTTCCAAAATATTTAATAATATTTTCATGATCCAATAGTTTATGAATAGTTACTTCTCTATTGATTGCTGCAGAGGCATCTTTGTATTTATGGTGATCAATGATTTTACAGGCAATTTTCTCCTGTGACTTCTTGTGGATGAGAAGTTTGACTCTGGGAAGAATGAAGAATGCAATATTCATAATTAATAGTGGTAAGGTCAGAATTACAATAATATATACTCACTCTCCATAGGCTCCTTCACCCAAAATTGTGTTGTAACATAGCCAATCATCCACAAAGGTTGAAGTCTGCATTTTATTTTATATATTGAATTTTAAATTATGCGTTCATCAACAAAAATATTGAAACAAAATAATTTGTGGAAATCTTAGGTGGCTTTGTATGACAAAACATTTGGTGACTATAAAGTACTGAAATAAAATACACTTGCACTAAATAATCTGGAACATTATAGTAGTTTCCTTAAAGAGAAAGCATAATATCCTATTTCCTATCTCATCAATGTATCACTTCGTCGTTTTCAAAAATGTTCGAACTAAATTTTGCACCAACACGTTCATTGTTCACAAGGCAGTAGGCACAATTTTAACTTTAAACAAAATTAAATTTTGATAATTCATAAAATCGATTACATTTTGACAATGACACTCGACTTTGACAGCCAAAGGCAAGTTCAACAACCAATCAAATCACAGCCTTTCTGTCATCTACGTCAATAATTGATTTTCCGTGCGTTCAGTGCTTCTATGATGCTGACACAGAATAAGATATCTAGAAATATATGGTGCTCTCACTGGTGTTTCAATAACACCAAACTTAGCTAATTCGAAACGTAGCCAAAAATTTGGAGGCATTCGAGAGACGATGATACATGCAGTTTCTTCCAGTTTTCATTCATCCTATAATTTCATAATTTTCGCGTTGCCAATTTGCCATCGTAACTAGAAGCACGAAACTGCACCACTGACTGCTACTGCCACCTTGCACTGCTAGTCATCTTAGATCAATAATATGGTATGGCTACGCTTTGATCTGAATGTGTTTTGATTTTTGAGTTCGATGTTCGAGGACCTACTGTGTTCAATTATTTGAAACACGTGCGTTAATACTTAATTTTCTTTAATGTTCAGTGCATTTGAAGGTAATGAATTGGTAAGTGAAAGGGAAAAGCATTTACTTAAAAACCAAGGCATGTCCATTTTTTCTGACCTAAGAATTTCCCGAGGAATTCCCTAAACAACCATCAAGTTCATTCGAGGGCGAAGTAATCTCTGATTATAGTATTACATTAATTTCCTGTGAATTCTGGAAAGCATCTTCTAAATAACTACCCTCGTTACTCGGATAGTTCAATTGTTCAAAACTTGCTTGATATTTTACGAGCCATTCATTTATTTCCGAGAAAAAAATTAGGAAAACCAAAAGGGCAACTTGAAGAGGGATATTTGCCCTACCTACCCACGTACTTGTATCTTGTATCAAATGCAAACCTAGTCGGACCCTATCCTTGAACGGATCATGGGTTTCCAGGTTTCTTATTTAAAATCATTAGCATTGATAGATTATTTGCATAGTCGTCTCACCCTGTACAGAGATAATTTAACAGTTAACCATACTCTCTGCACTGTATAGGTAGGCATATATATTATCAATAATCTGTGGTATAGGTATGGGTCGAATCTTTTTGTACCATTTGCTGGAACACTGTGTATGTGTGCAAAACTGCAAATACTTATACCTATGTAATTATATATTATTATGGGATCTTCCTCGGAATCTTCCCACTCTATTTTTCAATCTCCTGGTAATTCAAAGGTATATTATATGATTTGTTAAACAGTTTCAATTGACCATGTCTCAATTTCAATTGAATTCATAAGAAGCTAAGTGCTAAGTAAGTAGGTGATATCTCGGGGTAGGGTAAGAGACCTCCAACATAATTTTTATATCAAAATAAAATAGAAAATACTGATATTGATTTTGTATATGCAGGGTGCTCGAGATAAAAACGTTTTGAAAAACATTTTGAAACGTTTGTATCATTCTGTCTTTTCTTTCCAAATATTTTCACACTAGCAGGTGTTGATTTGTTAATTTTTCAAAAACGGAGCGGGAGTAAATGAGAAAATGCCTGGTTCGGGGCGGTCAGGTTACAAACGAAAAATACGCCACAGGCGAAATTTCCTTTTTGTTGAACAGCCGAAAATGAATTATTTACGAGATTATTCAGGAATCACATAGTATATTGTTGGTTTGAATATAATTTGTCTCAACATTATTATAAATACGTTAAACCCGATGTGAAATCTGCAAAAAAAATGTTTTGCGTAAGTAGTACATACTACATCATTACATTTTCTATTTTCAGTGATGTTTAGTTCAAAAAAGTAATTGAAAAACGTTTGCTCAGTTGAGAAGTTGAAAAATAACGAAAAAATATTCAATCATACCCTCGATCATACCTATTTGACGTTTCATAAAGCATGAAGAAAATCAAAAACAATTCTCCATAGAACAATTTTGATATAGTAGTTCACCTAACAAGTGCGGAAAAGCCACTGTACGTAAGTGTTAGGTACTCTTTTTTTTTCTGCTAGCGTGCGGAAAAAACCCAAATACCTCTTTTCCGCCCTCATTTTAGTGTTGAAAGTTTTTCCCGCACTAGTGCGAAAAAGTGACTTTCTTCACTAAAATTAGTACGCGAAAATGGACTTTTCCGCACGCTAGTAGAAGAAATATTTTCTCAACCTAAAACATTGAAATATTTTCATTTACAGTGTATGGCCATAAATTGAATTGCAATCTTGAAAGCTAAGTGCTTTCTTCTATGTCTCATAGAGTTGGGTAAATAACAACTACTGTAATCTATGATCTTGTAAACAACAGATAGAGGCAATGGGAGACAATGTAAAAGTGTTATCTCTTGAATTCCATTCAGAAACAGATGAAGATAAATAAGGTCATTGAAGATTGGAGATAATTCTTTGAAATATGTATTATTTTTCCTTATATCCTATTCCAAGTTCACACAGTTTGAAAAAGAACTAAATGTTATGGAGAGCATTGTAGAGGATAAAAAAAAGCTACTCACGAGCGGTTTTTTTTTTCAATTAGGTAAAATAGGTAAATTGAAATGCATAATTATGTACAATTTGGCAAAGGACCCCGCACTAAACTATAGGGAAAATGGCTCTCGATGAAAATCGCTGAATTTTTGGTATGTTGCAGACTTTTATATACTGAACAGATCTTCCATTGAACTAACCTCAAAAAATGGACAGTTTTTCCGTTATTGACCTCCAAATGTCATTGTTACGAGAAAAAAAAGTATTTGAAAATGGTTGAATTTTTGGCATGTTGTAGATAAGAATGAACCGATGAAAAAATCCAATTTACCTAACCTCCAAAAATTGACAGTTTTCTCGATATTGACCTTCAAATGCATTTTTTTCAAGAAAAAAAATCTCTGAAAATGGCTGAAATCCTGGTATATGTTGTAGGAAGGAATGAACTGATGAAAAAATCCAATTGACCTAACCTCAAAATATAGACAGTTTTTGTTCACTGTCGCAGACCGTTCTCTCTCCAGATCTCTTTAAATATCGTAAATAATTATTGATATTCACGATATTTCATACATGAAAATTGTGGGACAACGCGTGATGACGTCATATACCGCGATCAATCCATTGCAATTATACTATACGATACGATTTATGTATTGTGTATACTTTAGTACACAACACTCCACTCCTACTGTGGAAATAAAACCTTGATTCTATGAAGAATTTGGAAATATTCTCATTGGTTGTTGAGCAATAAAAATCTAAAAGTGCTAATCGGTATGTCAATGTCACGTCATCGGCAGCTATATGGTGTTGGGAGGTGATTATTAAAAAAAATATATTTGGGGTGCATCGAATTTTATAATAGATGGAATGATCAAAATAAAATAAATATATGACATAAATTCGACTAGAGTGTATACCTACAGCCCCATTGATTTCGGAAAGACTATAACCATCTTTTAAATAATATTTATTTAATTACATCCCCTCTTGGGTTTTCTTCGCCTGTGCATGTATCATATGAAGAAGATTTGTTTTAAGAAGAATGGAAGGCCAAATACTGATTAATTGAATAGCAATTTTGTCTATTGATTATTGTTCCATTCATCTTATTTTCCATTCGTACACTTGGAGGTCAATATCTAAAAACTGTCAATTTTTTGTACGGTCAATTGGATTTTTTCATCAGTTCATTCCTATCTACAACATACCAGAAATTCAGCCATTTTCAGAGATTTTTTTACTTGGAAAAATTACACTTGGAGGTCAATATCGAGAAAACTGTCAATTTTTGGAGGTTAGGGCAATTGGATTTTTTCATCAGTTCATTCCTATCTACAACATGCCAAAAATTCAACCATTTTCAGATACTTTTTTTGTGAAAAAAAAATGACGTTTGAAGGTCTATATCGGAAAAACTGTACATTTTTTGAGGTTCGTTCAATGGAATATCTGTTCAGTATATCAAAGTCTGCAACATACCAAAAATTCAGCGATTTTCATCGAGAGCCATTTTCCCTATAGTTTAGTGCGGGGTCCTTTATGTTGAATGAAAAATTACTGAGGCGCATTATAAAAATTTCAAATTCACTATTCACTATTCACTCATATTTCAAAATTGAATGTTAAGGACCTCCTTAAGAACTGTTTGGACATTGAAAGATCCACTATTGGTTTGGGCGAATCTGAGTCAATGTAACGTGTTTAGTATGCTGAGAAGGCATCGAAAGTACACGTGAGTTTAATCATTTTGGAATGGTGAAAACCGATTTCAAATTGGTAAGGAAATTCGTGAGTTGTTCTACTTTGAATTCATGCTATATTTTGGACCACGACGTTATCAATGTTGACCAGTTTATTTCCAAGAACTCATTACCTCCTTTCCTTATCCTCCCTAGGTACGCACGATGTTCTTCGAACATTATAGGGATTTCCTTTCGTGTGCACCAAGCGATAAAAGAAAGAATGTACGCATGATGAAATAATCATGAAAATTGGATAACTGATAAGGACATAATATTTACTCGTGGAGTCAGACAGAAAAAAGCATGTTTCATAACGGGATAATATGAAATGCGCCATTCTATTTTTGAACCCCGTCAGAACTAAGAACTATATTTATCGGATTGATCTGAAAAGCACGTGGTAAGTAAGAGGTTAGTTGATAGTTGTTCATGCTTTCTCCCATCACGTTGAATCTAGTGGGTCTCTGTCCGACGAAATTCATTTCTCTCGAAAAGGTCAGTTACACAAGTGATAATAAGATCAAGTAGGTAGTGAGGAACACACTGGCTTATCGCGCAAGTATTGTTTTCTTTTATATACCAAAATATCAACTAACTGTACTAATATAGTCATCGGTCATCGAGCATGTGATTACTTATCAAGTATACACGAAAAGAAAGGAATTGTTGAATCAAGGAAAAATTAATTTGTAGATAGAATAGTATCGCAATGAAATTAAAGTTAAGTTCTGAACGATGAAATTAATTAATTCTCTGACAATGACAATCTAACCCTTCAAACATTAAAACATTTTATATACAAGGTGTAAGAACACACCACAAATGGAATGAAGCAAATAAAAGTGTCACATATGCACGACAAAATATAATCTTGAAATGAGAATATCTTAATATCTATATCTTGTTTCAGAGCGAATTTGAAATTTGAATTAAGCAAATATGTCTTGCATGAACTCTGGATCTTATTCAATCATCCACATCCATGAATTGTTGGTGAAGAGATATTGAATTGGCTCAATCAATCCTTATGTTTGAATCAAAATAACATGATATTGATTCAATCAAATATTTAGTTGATTCAAATATTTGGTTGATTCAAATAAATATTTGGTAAATTCAATGAATTATTTGGTTAATTCAAATTAATATTTTGTTGATTCAATGAGAGATTTCGTTGATTCAAGAGAAACAACTGTATTTCCATTCGACAAATTGTTTTGTTGAACCAAATTCAGTATTAATTCGGGAAATTTCCGAAATTTCACATAAATAGAATAAACTAAACTAGGAAACTAGTCGACTTCTAGGCATAGATCTCCAGTCTTTACTTCTCTTCAGCTGATGCAAAACTATTTCGGATTTCTAATCATCCTTCGATTTGTGCAGCTGATATTTCAAATACGAAGAATCAGGCTTCACGTATATATATAATGAATTCGAGGCAGGCATAGACGAGGCGAAATGATCACCTTCTGGGGTGAAAATTGAACTTTATGTAGAATGAACAGAATATTTAATTGATTTTACATATTTCGTTGCTCTATTCAAGCAAATGATCCGTTTGAAACGAGTTATAGCTACATCGGAATAAGTAAACTTGTATGTTGTTTCAAAGATATATTCTCATCAAAATCATCATTATTGCATCAAATCAACAAAATGTTTATAGTTGACTCAACATCGACATTATTTTGGATAGACATAACTGTTAAATTCCTGTTAAAAACTTCGAATTTCACGTCGATAATATTCTGATTTTAATAAAATGTAGTATCTTCTCAATATTGATTCGTCCTTTTTTCTGTCATAGAAAAAAATAGTGTATTATACACGGGAAAAATATTAGATTTTAGCTAACGATTTTTTGTCCCTTGGAGCTAAAATCTACTACTTTTTTCCGCTGTATAATACTTAACTATTATTTAGTTTCACCTGTTCCGGTGTAGATGATACACTTATTATCGTCTGATTGATTTGAAATTTGGAAGGTGCACATAATTCTGGTGAAAATGCATCATGAAATGTTTGTTAGAAAAAAAATCAAAATGGCGGTTCCAATATGGCGGACAAGTTTTGTAATTATGGTCCGATTCCATTCAAAATTTGTATCTGGGGGTTTTCGGGGTCGGAAATTATGGTGCTTTCGTCAAAATTTAGAAAATCAATATAGCGACGAGTTTTGTGATTATAATCTGATTCTGTTCAAAATTGAGAAATTCAAGATGGCGGATTCAAAATGGCGAATGAGTTTTGTGATAACGGTCTGATTATAGTCAAAATTGGTATGTGGGGGTTTTTGTCGTCGGATATTTTCACAATTACAAGCTTTTATTCAGGTTTACCGCTGTCTGTCTGTGATTATGTGTACATAAAAGCTTGTCTTTAAAACGTTTTTTATAAAAGCTTGTTCATTCTTGCTTGAACTTCCGTCTACCAAATTTTTCCGCATATATTCTGAAACACCCTGTAGCTATGGCACAATTGTTGATCAAACCTCGAAGATGTAAGTTTGAGTGATTCACAAATTGAATTTCCTCTATCTCTGTAAATAGATAATTTAACGATTTATTTTCTTGTAATCTATATGATGTGTGAAATTGCAATGCAAATATTTTTCAATACCAAGATATATTAGATCATGATGATTCATATGGATTGGTGAATTCATAATAACACGAATAACACTACCTACTTGGTAAGTTAGCTTTAACTGATTCAAGTGCATATTTACGTGTTGCCTTAATTGCTATAAACCATCTCAAGGCGTTCTTATAGGATGAGTAAGATTAAGGTGGATTTATGCAGGACCATTTAACAATTACAATTAACAATTATCAATTAACAAATGATGAGAATATTGACATTTATGCAAACCAAATTAACAATTAATGAATGGTACGCAAGCGCACATGTCCTAAATCAAGGCTATCAAAGCCATAACCTAAAAAAATCGTTGTTTACAATTTACATAAGGAGCTAAAATCTAAAATTTCAAAATGTTTTCTGATCTAGAAGAGACCGGGTTTTTCATTCACAATTATTCTGTTGAGTGCGATTGTTTTATCCTAAAACAAATTTCATAACATCTGTCAGATTTCAAGTCTGACATTGGTCTGACCAATCCATGCCTTCTCTAGCAGACGATGAAACCAATCCGCGTTCATCTGCGTACTAGTTGCACAAAAGAAGAAAACCTGGTTGAATTGAAGTAAGAAAGTTGGCCAACTGCTTACTTGTTACTTGTTAATTTATAATTGTTAAATGTCTGCATAAATACCTTCATTGAAAACAGGAAGTTCAACTTTCAATTGCTACTTGTTAAATAATAAATATAATAATAAATCCACCTTTAGTTAAAAAATATTTAAAGAAGAATGTTGATGAAACTTGATTGTCCGAAAGAAAAACTCAAGGAATCAGCTAATTGTGTTTCACCCTATAGGGTGTTTATCAGTCAACTATCATAATATGTACTTAATTTGTATTATTTACAAATTATCAAAGTTTAGTGTTTGTTCCAGTTGGGGAGGAACAATCTTTGGGGCATCTAAGAATCAGTCATGAGATAGTACCAGTGGAATTTGAAGACATAGATTAAAGATTAATCTATGTTGGAGGGAAGGAGTTATAATTGGGGAATAAGATGAGCTATAATAGAGATGAATATGGATGGAAGAATGGACTTCAACCGAATCAAGGTACTTTGACAACTATTTTGCTAGAAAGAAATTAGTTTCATTCTTCACTAAATAACATCAATCTTAATTATAACATAATATTTATATGTGAGAATTGATAAAAATTACCATTCTTGTTGAGTTTTGTGGATCAAATGTGTTATTAAATTACAGGGTGATTCCGAAACTAGAGTGATAAAATTAAGTGGGTAATTTATGACGAAAAACAGAACCAAATCTGAGTATACAGGGTGTTATTCAAGTACGTGGCCAAACTTGAAGGGGTGATTCTTTGAGTGATTCTAAGACGAAATGTTCATATAAACTTAGGTCCGGTAATGCTTCGTTTTCAAGATACAAGGTGTCAAAATTTTTAAAAGAAATAGTTTTTTTTTTCGTAAATATCTTTATAACCCTTCAACCGATTTTATTGAAATTTGGCAGTGTTATTCAAGGTCGTAAAGGGCTGATTTAACCCTAACTATATCAAAATTATCATGTCCAGTGGCGTCCCGGAAGGCACTGTAACCAATATTTTTGACAGAAAAAATGTGCGCCACTGATTTTTTTGCAATTTTTGTATTTGTTTCACATTGAGCAACTAAAATTACAACTTTTTTATTTCTAGAATTTTTTTCGTATCTTGCTTTGTTTTTGAGAAAAAACATAAAAATCACTTCATTGCACATCCCTGTGACAACACAATAAAACATTTCAACTACTAAACCATCAAAAACTGGGGTCTTACTAATATTTTTTCATATTAATACTCTATTCTAGTCTTGGAATTTTTTATCAAAATTAAAGCAATGAAAAAACAAAAAATATGTATGAATGAATTGCAGCACTTGCCTTCGGCTCTTGGCTTCGGCTCGTCACAGGGATGTGCAATGAAGTGATTTTTATGTTTTTTCTCAAAAACAAAGCAAGATACGAAAAAAATTCTTGATATGAAAAAGTTGTAATTTTAGTTGCTCAATGTGAAACAAATACAAAAATTGCAAAAAAATCAGTGGCGCACATTTTTTCTGTCAAAAATATTGGTTACAGTGCCTTCCGGGACGTCACTGAACATGATAATTTTGATATAGTTAGGGTTAAATCAGCCCTTTACGACCTTGAATAACACAGCCAAATTTCAATAAAATCGGTTGAAGGGTTATTAGATATTTACGAAAAAAACGATTTCTTTTAAACATTTTGACACCCTGTATCTTGAAAACGAAGCATTACCGGACCTATGTTTAAATGAACTTTTCCTCTTAGAATCACTCAAAGAATCACCCCTTCAAGTTTGGCCACGTACTTAAATAACACCCTGTATAGGTTTCGTCAATATCCCTTCCATCATAATTTTATTAATGTATCCCTAGAACTTTTATCTCAGCGAAATAGCAACTTTTGCAATGTTGCCGGACGATCAGCAATAGGTGAACATTTTTCGAAAATTGTTGATTGCTTGAATTACATTTTACGATTTTTCATGCCATTATATCTCATATAACACGCCATTTTATTGTTTGTTTTTAACATTTTCATATATCAATTCGTGTTTCCTAGACCGAAAAATTTACGTACACGGTGATTGAGTATGAATTTCAGAGTTTAAATATCCTTGCTATCCCTAAAAATAATACTGATGTCGGGAGGTCAGGTATTATCCCTCCATTAAAAAAAAAGGTCAGGTTAGGTCAAGTATTAGCCCTTCATTAGAAAAAAACTGTAAAATCTTTTATTCTTCAAAATAATGGAGTTCTCTAAGTTTTCACAATCGTGCATGTGAGAGAAAGAGACATATAATTGAGCTCTTTACTATCGCGTAGAGAGAGAAAAATTGTATCTTTATATCCATGTTTCTCTCTTCAGTGATACAAACTACAAACGTAACCGTCTCAAAATTTAAAGAGATCCATTAACTCTTTCCTTTTCTACCATCTAATCTGTGCCACTGAACTATTATTGAGATTTCATGTCTTAAACCATTCCGACTGGTGAGTTGATGAAACGCATTTCTAGATCTATTCGATACCAAGATGCTGTCAGTTTGACATGTTTTATAATTTTTATTCATGACAAATGAACGATATTGTTTACCTCTATTTGATTATCAAGTCCATCATTTTCTTCAAAAAGGTGATCAGCAAATGTAGTTCTGTGGTTTTTCGAGAAAGAAATAATCACAAATTATCATTGAGGGTTATTTCAAATATACCTGTACCAATTTTCGTCTTTTGAATGTACAATGTGTAAGAGAAAAAATTAAAAAGGATAGGTAAACAACATTTTTCATCCTGATAATTCTTCACTCAAAATAAAAAGATGAATCAGGATCACTTGAAACATACCTGTACCGATTTTCATCATCATTAAACACAGGGTGTTCTAAAAAATAAATTGATATTTTTTTTTAGTTGATGAAAAAATATTGCCTACTTTTTCTTTTTAATTGTTTTCTCATACACATCGTATTTCTGAATGATGAAAATCGGTGCAGATTTGTTCAAAGTGATCCTCAATAATAATGTGTCATCAATTCTTCTCAAAAATACCACAATACTAAATTTTCTGATCACCAATTAAAAAAAAAACATAATTCGTTTTTTCGGACACCCTGTGTTTCATGATGATAAAAATCAGTAAAGGTGATTTCAAGTGATCGTGATTCAGAATCCATCATTGTTTTTATTGCAAAAAAATCCCTAATAGTACTTTCTCAAATATGGGTCAATAAAGTTGGTCGCAGTTGGCCACAATTACAGTTCATGAGTAAAATCACTCTCTTGTTGGATGGACATTTCAAATACATATCCTTCAAAAAAAAGTTTTCAGGAATCGGTCAGTTAATAACAATTTTACAGGGGTGGTAAGTCCTTAAGGTGGACACACTGTATATGGCAAGGCATTGGTGGTTACTTCACATATTTATTTGAGTTGATTGTTTCGGTTGCAGAAAAACTAGCATGTTTCATTCGGATCAAAAGTAACTTCGTTTGACTCGCAAATTTTGCTTTCGCTCGACTTCGATAAATCAATCTACTATTTGTAATAAAGTATTTCAAAAAAACCTCTCTATTTTTCAATACAGCTACGTTGGTGAAAAATGATGGAAGATGAGAGAACTTTTCTCACTCTACCACTCTCTTTCTCTCTCCCTCTTTCACGATAGTAACGATTCTATTTTATGCTTCCGAAAGATTGTAATTAAAAAAGTTATCGATCAATGCACTTGTGCACTACTAGTTCCTCTTCAAATCGTCGACTTTGAATTTATTGTCAAACTTTTGGTCAACAGAAAATAAGTGAAATGCATTACTTGCTCAGATCCATATTTACCGAACCTTCCAACTTTTGAATTTGAGTGAAACCTTGTAAAAATGAAGATACCTAAGCTCGATATCAAACCACTTATTGTTTTGACATTGAAGGACATAAACAACAACTCCAAACTGCTGAATAGTCTTCATTATGTCAGCAAATACCTGACAGCATGAGGTGTGTTTCAATAGCCGCGTAGTGAACAGTGGAATTCGTAAATTTTAGAAGAATTCAATGAAAAGACCCGATTGCAGCAACCAGTGAAGCTTCAGCCGTCCTGGGAAGAAAATAATTTGCCTGAGGACGAGTTGAATTTCAAAAGTTTGACGATGGACGAGGCCAATTTACAATTGAACACTCCACCTGATCGGTACAATTTGGTTTATCTCACTTTTCTCGTACATGGTATTGGAGTTTTGATGCCTTGGAATATGTTCATCACTGCCATTGATGTAAGTTTAGTACAAAGGTGTAAATAAGGGGATTTGGATAACTATTTTTTCTATACTCGGTCACAATTTTCGTTTGTGGGGTCTATTGGTGATTGGAAGCTCCTGTTGTTATCAAAAACGAGAGCTTCTATTATCACCGGAATTTTTTTTGAGAATACGAATATTTCGAACCTCAACAGCTCCTCATGATCTACAAAGCGCAGATACGGCCTGTTCTAGAATACTGTTACCACATATGGGGTTCAGCACCAAAACATACGCTGATGCTCCGCCTGGTGGGTGACGCCACACTCACTCAATCTTTGACATCATTGGAACAACGTAGAAAGGTCGGCGACCTTTCACTTTTCTATCGATACTTCCACGGGAAATGTTCTTAGGAAATCTCTGCTATCACCCCTGCACTAGCATTACCAGTCAGACGAACTAGACAAGCCGAGTCAGCACATCCTTTCGTTGTCAACCTCGAAAGATGTCGAACAGCACTTTATCAAAACTCCTTCATCCATAGAACGGCTAGGCTCTGGAATTCATTGCCTGAGGAGGTGTTCCCAGCAACGTGTGATCTCCAGAAATTAAAAAAAAAAATTCAATACCTACCTCCTATCCCTATCCTCCCTAGGAACGCACGATGTTCTTTGAACATTATAGGGATTCCCTTTCGTGCGCTTCAAGCGCAAAAAAAAGAAGATATTCGTGTTCAAGAAAAAATTTCTTTTTTCAATTGAAGCTAGAGTGGTATTCGGTAATGGAATTTCACACCGGAATTTTCCAAAAAACCGCTAGATAAAATACAAAATACCGACTTTACTATCGCAAATTATTGATAAGGCAGCTGTTGGTAGTTCAAACTTTTATTCTAAAGTTGGTGGAAATATATTTTGTCTCAAGGAACTCCACAGTAAGGACACAGGGGCGGATTCAGGCAGTATTTGAGGGGCAGGGGCATAGGAAGGAAGTTACGGCTCATTGAGTATAGCAAAAAAGGAAGGAATTTTCATTGGTGCCTTTTGAAAAAAAATTTTTCTTTTTGAAATATTGATTCTAGTAAAATCATAAAATAATATTCAGTTTCCCTTCAAGTATCAAAATTCCTGATTCAAAAAAATATTAAGTTGAAAATATTCGATATATTTCATAAACTTACAGGCTAAATGACAAAAACCGCCCAAAACCATAGCGCCGCTATCAACTATCCGATTTCAAAAATCAAAAACGCGAAAGAAATTACTCTTTAAATCTCATGAGTTGGCTCTGGTCATTGTTTTTTCAAATTCCAACTGAAAGCTACTGATTTTATTTTATGTTTTTTCTCCAAATAACATTAAAAGTGGATATTCAATGACACTTAACAGGCAGAAAAGGTGTACTCTTACTGTCTTGACAGAAAAAGTTTGTTGCTATGCAAGGTTCTAAGTAATTTGAATCAAATTGGTAATAAAAATTGATAATGACTTTGGATGAACAAAAAATGACGAATTATTTGTACTTTGCGGGAAATTGAAAAGAATTTGGAGAAAAAATTATATGTTTCACATGGCCGAAAAGAAGATGTAATGCCTTGGCTGGTTGCCTAGCCCCGGCTACGCCTAGGCAACACAATTGAGTTAACAATGAAAATTATGAGGAGATATTCATAACAGAGTGGTATTTCGCTTGACTATTTCACGTTCACGAAGCAAAACATATTTTATGCTAAACTGAGAGAATCTGCTTCGCTATCCATAGTTACATCGTTGATAACATGAACGCTTTCAGACCAATCAGAATTGAAAGACAGCTAATGTTTTCGCGATAAGCACACGTTGTATCTGGCTTGTGATTGGTCAGATTATATGATGAGTGAAATAGTCAGTTGAATATCAACATGATTGTTTGACTTGTGTTACTTAAATGAATGTAACTTAATTTTTTCGATTTTTCCTTCCAGTATTTTTTGAAATACAAATTACATGAAAGTTACATAGGATTCGCATTTCCACATGCGCCGAATTTCATGCAGTATTTGACGTTTTCCTCGCAAGTCCCTGGTCTACTATTCAATTGGATGAATATTTTCGTACAAATGGGGTAAGCAGTTATTTCCTTCATAAAACAAATAAGAAAGTTTCCAAAATTGAGACATATTTTGATCATTGTGATGTTTCAACCATTCTACATTAAGATGGCTGCAGAGCTGGGCAAATACTCTGAGAAAAGAATTTGAATATTAAGTATCAAATACTTTCAGATATTGAAAATATTTGAATATTGAATATTTTCAAAGGCCAAGAAGTATTTAAATAACAAATACAAAAGTATTTGAATAGTTCACAGTAAGTATTTGAATACTTACGAAGTATTTGAGTATTTTCAAAGTATTTAAATACGCAGAAGGTATTTGAATAATTCCAAGGTATTTAAATACTCCACTATAATGAATGTTGGATGTTGAGGTCTCTACTCTGAAACTACCTACTGAGGGAAAGGGCGAGGGTAAAATAACTTGAAATTATTATTGATTACTTGTTTTATGTCTTGTCCTAAACATTTTCATATTTTTTTCTAGAATCTGTGTGAATACATATTCAATTATTCTCGGAGTATTTGTATACTCAAGTATTTAAATACTCCATGGTATTTGAATATTTTACGAGTATTTAAATACTTTTGGGTATTTAAATACTTCAGTTATATTTAAATACTTTGAGAAACTATTTGCAAATACTAAGTAATAAATATATTTCAACAAATATTTGTTAGTATAAATATAATTTCCTGAACCAGAAAGTATTTAAATACTCGGTATTTAAATACTAAAAAGTATTTGTAAATACAAATAATGCCCAGCTCTGGATGGCTGGTGTTTTTTTTGACAATTTTGACATTGAAGAAAAAGGATTTCAATAAGTTTCTCCAAAGGGAAACTTTCTTATCAACGTTACTTGATGATCTTGGTTAATATATTTTTATATATGAGGCGGATTGGTTGAATTTATTTTTAGGGGAGATCTGAATTCGAGAATTGTTTGGAGCATAGGCATTGAAGTTGTTGTTTTTATAGTTACCGTTATTTTAGCCATGTCCGATACTACAGCAATCCCGTACGGATTTTTCTGGATAACAATGATTTGTGTCATCATCTTGAACAGTGAGTTTATTCTTAACCAAAATAAAAGTTTAACCCTTAACTGGTATCGTAGGTGATATATACAATAAAAAACTTTTGACTTCTCAAAAATGTTGTTATTTCGTGAGAATATCTGATCGTCGAAACTATGATCCTCAAAAAATCTTGGTATTTGAATTAACAGGACACTAAATATCTGGTATGAGTATTAAAGGAGATCAAAATAAAAATCCAGATTCTTTGAGGGCTGTATAAATCACTTGAAATGTTGGGTGGAAAGTAGTCGCTATTGTAGGCTTGTTCATCAGAGGAAAAAATTATTCGATTGATAGTAAAAAACTGATAGATGTTTAATTTGCACACCCCAATCACTCTGTATTATCGAAACTGTTTGATTTTTGCAAAACATTTCACTATGATTTCCTAGATATCACGAGCTTAGGAGAATACCTGAAACAATAAATCACCAAGTTGAGAGTATGATATTTTCGCATAATAATTATCACTAATGGAATACCGAAACACCTTACGATACCAGTTAAGGGTTAAAAAAATAGTAACTATTCGGAAACGGTTGAAAATTACTATAGGAAGATATTATACTGTTCTTTCACAATTGTTACGATGGGCGAATGGACTGATAATCTTCCATTTCCACTCATGAAGCAAAGTTGTCAAGTCACCAATTATAATCAAGTTATCTAAAAGATGTTGAAGTCCTGTCGTTGAATAAAACATAATAGGAGGAACTCATGATGTTTTAACTCATTCTCCACTTCTTCGAGCAACCAGCCTGTCCAAATATTCCTTATTCTCCATAACAAAATATCATGTGAATGTTGGAGACTTGGCAACATCGTGCTGAATGTTGAGAACTGACAAGACCACGCCCGCAAGTCGTGCGCCGTGGTTGTCACGTTCACCGATTCAAATGTCCTCTAGTGTGAATTGATATAATTATTATTTACAATTCAAAATTTCAAATTCAAAATTTTGAGACAACGGAATTTTTATTGCTAATAAGGAGTATTACCAACATTATCTTAACAAATATGGAATTGAAAAGTTTTCGATTGATGATTCTCAACTTTGATTGTGTTTATATGCTTACCTAACCCCGCACAAGTTTCGACTTTTGGGGCGTTTAGTCCCAGTGCTGGGACCAACGAGGTAATGAAAAAAAAACTGCTGATCAATCGAATCGCATCAAGCACATTTTTTTTTGCTCGAAATTCAACATTGAATATTTTCGCGAAAATTCCACTTAATCGGGTGCGGTTTTCTTTATTCTGAAGATTGATCCATTGGGTATACGACAGATAGACCGCTGATGGAAATACATGGTAACCTCTGGCTATACAGGGTGATAAACAAACCTCTGCAAAATATTGAAACATTCTGCATGCTCCCAATCAGTAGCGCATCTAGGATTTAGTTCTGGGAGGGGTAAATATCCAAATATAGGAAACAGAAACCTATCATAAAAAAATTGTCATCAACATTTGAACAAAAATGAAACAAGACTAAAATACAAAAATAACAAAAAGCATCTCAAAATATAACAAAAAAACTCTTTGGAAAGAGGAGATTACAAAATGAAGTCTACTCTTCTATTTTTTTTTGGTAGCATATCGATTAATAACATCTTCGACATCTCCCTGAATCTCTCTATGTATGCATAGCATTGCCAAACCTGAAATAAGCCTTTCTTGCAGCATGGTTGAGCGTAGCCAAGTTTTCAACCGTTTAAGGCAGGAAAAACTCCTTTCCGCAGAAGCCACACTAACAGGCAAGGTAACAAGTATTTGTAGGCATTGTTTAATAAGGGAAACATATCTCCATCACAAGATATAAAGAGATCTAAACCATCTTTAACATCATTTTGTGTAACGGATTTCCACAACTGAAACTCAGAATTTAGTTTTATGAAAGTTATATCATTGCTCATATTCTCATGCAACCTATTGATGTAGTCTGTTATTGTTTGAAGTGATTTAGTAAGTGCATCGGGATTTCTTGAACAAAAAATTGAATAAAAAAATATATTGAACTCAAAAGTATTCAGTCCCTCTTCATCAAACCTAAAACGAAAGTCGTTCGTAACATGATCCAACAAAGGTATATGTACAATTTGAGCCTGTAGTAAGTTTCAACATTTTCTGCTAGTATATTACTACGATATACTTGTCGTTTTATTATTCTTGGACTATGAATATCTATCTCCATTTTTTCATGAATATCACAAACCAATTCAATAATATAGCTTTAAATTGACGCTCAGCATTGCTTCGTTTTTCTTCCAAAACCAAAATTACATTTTCTTTAACTTTACCAACATATTGTCTGTCGATTGATTTTGTTTGTAAAATCTTTCTTACATTAACTGTTAAATCTAAAATTCCACTCAAGCTATAAAGGGAAACAATAAATTCTGTAGAAGTAATTCCAGTTTTGAGAATCTCAGCTTTAGACGATGAATCGCGGTCGTTCCAAGTTGGAATGATTCTGAGCAAATCAACAATGCTTTCAAAGCTACTTTTAAATTGCAGCACTGATTCGTGCCTATCTACATCTAGTATCACAAAGAATTTTGAGTTGAGTATCACCTAATTTTTGGCTGAGAAGGAAATTTCTTTTAGCCGATGCCCTGATACCCCCCGTGTCCTGGGGGGGGTAATTACCCCCTTTACCCCCCCCTTGGATGCGCGCCTGCTCCCAATTTGATGGAACATTTTTGAGATTTTTCTCAAGCGTATTTTCATAATTCTCAAGCATATTCCTCGAAATGATTTCGCAAATTTTTCTCTTATCTTTCCAGATTTTCGAGAAAAAGATTGTTTTTCTGAAAAAGTGGAAATTTGTACTACTGACCAGAAATATTCTTATTTGTTGCTCAAATATCACAGACTTTTTCTCTTGGATGAGCTATTGTAACCATTATTATCTGAAATCTTATATTGTTTATATACAGAGTGTTTGGCAACAATATTTGATAGATATTACAGGAACACCGAGTACAACACATTGATCAACGTGTATAGTGTTCGAGATTGAATGACAGCGACTTTCCTTGAAGTTGCAGAAAAAAAACGAGAGAAAGAATATACAGGATGATACACCAAGATTGTTGGAAGTTTTATGCAATGAAACTTTGAGAGTTCAAAAATGTATGTGATATATCAATGAATTCTTACTCATCTCTTTCGCTCTTACTCATCATTGGAATGTTGCTCAGTGTAGAATATACGAGGTGATACACAATAACTTGCTTATTCCTCTGAAGAAGTTGACTTTGTTTACTCAAAAACTGAAACAAGGCAAGAACTGAGATGTTGAGTTGCTGTCATTCAATCTCGAACACTATACAAGTTGATCAATGTGTTGAGCTCGGTCTTCCTGTAATAAAATCTATCAAATATTGTTGCCAAACACTCTGTGTATAAATATTATAAGATTTCATACAATAAAGGTCACAATAGCTCATTCAAGAGAAAATCTGTGATATTTGAGATACAAATATAAGAATATTTCTGGTCAGTAGTACAAATTATCACATTTTTCAAAAAAAATTCTTTTTCTCGAAAATCTGGGAAGATAAGAGAAAAATTGCGAAACTATTTCGAGGAATATGCTCGATAATTATGAAAATATGCTTGAAAAAAATCTCAAAAATTTTCCATTAAATTGGGAGTATGGAGAATTTTTCAATATTTTGCAGAATTTTGTTTGTCACCCTGTATAGCCACAGGTTACCATGTATTTCCATCAGCAGTCCATTTGTTATACATCCAATGGATCAATCTTCAGAATAAAGAAGACCGCATCCGAATAAGTGGAATTTTCACGAAAATTTTCAATGTTGAATTTAGAGCAAAAATGTGCATGATGCGGATCGATTGATCAGCAATCAGCAGTAGGGTTTCTCAATCCCGGAGTAGTAATACAATCCCAGGATTCCGGGATCAAACTGATACGAACCGGGATTTCGGTATCGGGATAAGAATTTGAAAGAAGTATTGGACATACTGTAGATACGTAATGATTACATTGATACTCGTATATGAACTAAAAATGTAATATATACATCTAAAAGTAAAGGGAGAAAAAAAGCAGACTGATTTTTGGGCGAATGGTACTAGTTTCGAAAAATACTCTTTCATATTCTACACTAGTTGGTGGTATAGTTGTTAGAAGATATGTACCTTTGTTGTCACCATTTTCTAAAAGGGTATTTTTGATATTTTATTTTGTAGAGGTAGAGTCGAATACCTCCATAATAACTTTTTTTTCAAGAACTTCGAATAATAATCTGATTCACTCGACGAGAGCGAAGTCTTATTGGTCAAAACTAATCCCTAAAAACCAGGGTTGTTTTGTTTTAAACATTTTGTTGTAATCAACTGTTTTAAACATGTTTTAAACATGTGCTCAAGTTTTAAACAGTTTTTGTTCAAAACAAAACTCCACATTTGGTGTCATTTAACCGACCTCGTATCTCTTACCGTAGAAAAGATACCCATGGTGATCATGGTAAGTGGGACACACTGTATAGCCCACTGGCAATGCGAATTTAAAAATGGTCTGTGGTTCCCCCAGGCCAACAGTCCTCATCAGGTTTGTTCGCGTTCGAAAAATAAACAGTCTGAAACCATCAGAAGCATGCGCAGTTCCACGGAACTTGGAAAATGTGTACTGTTCTGTGAAATTGCGCATGCTCCTGATTGTTTCGGACTGTTTATATTCTGAACGCGAACATGCATATTGCAATTGATTTTCTTATTTCGGGGATTAACCGGCACATCCTCACAGCGATGGCGCGACGTTCATAACACAGCTGATCGCGAAAGTTTAGTTCAGTATACAGAGTCTGACTTCAAATAAGGAAACTTTTATTTAGTGGACTAATACTAAAGATTATTATATCAAACATTTTGAATTAATCTCTGAATTAATATTGTGTTTGAAAAAATTTGATTTGAACAATGTATTTTTCTAAGTTTTATTTGTTTAAATCATAAAATTCAGAAACAAAAAAAAAACAATGTTTAAAACAAAAAAAACCGTTTAAAACAAAAAAAACATGTGTTTTGTATAAAATTAAAAAATACATGTTTTTTTTCAACCCTGCAGTAAAAACCCGGGGTCTAATCGGATATGATCCCGGGATTCTCGGAATGAAAATATCACTAGGACCCCGGGATATCCGTTATCGATATTTCGGGATTGCAAACCCTAATCAGCAGTTTATTTAGGAAATAAAAAAAGTAGTTCACTGGCCTCTTGTCTATTTTTTTCTAAGATATCGGGATAACAGAATATTGTGTGGTTTTAGTGGCCAATGGGATCTACCAAAACACAATTTACGGAATGGCAGCCAAATTGCCAGGAAAATATACCGGAGCTGTGATTCTTGGCTCTAATATCAGCGGTACTTTCACGTCAGTCGTCAGCATACTTTCCAGTTTGATAACGTCGAATGTTAGAATGGCTGCCATTTACTATTTCATCACGGCACTGTTCGTATTGTTGATATGTTTCGATACATATTTCGCATTGCCGTTAAATGTGAGTTTTTGCAAGTGGAACAGAGAAATGGGGAACTTGACAATGATATTAGTTCTTGTAGAAATGTTATTGCCTGAGGTCAAGTACATTGAAACCTGTGGAGTGGTTAATTACCAAGGATCAAAACACAATAATGATCAAATAACTCGATCAGATCATCGTGCATGTTTCGAGTCCATACAGACTCATCTTCAGCGAAAATAGGAAATGATGGAGAAGAAAAAGATAAAATTTTGATAAAAGTGAAGGAAATTTTATGGAAAATATTAATTCAAATTTTTAAATCACTTTTTAATGTTGTGAAGGGTGTTTTTAGGCCCCAAAAGGAAGCGAAAATACTTTAACATGCTCACAGAAATTGACGTGGAAATGATACATTCATTGCAAATCTGTCAATCTGCAAGTTGCTGAACTATATAAGAATATCCTTCTTTCTAAAGCAGAAAGATCACTAACTTTGATATACTGAAGGACTTTAAATGAAAATATTTCAATGCGATACTGACGCAACATTCCTTCTTGGATAAAAATATCTTGAAATGAACTTCTACATATTATTTTTTGGTTGAATATTGCTGATTTTTATTGACACTGATAAGCAATAATAAGTGACGTTTCAATGATCGAAGTGCATGTCAAAAGCTCAGGCACTCTTTTTTCTAGTGACTTTCTGTCTTATCCACTTCAATTTGATAAAAAATATAAGGATTTTGACGTGGTGAATTTCTAGGACTACTTACATTTATCAATTGAATATCAATTCTACTCTTACAATTTGCATGTGTTGTCTTGAATATTGCTGATTTTTATTGACACTGATAAACAATAATAAGTGACGTTTCAATGATCGAAGTGCAGGTCAAAAGCCCAGGCATTCTTTTCTCTAGTGATCTTCTTATCCACTTCAATTAGATAAAAAATATGAGGATTTTGACTTGGTGTATTTCTAGGACCACTTACATTTATGAATTAAAATAGAGACTTTCTCAAAAAACCAGTAAAGATGTCATGTCAAGTACCCTATAATTTGTCATTTCAAATGAAAAACTAATTAAACCACAAAACTGTTGTATGCTTTTTTTTTAGAAACTTTATAGACATTATGAATTGAAGGAGAAGAAGAATTTGGAAACTCAAAAGCGCATTGCCAAAGGAATAAAGGAAAGGCCTCCCTATTTGTATATCCTTAAAAAATCGTTTCCTCAGCTATTGAATGTTTTCCTCGTATTCTTCGTTACTCTGTCGGTCTTTCCTTCCATACATTCATGTGAGTAAACTAATCTAGAGTTCCTTGATGGATTCGACTTTTTTTTTTTTCATTTTTCAGCTATCAAACCAAGTGATGAAAACTTTTTCATTTCCGAAAAATTCTACACCAGTATAACTTGCTTCATAACCTTCAATGTTTTTGCCATGATCGGCAGCTGGTTGCCTAGTTATGTCATATGGGTAAGCTCGCCGCAAAAAGCTCTACAGAGTTTCTGATAAAAACATTATTGTTTGTAATCGAGTGGACGTTTTTTTATTTCAAAGTTTATTACATACTGCTTCCATGGTGGTTTGAGTAAAGCGATGTTTTCAATCGAACCATATCCTATATTTTTAGCCTCCAATTAAATTACACCCTGATTGAAAACTTATAAAATAAATGGAGAATGCAGTCGATTATCTCGAAAATATGTTCTCATTCACCATTTCGAAAATTTCTTTCAGCCAGGACCAAAGTTTTTGTGGATCCCGGTATCTTTACGACTTTTGTACATACCGTTTTATCTTCTGTGCAACTACCAAGTGGAGGGGGTAAATCGTATTTTACCGGTGCTGGTTACCAACGATTGGGTCTATTGGGTAGTTGCTGTCACTATGGGAGTGACCAGTGGATATTTCAGTTCTTTAGGAATGATGTATACACCAAGGTAAAGATAGAACAAAATTTACGGAGAAATATGTTGTTTTCACGCGCATCAAAAAATATTTGGCGCAATCGGTAGGTATATGCTTTTCTATGTTTGCATCTAGAAGGGTAGCTTCAGATTTGGTTCAATTCTCTTGGAAATGCCTAAAGCCTGGTTCATAAATGTGTGTTGGAAGTTAATTGTCGAAGACGAGATAAAATTTTCTAAATACTCGTGATTGAGAAGACCAATTCTGTTTTTAATTGAAGCTAGGATGGTATTCGGCTAGAAAAATTCCACCGAAATATCAAATAAAGAAATACTAGGATAAGAATATGCTAGATAAAATTCAAAATACCGACTTTAGTTACGCAAAAAATAAACATCATTCTTGACTAAGTTAAATCCACTAACGGTGGTGAAAATATATTTAGTTACAAGGAAGTCGAAGCAGTATGTGGTTTTAATAAAATTCACATTCATAACAGTGTTAGGTTGAATGAAACACAATTAACTTGATTCAGTTACACAAAGTTACAGTTACAGTTTTCTACAAATTCATTTTGCCAAAGTTGGTGAAAATATATTTTTTCACAAAAAAAACTCCGAAGTAGTGTTCAATATCAATGAACTTTGCTCAAATAATATTATTGGGCTTGATAAAATATAGGTAATTAAACGTCTTTAGTGAAATGAAGTAATGAAGAATATCACTCAGTTTGCTACTAATTCCTTCAGCTCCAGTTGGTAGAAATAGATTTCCTCACAAGGAACTTATCAACTTATAGAATGAAGTCGAGATAATCTGGAGTTAAATATAATGCTATATATGAATGGCAGAAAAACTTCCAGTGTAATTTCATGCTCCTTGTCACAAGGAGGAGCAAAAAATGAAATTACGGTAGTTGCTGTGGTAACGGTACAAAATAAAGACTTTTATTTGGTCGAAAATGTTAGGTGTGGAATTTTCCTTCGCACCTGCAATTATTCGACATCACACAAATCGTTGCTTAGATTTCGGGAGGATCTAATTCAATGTCTTGCGTGGTATTTTTACCAGGAAAGTAGAAAGTAGTTGTTTTATTTCTTTCTGTCCTCTACTATATTGTTTCTGTTTATTTTATTGAACATTTGTGGAAATGCCTTCGCGTCTGTGCTTCATTAATTGTTACCTTTATTTTCTTCTAGGTTGGTGGAAGAGAAGTATGCTTCGATAGCAGGTATGTTTGCTGGGGCATCCTTGATAACAGGCATCTTTTGCGGTATATTGATGTCGTTTCTGTGGCCCTGGGTGATTGGTCACGTGGGCAATTAGCACAAATGTCTGGTATATGACGCAGAAAAAGAATTCGCCATTCGTTTCAGTTAATGAAATGCCTGTTTTTTCTGGTCATATACCCTGTTGTTTTTTTTTTAGTGATCACTAAATTGATGTGAATGTTGAAAACTTCAAATAATCAGCGTATTCACGCCGAGATAGCTTAACAAACATGATAGTACGAACAAATATTATCCGAAGAATATGTTGTAACTCATCTTACTATGAATTCAAAATAATTACGGAAATTTTGAGCTTGAGAAGCATTTTGATCTCAGTTTTCTTAAGAGATACTGAATCTTTTTAAACAGGGCAAAGTTCTACATTTTTGCACTGAAATAAAGAATGTCGATTTATAATTTTGATTTATCAAAATAGAGCAAAAGGATAAGGGATTCAAACATTAAACTTTTCCTAGTAGATTTTGTGGTAGGTTGCTTCTACAACTATGTTTGGAAAATGGTCAGTTTGAAAGGATTGAAAATAAAAACGAAAATCGAAAATTAGTTATTTTTCAGTATTTTTAAAACAATTCAGGATAGGTTGAAATATCAATCAGCAAGTTTGGCCTGATTTAAACGATTTTGTATCCAAACACGGGCAACCTATATGTATATGTGGAATGTGCTTTTCATTATGTCTGTGAAACATTATCTTATGGAAATCTCGAATTATTTGAAATGTATCGATTATTTGCACAATATTCCGCAAAAACCAAAACAAGAATTTGCTTTCGCATTAAAATGTTTTTTAAGTTATCTGAAGACATCTGTAAATCTTCCATTATAATTTGAACCACGTGATTCAAATATACAATGTTGAGAAACTTGGTTGGTCACTATATAATATAATTGAACGCCATTAATTCATAGATTTAGTGAGAAGTTGTTTTAAAATAGAACACTGGGCTCGAAGTGTTATAATATCAGACTGAACAAAGACATATTATTTCAAGAATGTTGAATGTAATGTAACTTATTTTTACAAAACTATTGAAAATAATATTGTGATTCGAATTTTGTTTGTCGAATCATAATAGTGACTATAATAATGAAGCATTTGCTATTAGATAATCATCACCTGTCGTTGTCACCTTGGAAAATTTCGTTATCAATTTTTATTATTCATTGATCGTTGAAGAATGAAGACTGACACCATCGAGTTTCAACATAAATATAAAATACTTGGTATTGTATGCAGATGTGCAAAAAAAATGCCGGCATATGGGATTTTGAATGCGTTTTGACGAAAATTACTGTAGCTAATCGAACTACAGCAAATATATTAGATAAGCGCGATGCCAGCTAGTAATCAACTGATAGGCCACTGTTCGGGTGTGTTTTCATTTCATTGAAGAAAGTCCGCACTGATAGATGCGTTTTTTTGTCGTGACGTCACCAATTATTTGATGGAATTTATTTACCGATGCTGCAATGAAATATACAATACATTGATGGAAAAAATCCTCAATATTTTTTCTTTTGTATGAAATCAAAACTAAGAACTATAATGACGACGAAATGTTGGAATGCAAACACCCAAAATGGCGCAAAAATTCGGTACTAGCTTAGCGAGCAAAAACGCCAGCCGTAGGCAAAATCGTTGAAAACTTTACGACTGTTTTACGTGATTTAGCAACAGTTGTGATCATCCCGTTTTAGTTTTTTGCAATTGTCGTTATCGTCATAGATTCATTTACGTTGATCTCAGTAAGGAATCAATGAATGGAAACTGATGATGTTAGACAAGTTGCAACAAAAATCATGTTCATATCATCAAAGTAACCTCATTTAGCCCTTGAGAAATTTTATTGAATAATTATAGTCACAAAATATACCTAAACATATAATACAGGGTCTCACTGACCAATATATGTTATGGATTACATTTATTTTACATTTTGTAATATCTAGATAATAATAACCTTTATGATAGCATTATTGTTAAGTGGTTTTATTATATTTTTATAAATATATATTGTACAGTTTTACAGTGAGGTTCAAAAACACTGCACCAAATGGAAAATATTACCATTAGGTAGGTGTTATCGTTTATTGCACCTAGTAGAAATAGGTAATGGCTTTTCTTCGTTCAAAATCCGAAATGCAACCATCAAAATTTTCAAATTGCAATTCATAGTGAAGAGGAATTACAGAAAATATGTTTTTTATAAGAAGGAAAAATTTCAGAAATAACTAGGATCATATGCCAAAGACTGATAATTTGGAGACTTATTTGATGGTTGCATTTCAGTGTTTAAATGAAGCATCAACTTTTATCTGGAATAAGATTTTCTGAGACAAAGATGAGTTTTTTTTCTCCTATGGAGCAACGTTTTGAACCCTCACTTTTTTGTTTCCAGTTCTCCTATTGATACATATATTGAGGACAGCTTGTTGGGTTGTTTGGGATTATTCATTTTGTACATTTGTAAAATATCAGATTACATTTGTATTGCGAATGTGGAAGAAATAAGAAATGAAACCAATGAATACCGTTTTTTATGAGTATCCTTTCTTTAATAAGACAAGAGAATATGCCGATAGGTTCAAAGACATATTTTCCACCTGTCGCCATTTTTGTCAGCACATAGATGTCAGCATTTGGCGATTCATACATAACGCTATCTAGCGGATTTTCAGATAAGGATGCCTATTACGCGTTATAGGAAATTTGAATGGCTATCTATGTGAGAGTCACTATTCTGTTGAGAGTTTGATTGGAAACCATACTGAACCTATAATAAGAGCTCAATTATTGAGGGGGAGTCGTTAATCTAAGGTTAATTATAAAAGACACCATTCTCACATAAGGTTCTGAATGTTAACATGGATCACGTGAAAAATACAGTTGAACTGAACTAATTTAGGGACCCAAAAACTGGATAAGTAGGTATACCTAGTAGAGCTAGTAGTGGTAGGAGAACTAGAAACAATATTATATTTACATGACATAGGTACCTAGTCTAAATTCGAAACCTACGACATTGTTATTGTATGGGAACCTACACGTACCTACATCACAAAAACATTATAAGAATTAGATTAGTTATGATGAAGATATTTGTAAATAAAACATGAATTTCCTTCTCATTGTTTGGCTAACATTCCCTATCTGTATCGTTAAGTAGGTTATCTTCAAAAAGGCTTCGCCGAATTAACACGGGATGGCGCCACTCGCGTGACATCGCATGATCTGTGATAGATATATTTCTACAGGAAACTCTAACAAGTGTAGGTCACTGTAGATATTTCCAAAAAAAAAAGCTGTCATGTGTCAACTCTCCATAACTCGTACACAATGAACTCTATATAAACAACATATATATTGAGTTCATTGCTCCTACAAGTCGTACATAACTCACGATTGTACCGGTATCGCCATCTCTGTTTAAGCTGGTAAACCTCTACGAGGTTTTCATGTTCCAATACGGGTCCGTAGGTACCATCTGTAGCATTATACTTAGTACCATTAACAGTCGTTAATCTATGCTAGTACCCATTATACACTAAGGTAGTACCTTTGGCAATAGAGAATGGACACATTAAACACATTATCCCTGTGAACAATCTGACTCACTGAAACAACTGCATGAAACAGCGGTTCAAAAAACTCTTCATAATCCACCATGAATCATGCTTTGCGTCTGGTATGAAAGCAGAAACATTCCAGGTTCCATAAAACGTCATAAACTATGATATGATACCTAGTACCTACAGATTATAATATTCAATATTATACCATTTCATTGATACCTGTGCCATCTGTTTGTAGCCCACATTTCAATGTTGCCAGATTCAGATCATGTATTACAGTTTCATTGGGTGGTATAGTGGTAATTAGATAAAAACCATCTATGATTGTTGGGTCAGAAATAGTTTAGAAAAGTGAATTCCTCAATTTTCCTCAACTATTTATAATTATAACTGATACAAAAATACATCGACATTGAATATCAAAAAAATCCCAAACGGATACGAAGAGAACTGGCAACCTTGATTAGACTAGTTGAACCTTTCGCCAACGTCGGAGATCGAGCGCCACATTCGCATATCGCGTTTTCTTATTGGTTAATTGCTTTGTCTTGTTAGTGGCGGACATACGATTGTTTTGAAATTGAAGCAAGTCCTATTTTTCGAAAAATATTCCAGATCGAATGCCCTTGTGTACTCAAAAAGGGTGAAAGTGTTCGGTGCGATAGGGAATTCGATGCCGCTCGCCATTTTCTCACCGACAACGCTTTATTGGGCGTGTTAAAGCTGGCGTACGATAATGGCCGAGTTTGAGTGGATCCAACAGACTACTCTACGTTCTCGATGTTCGGGCAGTAAGCTTGTGTGCGGCTGAATAATATTGACGTGTCAGCTTTATATTATCAGAATCGATATAATTTTCATGTAGAAGCGTTGATTATAAATGTTTGGGGTTTGCAGAACTACTATCTATTTTCCACTGGTGGTCTGATTCTGGTGAAACAAAATCAGGTTAGTAAACTTGGCGTTTCCAGTTGTTTTTATAACAGCATTATTGTTATATAAATAAAGAAAATATGCATGAGAAACCTATCTAGCCTGTTCTTCTTGGCTAAAGCCAAAGGATAAGTAGTTATTGTATATTATCTAGGTAGTGGGATATGGGTAGGTTGATTATTGGAACCAATTTGAACATTATTTTGTATTTGCCTAAAGCATTCATGAGTCTTAAGATTATCTTGTAATTGTGAGTAGAGAATAGATATTCAAAAGTTGTCTTTGCCTCCAGAAATTTTGTAATCATAGTGACAAAAATGAACTATCAGATACCTACACCTGATTTGTGATTTGCATTACCATCCCATAATATATTAGGCTAGGTCAGTGCCGAATTATTTATGGTTGTGATTTTATGCAATATCTTTTTTCCTTCTTCCCACCTATCATTCTTGAAAAGAGGCAAAAGTAGGACACTAGTCACAGGTACCTACTTCAAAAGTTCAATATGATATGATTCAGGATTTAGATAGTGGAAATTACCACTACCTATCAGCTATTACGTACCTAGGTACAACTATTTATTATTGTCAATGTTTTTATTTAAATGGGCAACGTAAAACACTTTCATATGGCTTCTGCAATCGCCTTTTTCCAATAATAACAATTGCATACGCTGACGCTGCAGGCAGAGTGCAAACCTAGGTAAACCCAGACGGCCCTGACAAAATAAATGCTATCCGTTGAACCGAAGTCGTACAATGTACAACCAGTACAGTACAACACAACAGGAATAAAATATCAGTGAAGACAGTAACCATACAAAACAGAAAAACAGTCAGTCGACTGTTGATTCAACAGTCCAAGAGAGAGAACGAGAAGAGATTTACCCTCGATGGTACGCGCTGTTGCCAGTTCAATTGCAGGCTCTTGCTATTTAGCTATGAGTTGATTTCAGGGTCATTTAGCTAAGGATTATAATATGACTATCACCTATATAGTTTTGTTCTTGAAGCTTATTTCAATCACTGACAGATTATTATATTTAGATATTTCTTCATCATCAACAATAGAGATTTGTAGTCGTGGTCACGTGATACTTACTATTTGCCTCAAATTTACTTTCAATCAACTACCTACCTTTTATTCAAAGTGTGTAATGATCTCATCATTTTTAAATGAAGGAAATATAGGTAGGTAGATATGTCTGGGTATTATCAAAATTCGGAGTAGGTAGGTAGGTTTGTACAACTCATCTACCTCTCGACCTGAAAAAAATCAACTAGATGGTTATTAATTAAAGATCATAACCACTGGAATAGGTGGGCAATTTGTCAATTATGGGCGAACGTGAATAATGAAATGAAAACCCTAGAATTAAAAATTGATAATCTACAGATTTTCTAATAACTTGGCAACATTGTGAGGTAGTCATGTCATGCTGTCCCCTTTTGTTTACTACACCGTGCCGGTGACGGACATGCGATGTTGCCAGTTGGTTACTAATTGGAATTGCCCGTTTTGCTGTCAGTGATGTAACAATCGATAGATGTTTTATGTTTATTGCACTCTGCTGAAATTGAAGCAGGCAGGTTCAATCACGATTCGTTTTTGTTGAAGTTATGTAGGTACATTTCTGCCTCGTTATCATTGATTTTTTTGCTAGAGCTTCAATTGCAACGCTGTACTGAAAATTGAGGTAGGTGTAGGTAGTTATGCGTGGTATGTCACTATGTCAGTGGCAGTGCCATAAGAGGGGATTATCTACCCTCACCCACGGTCCTCACGGATAATGCATTTTGTACCATATACCCACCTACCGAGCAAACGCTCATTTCGAATAATAGATTATTAAAAAAGAACATAATCACCGTGATTATAGGGAATATTGCATATTCTGTGTCAAAAGTTGTTAGTTTTTCATCATGATGGAAAGAAGTAGATGGTGTACTTACTGATGTGCTTCTGTTTCAGAAATTCTTCTCGGCCTTCCGAGAGTCCCGTGAACAATGTTTTTAGCTGTTTTCGGATAGATGGCGACATTGCACAATTATGACATCGGTCAATTTTTAAATTGCCGCAGATTTTTGGAATTCAGAGTTGAATAATCCCACTGTTACATTTATGTTCTGCGTACCTAAAATGCCATTTGCCATTTTATTCCCACACGTCCACAGCAGCAATAGCAGCATCACCATCTAGCCGGAAAATGTAGAATCAACGTCTCGCTCGATGTGACGTAGAGAAATCATAGTAGGCGGTCCAGTGATTTTTCTTAAGTCTTCAATACGTAAACATGGCCGACTACGCGCACCATCCACTTATTTCCATCATTGTTTTTTGGATACTTTCCGATGTTGCCATATTTCTTTAAATTCTGGATTATCCGGAATTTCGAAAATGACAGGCAAAATTAATTAAAATTCACTGAGTAATATGGAATTAGGATTATACAGGGTGTCCCGAAATTACATAGTGATATTTCAACCACAGATTCTGGGAACAGAAATAGTCCAAATCAAAAAAAAAGTTCATATAAAGAAATGGCCTCTGGGAGTTATAGCCATCTGAAAGAGGATCAGAGTGATTTTTTTGTGAATATTTCCGACATCCTGTGTGATGAGAACGAAATTTTTTACTTGTTTATTACTTTTCATGCCCCATTTGGAAATGTTGATAATTTTCCGAAATTTTTATCAGAGGCGTGGGAAATAGGTGGGGTTATGTCGAGGGTTATGTACATTTCTTCCCCAACGTTTTGTTCTGTGCAATTCTTGGCAGTTTCTCTAGGAAATAAGGAAATATAGTTTTTACGTAAAGCTGATACACTTGTTTAGTTTCTATGGCACACCATTTTCGAGATAAATCGATTCTAAAAGTCTGCTGCGTTATGAAAATAGTACTTTTCCTTAATAGGGTACCAAACATGATATTTTTCAATTCATTATAAATTGTTCCTCCAATATTTTTTACCGAACATCACAAGTAGATGTTGAAAAATAGTTATTTTTGTATCTGGCTCGGCTACGCCTCATTAAAAAAATCAGATCTTGATCACCAAAGTAGTATTTTGCACTCGAGTTGCAAACATCATTTTTTTTTACAAACGTCAAAAAATATAGTTCTAAAGTAAAAATATGCTTAGCTTGATGTAAGAGATAGTGTTGAACTGGCTTAAAAGGCCTCCCCCTATCCTCCCTAGGTACGCACGATCTTCCACGAACATTATAGGAATTTCCTTCCGTGCGCTCCAAGAGATAACACAAAGTTATTGTTGAACATTCAGAAATAAATGATTTCGTGGATGTTTGCTCGATTGAGGACCATAAAGTTGAAATATAAATATCTCATATATTTTACATAACAATGCGCGAAGTAGGTACTTCGCGCACTGTTTACTTCGCGCATTGTTTTGTGCAAGGTATCATGGTAACGTAGGAAACTGAAAAAAAGTGTCACTTCGCAATTCGTTATCAATGCGCGAGAGTATTTTCCATCGAAACAATTGATTTTGGGAGGATGTAATTCAATGTTCTGAGGCGTGGCATTAGCCAGGAAAGTAGTTTTTTCTCTCGTCATCTACCATTGATGTTCCTATTATGAACAGTTGTGGAAATGACTGAGCTTTTTTGTATTCATTTAACGGTTCATTCCACTTAGCATTGTGGCTATTTGCTATTTCGTAATTGAAATAACGCCAGTCGGGCAAGCAGCCACTCCCATTTTGGGGTATTACAGTTTTGTGTAGTGTTTCTTTCCTTCTATGTGGTCTAGATGGCGTTAAAATCGTCTGGCACACCTGTGCCACAGATTACCCTGTGCCCACTGGAGATCCCTCTGAGACCATAAATATTGCGGATTTTAATTGGTGGGGCAAGCTTATGCTTAGGCTTTCGGACTGGTAGCTGGGGACTATTTTCACCATGGGACTACCTATAATACAGTGTCTTTCAAAAGTATCGGAACGGTCTCATATTTCAGGAACGGCTTGAGAAAAATTCACGAAATTCTCTACAGGGTGATTATTGATGATGTCCGATTCAATGGTGGCATTGGCAATGTTGCCAAGTTCACAGTTTTTCAGATATTAGGAGTAACTTTATTTTTTCAAATGGAATACCCCATTTATTTGTATTGCAATTAATTAAGCGCCTCCTAATCACTTGAGTCCCTGAATATCAGATTCGTAATTAACGTGATTTTCGAAATACGACAACACAGCATTTTCATTAAAAAGTTCTGGAACGGTCCCATATTTCAGAAACGGCTCAGAGAAAATGTATGAAAACTTCGACAGGATGGTTGTTGATGATGCCTGATTCAATGGTGATATCGGCAATGTTGCCAAATCAACAGTTTTGAAAATATTAGAAAGTTCCCAGACTTTTGAACGAAAATGCCATGTTGTTATATTTCGAAAACCACTCCAATTTAAAATCTGATATTTGGAGACATAAGTAATGAGGCGTCGCTGAATGTATTGCAATGAAAACAAATAGGGTATTCCATTTGAAAAAATTGAGTTACCCTCAATATCTGAAAAAATGTTGATTTGGCAACATTGCCGATATCACCATTGAATCGGGCATCATCAACAACCATCCTGTCGAAATTTTCATAAATTTTCTCTGAGCCGTTTCTGAAATATGGGACCGTTCCAGAACTTTTTAACGAAAATGCTATGTTGTCATATTTCGAAAATCACGTTAATTACGAATCTGATATTCAGGGACTCAAGTAATTAGGGGGCGCTTAATTAATTGCAATAAAAATAAATGGGGTATTCCATTTGGAAAAATAAAGTTACTCCTAATATCTGAAAAACTGTGAACTTGGCAACATTGCCGATGCCACCATTGAATCGGACATCATCAATAATCACCCTGTAGAAAATTTCGTGAATTTTTCGCAAGCCGTTCCTGAAATATGAGACCGTTCCGATACTTTTGAAAGACACTGTATATTTACTATTCCTATATATATAGATTAAAAAAAATATAGGTACGTCACGTCGGCATCCACGTCTATTGGTCGATTTCGCTTTGAGGACAGCTATGCTTCATATATGCGTAGTATAGCCTACAATGATGAGAGTCAAGGAGCTTTGAATTAGGAAGAAAGTACAGTTCAACCTAGGCGTTGATTGTGCAAAAATATCGATTTATCGAATAGCGATCACTGAAAATATATCGATCAATCGATATATCGATACATGTCGATAAATATCGATATACAGGGTGTTTCATGATTGAATGCTGATCCTAAAGGGTGATAATCCTTGGATGATTTTAAGAAAAATTCTTCATGTGAACATAGGTCCGTAACAGCTTCGTTTCTGAGATACAGGATGTTGAAATTTAACAAAAAAATCAGTTATTCCCCAATATCTCTGAAACCGCTCTGGCTTTTTTCTTCATTACAAATACTTAAAAATAGTTACCATAAAATTATAAAAATATTGCTCAGATCTTTTGGTTACAACAAGCAAATGCATGCATTTTATTTTCTAACTCAAAAACCGTTCGCCGGACGAAAAAAAAACAAGCAACCATTTTTATGAGAAGATAGAGGATAATTACAAAAATAATATTCATTTGGAAAAAAGACAGTGGCGTATCATTATTTTGATAAAAAATATGACAGGGTATGTTAACAGGGACGCCACTGATGGAAATTAAGAAATCCTTCATTATGGAAAAAATGTATTTCTATTCATACTCGGCATGTACCAAAATTGAAGAAAAAAGCCAGAGCGGTTCCAGAGATATTGGGGAATAACTGATTTTTTTGTTAAATTTCAACATCCTGTATCTCAGAAACGAAGCTGTTACGGACCTATGTTCACATGAAGAATTTTTCTTGAAATCATCCAAGGATTATCGCCCTTTAGGATCAGCATTCAATTATGAAACACCCTGTATAGTCACGACGAGCTTACACTTTGTGCCCTATCTCTATTCGAGAATCAGTCGGGTGAAATCCATGAAAATATGCACGCTTATACTTTAGAATACGCTCTCTTCATTTAAAATCTTTTCAGCAATGCAGTGTTGCCGCTTCTATCAAAAAGTAGCAACAACTTTGTTATTTCAAATAGAATACCTCGTATTTTATTGCATTTTCAGATTCTCCCTGAAGAGCTGATTTTATCGATACATCACACTTGGGGTCTATCGGAAATGACTACAGAGATATAGGGTGTTCAAAATCGAGATTTTTCAACTTTATGATTTGTGTGTGTCGAAGCTATTCATTATCGGCCAAAACGGCTCACACATGTCCTTATCTCAACTCTGGATTTACTATTTACTGATATTTAATCGGAACAGATACAGGGTGGTTCAAGATTTAGAATTCTGATCATCCTGTATCTTTGCCGATTAAATATCAGTAAATAGTAAATGATATGTTGGGAAAAGGACATTCGAGCCGTATTGACCGATAATGAATAGTTTGGACACAAACAAATCTTGAAGTTGAAAAATCTCGTTTTTGAATACCCTATATCTCTGTAATCATTTTCGATAGACCCCCAAGTGTGATATATCGATGAAATAAGCTCTTCAGCGAGAATCTAAAAATGAGATAATATACAAGGTGTTCCATTTGAAATATCAATGTTGCTACTACTTTCTAGTAGAAGCGGCAACACTGCATTGTCGAAAATATTTTAAATGAAGAGAGTGTATTCTAAAACATAAGCATGCACATTTTCATGGATTTCTCCCGCTTGATTCTCGATATAGATAAATCGATACATATCAATATATCGATACATTCCGATATATCGATAAATATCGATACCAAAGCATACATCGATATCAAGTTTTCAATATCGTACAGCCCTAGTTGAAACCGAGGTCAAACCGGAAGTGGTTTTTTTCTTGATCATAAATGATAAAGACAGTATTTTAACGGACCGCAAAGTAGGAATGGCGATCTTTTGGTCTGAAAAAATCGATTTTTTTCAGATCGATTTGTTCGATCTTTAGGTGAATCGATTTTTTTCACATAAAATCGAATCGAAGAAAAATGCACACTGAATAACATATTTGACTATAACTCAACTACTAGAGCTATTCAAATAAAATGAGGAATTATTGATGTTCTGTCAAGTTAGTTGGTAATTTCAAATTTGTGATCATTCAATGATCATATTTTCAGGAGTCAAGATCGTTTTCACACTTCTTCATGTATATTGTTGAAAATTTTCTATGATCTTATCAAGGATCGATTTTACTAAAAATCGATTATTTGCCTTTCGATTTTTTTATGGATCGATTTTTTCTCTTTCGATCTGGATGGATTCCAAGAATCGATCCTTTTTCCAAAGATCTCCATCCCTACCGCAAAGCCAATTTTGGTACTGTTCCAGACATGGTTTTGTAATGCAATGTTGGAAAGGACAACCAGATCATATTTCGATAACATTCTATCGAAAGACTTCACTCGCCTACAGGAAAACGACATTACAGAGCTGGATACGAAAAAACCGTCTCGCCAGCGGTCACCCAGAGCGAAACCACGGAGAAGTGATGAGGTACAGGTTGATGACGATTTTTTGTTAACAATTCAATTGTGGTTTGTGCCATTGCGTCACAAACTTTGTGGTCATATGAATTGATACTAGTGTCCATACAAGATTTCATATAACCATTAGTTGCGTTGCAATTATTAGAGTTCCTATTAATGTTCTTGATTGTTCTGTTTTGGCATTTTTGTATATTCATAGCCAATTCCATTTGGTAAAACTGGTGTCGGGTTTTGAATTCCATTGGAAAACTGGTTCTCATAGTCCAGAGCTCAGTGCAACAATTTTCGCACGAGCTCTAATAGGTCGTGCGAAGTCAGTGCAATTTGAAAATGGCGGAAACATAGAATATTAATAGTTTGAAAACCAAATTGTTAGTGGCAATTCAATCATTATCATAAAATAGTGATGAAAAGTTGGAGGTTTCAAGAAAATAAAGGAGATCACTTCTCAGAATTCATAATCCTGTTAAAAGTATTTCACAAATTCAGTGATGAAGAGGTACCCATTACTTTGTTTTTGATTGAAGTTAAGAAATGATTAGGATGCGGACAAGTTATAAACAAAGACAAACCAACTTATCCGATTTAACCTCCAATAATAATTCTATTGGTAGTTTAGTAGTACAACAGGGTGTACCACAAGGTAGTATTTTGGTCCTTCTTTTATATACTCTTTATACATCTAACTTTCATCGTCATTTTTATCATTGTAACTACCATTTATATGCCGATGATACGCAGGTTTATTTTTCTTTCAAATTGAAAGATATTCAGAATGCAAATTTGAGGATCAATCATGATCTATCAGAAATTGGATCATTATCTGTAAAACATCTCTTGCATATAAATACCTCAAAGTCCTGTGCTATTTTGTTTGGTAGTGAGAGTCAGAAAAAAGCGGCAAAGAGCCAGTTGCCAATTTTCATTGGAAATGACCAATTGGACTTCAGTGAACAAGTCAAAAACCTTGATCTGAATTTAGACTCAAAGTTAAGGTTTGAGAAACATGTTACAATTAAAATTAGAACAGCGTATGCTTCTCTTAAACTTTTGTATCCTCATAGACATAACATGAATCCACTTACAAAGAAAATCTTCTGCGATTCTTTGGTGTTGTCTCATTTCAATCATTATGATACAGTATATGGACCTTTTTTACGCAAATCAGATGCATATTGTATACTGAAAGTCCAAAATTCATGTCTTCGTTTAACCCATGGAATAAGAAAAAGAGATCGTATATCTCATAAACTCAAGGAAATGGGTTGGTTGAGTATGTATGTACAATCGTCGTAGACTTCATTCGTATTGCCTTTTCTATAAAGTACTGAAAACTCAACAGCCAGAGTATCTCTTCAGAAAAATCACGTATAGGACTGATATTCACAATTTAAACCTGAGAAGAAAGCATGGTATCAACATACCTTCGCATAATTAAAGAAATTTATAAGTCATCTTTTTATTCCTGATTGCGACTGTGAGCCATTCTTTGGATATACCGAATTTCTTCCTATCATTGAATTCATTTAAAAACAAATTTAAGAAAAAATTCCTTTCACAGCAGTGATACGAAAAATCGAAGAAAAAAATGAATCAATAATAGTTGATTTATAATATATTATTATGATAGAGTTCATCTTCTGAAAATAATATCGCCTCAATATACATTTACTTGAAAGACATAACTTGTATTATTGGTATTTTTGTTTTGTTTTTGTTTCTAGGGGAGTGTAGAAGAAACGGTCAACTGACCTATCACTTCACCTTTTGTTTGCCACCTATACCTTTTTTTGTACTAACATAATTGTTCAAACATGGAATTTGTTATCTTGTTCATTGGCAGACAATAAATGATTATTATTATTATTATTATTATCATTAGTAATTATAATATTATTTCGTATTCCATTGGGAATGCAACAGTTCACATTTTGGAGAGAACTAAAATAGTTAGGATGTAAAAATGGTGCAAAACCAGTGCACCACCAGGTTTACAAATGGAATTCGTCATTAATATACAAAAAACATCAAAACAGCGCAGTGTCAAGTACATTGAGGAACTCTAGTTGCAATAGGAAGTTTCATAATGCAACTTTCAGTTGAGTTGTTATGATCACCATTGACATTCAACATGTCAACAATAAAAGCTTGTTTGCACGTTTACCTATTCCGTTTCAGTCTTCTGATAAGTATTCTGAAGAACTACAGAAATTCTTGTGGTGAGTTTTTTTGCACATGACGCGTGTGAATATTGATCCCATATTATCACATCTAATGCAAAAACATGCTCATGTTGCAACTTTTTATATAAATAACTATTTTTATGAATTAATTATGAATGATGAAAAATCAAGGTCATTACACTATTTGTACAAGGTGATTGGATATATTTTATCCAATATCTATCTCAGTTGATATCGGTTTTACAGAATCGTTCTAATGGGCGAAAGGGAAGGGTTATTTATGAGCATACATAATCTATTACTAGAGAATTCAAAAAAGCATCATTAACCCAAAAATTTGACATAAGATTGTATTTTCTGAATAGAACACCCTGTATTTCATCCTACCAATCGATAGAGCTCTTTCTTCTTATTTTTTTTTCTGATGAAAAAAAAAAGGGGGGAGAGCTGCCTTAGAATCTATGATTGGAGTTGATGTATCGTCTATCATTCAAGAGCGAAATTTTTTCAAATTGATTTTTTCAGTAGTAAAATGATGCCAATGTCATCTATCGAAATATACTTAATCAAACTACTTTATGATTCCAACCAGAGTTTAGGACAGTTTTGTCGAAGTTACATTCATTAAAAGAAATAAAAAAAATCAAGAACTAAAAGTTACAACAGAACCTCGAACAGAACGTTCAAATTTGAGACACATCTGTAAAATTGGAATAGTAACAACCCTACTCCGTAAACTTTTTTGAAATCCGAACGAATAAGCCTACTTTCAACGATTAATTAAGAAAAATGTAACTTGACATGTAGCGACAGTCACGTGGGCCGACTGAGTAGGACATTTTTCATCTTATTTGAACCAAAACTCAACACCTATGTCGAATTTCAAAATAAATTATTATTAAAAGTTTTTCCCATATGATACCTTATGAATGACACTGTATACTCTCGGAATCTGCTCGAGTCCATCTATCTGCAAGTTGCTGAACTATTTGGCATACCTTCTTTTCTGTATCAGGGAAATCACTAACTTTGATATTGTGACTTTTAAATAATACAATTATTTCAATCCTGTCCCGATGCGACATCCCTACTGGCATAAAAACATCTAGAAATAAACTTCGAATATATTCTTCATTACCGATCTCTATCCCCCCCCCCCCTTACTGAATAGAATTTCTACCTCCATTGCTCTCACAAGGATGTTTTATCTTGTTAGTGAAATAGACTGAGAGCCAGCGATCGGCAGACTTACGTTATGTTAGCAAACTCCACATTGATGCTAGGTATTCGCGGGAATCAATGCTACCAGGTGGCGCTCAGTTTTCATCGTTCCATGTCAAAGCCACGTCAAAACTGGGGGAAAACAAACTCAATCCTCACCCAATCCCATTAGTGCCATTAGCTTGTGTACTGGTAAGAGTGATAACACTTTATGTCAGTGACAAGTTTGACAACTAGAGCTACTACAGCAAGATGTATGCAATGTAGTCTATGCACTTTATTCATAGACAACAGTTTGTTGTCCCCCCAGTTTGAAGTTCGTATTATGTAACCTAGATGTCGCCCACTTCGTGAATCTCGCGATGTCCATAAATCAAAAAAATGGCGATGGCAGACACTTATTCCGGTTCCAAGTATACTTTATATTCAGAATTCCGAAACTTCAAAAATTTTATAAAATTTTCAGCGTCGTCATGGATGCAAGGCGAAATAACTTCAACTAAGTAAGATGGGTTGAACTCTGCTGCGACCACTACATCCCACTTGGTCAAATATGAATAATCAGAAATGTCCTCATTTTCTACTATTTAACTTGATTAGATTCTGATCTGCGTATAACCACATTGGTCAATACATGATGAGTATTCCAGAGTTATATCAGGTGTGCTGAAATAACGCTAATTTTCATAAAATTTTTGATTAAAGTATACTCAGAACCGGAATAAGTATCTGCCATTGAATCTTCTATTAAAAAAAATATGTTCAAGATATTAAAACGGCAGACATGCTGTGATTAAAGTTCCTAAATGTACTTGACACTGCTGTTTTGACGTTTTTCGTATCAAAAAACGTCAAAATCAGCAGTGTCAAGTACATTTAGGAACTCTAGCTGTGATCACGTTTTTGAAGAGACAGATACAGAGAAAGTGAATCCAAGGTTGGTAGAACTTATGATAATTCGTAAGGTTGTCTTGATCGATAGTGCGGCAAGGGGAGAAACGGTCATTCGTGACGTCACACCAAACAAGTGTACATATTAATTAATAGTATATTTTTATGAGAACCATTATAAGATATAGATATTCATACATACATCTGTCTAATACCTCAAATTTTTTGAATGAGAAGGCAATTTTGGATGCATCAGTAGGCCAAAGTGGAATACCTATCTGAAATTTTGTACCAGGTATGTGTATCAGTTGTACTAACCTTGAGTGAATCCCCATTTCACCTACGGCAGGTCAAATAGAATACCTAGTATTAAGGGTTGCACTGAGAAGCTGCTTAAACTTTGTATTCATGAACAACATCCTCACAACTCTTTAGTCTAAACTATACTAGTCATCCTAACTATTCCCTGCCACCTCTCTTATCTAGCTTATGTAAGTCCTTAATCATGCATTCAATATATCTTAGTCATAAAACCAGTACCCGTCGATATTCTGAACATAATACGGGGTGATGGTACTGAATCACACAACAAATAATAATGATACTAGTAATTAATGTAACTTGGTGGGTATCACTGGAGTGTTTCTAACACTAGCATCAATATGGAGTTACGTACCGAAGGCTGCGACGCAATTGAAGTTTTATATTATTAGTGTTAAGTTTCATAATCGAAGATATTATAATCATGAAAACGTGCATTGTTTTCATACTTTTTTTACAACACCTCAATCAACGACTTTATGTTCAAATTCACGATGATGTGACAGAAATATACTCGGAAATATAGTTCCGTGTGAGGAAAAATTGCTGTGATTGGTTGGGTTTCTGAATTTTAAATCATAAAAACCATCACGTCTGTATCTTGAAACTTACTTATATCTTAAGTCATACCGACATATTAATCCAGTAAGTAATCGTTTCTGGTCATGCCCTTCAAAGAACCTAATTGGTGGAACTTTTATATTTCAATTCTGTTCTGCATCCTGTTTTTATTTTCATTACATATATCTTGAACCTTAAAACTTATTGCATAAAACTTCAATTGTGTCGCAGCCTTAACTCACCGATCGCTAGCTTGTAGACTATAAATAATCAAGGCTTAAAAACAATCAAGGTCGAAACGCAGCCCCCAGTCGATGATATGACGCGAAGGACAAGGACGAGACGTCCGCGGATACCAGCGCTCCAGTCCGGCTACTGCGCCGTGTGCAACGTACCTTACAACAGCGTGCAGGACCACATCCAGTCGAAGAAGCACCAGAAGCTGATCGGAGAAGATGCCAACTACATTGCGCTCAATGGTTCGCTGAACGGGTTCTTGCAGAACGACAGCATACCGTTTCTCAACTTGAATGGGGTGGACGCGATCGGTAGGTCAATTGAGATACTTGAATGTGAGAGAGTGTAAGAGAGAATGTGAGAGAGTATGAGAGGAAGAAGCACCGGAAGCTGATCGGTGAGGATGCCAACTACATAGCGCTCAACGGGTCGCTGAACGGGTTCTTGCAGAACGACAGCCTACCGTCTCTCAACTTGAATGGGGTGGACGCAATCGGTAGGTCAATTGAGATACTTGAATGTGAGAGTGTGTGAGAGAATGTGAGAGAGGGTGCAATACCACACCCGATCGAAGAAGCACCAGAAGCTGATCGGAGAAGATGCCAACTACATTGCGCTCAACGGCTCGCTGAACGGGTTCTTGCAGAACGACATCATACCGTTTCTCAACTTGAATGGGGTGGACGCGATCGGTAGGTCAATTGAGATACTTGAATGTGAGAGTGTGTGTGAGAGAATGTGAGAGAGGGTGCAATACCACACCCGATCGAAGAAGTACCAGAAGCTGATCGATGAAGATGCCAACTATATGGCGCCCAACGGGTCGCTGAACGGGTTCTTGCAGAACGACAGCATACCGTTTCTCAACTTGAATGGGGTGGACGCGATCGGTAGGTCAATTGAGATACTTGAATGTGAGAGTGTGTGAGAGAATGTGAGAGAGGGTGCAATACCACACCCGATCGAAGGAGCACCAGAAGCTGATCGATGAAGATGCCAACTACATGGCGCCCAACGGGTCGCTGAACGGGTTCTTGCAGAACGACAGCCTACCGTTTCTCAACTTGAATGGGGTGGACGCGATCGGTAGGTCGATTGAGATACTTGAATGTGAGAGTGTGTGAGAGAATGTGGGAGAGGGTGCAATACCACACCCGATCGAAGAAGCACCAGAAGCTGATCGATGAAGATGTCAACTACATGGCGCCCAACGGGTCGCTGAACGGGTTCTTGCACAACGACAGCCTACCGTCTCTCCACTTGAATGGGGTGGACGCGATCGGTAGGTCAATTGAGATACTTGAATGTGAGAGAATGTGAGAGAGTGTAAGAGGAAGAATCACCGGAAGCTGATCGGCGGAATGCCAACTACATAGCGCTCAACAGGTCGCTGAACGGGTTCTTGCAAAACGACAGCCTACCGTTTCTCAACTTGAATGGGGTGGACGCGATCGGTAGGTCAATTGAGATACTTGAATGTGAGAGAGGGTGCAAGACCACATCCGGTCGGAGAAGCACCAGAAGCTGATCGACGGAGATGCCAACTACATAGCGCTCAACGGGTCGTTGAACGGGTTCTGGCAAAACGACAGCATACCGTTTCTCAACTTGAATAAGGTGGACGCGATCGGTAGGTCAATTGAGATACTCAAATGTGAGGGAATGTGAAAGTGTGAGAGAGGGTGCAGGACCACATCCAGTCGAAGATACACAAGTAGCTGATCGGCGAATATGCCAAATACATTGGGCTCAACGGCTCGTTGAACGGGTTCTTGCAGAACGATATTGAAATGTGAGAATGTAAGAGAGAATGTGAGTGAGTATAAGAGAGCTTGTGTAAGAGTTTAAGAGAGAAGGTAAGGGAGTGTGAGAGAGTGTGAGTGAGTATAAGAGAGCTTGTGTAAGAGTGTAAGAGAGAACGTGAGGGAGTGTGAGAGGGTGTGAGAGAGTTTGTAAGAGAGAATGTGAGAGAGTGTGAGAAATGACATTGTCGTTACCATATGATAACGCTAGGGGTTAAGGGATCAAATACTAGTCGCTTGTCTTCGAGCCGTCACACGTGAAACGTAAATTTCAGGTGTTCACGACTCCTCATTCGACGAATTCTCGCCAAAGTACAAAAAACGAGCGATGCCGAGAACGCGCGCATGCTCAGTGATGAGCGACAGGGTAAAGTGTGCGCCCTTGTCGCCCGGGAGCGATATCACCGGCCACCGTCTAAGATCGAGGAAGAATATCAACTATATGTCGCCACCTTCGGACGACGATAGTATGCAGGAGAAGCCGGATCTGATTTTGCCTGAAGAGCCGGCTGCCCACGAGTATAAGGAGTATCGAGAGTTGCGGTCTAGTACGAAAGCGTTGGCGGTAAGTCATTTCATCTACTCACTGAAAAGTAGTCGTTTTCTTCCTCATTTACTCATGATCAAAATTAATATTTTGACAATTCGTATAGCGATGAAAATATTTGATATCTGATATTTATTTGTTGTCAACTTGTTCAGACAGACATACTGTATATTTTTCGAAATTGGAAAAAAAATCTCTCAGTACATTTTTTTGTCAAGAGTTGTTTGGGATGAAAGAAATGAAATTTCAGAAATTGACGGAACAAGTAACCCCCTCCACCGACCAAGAAGTATGGAACTCTGGCCGGCCCAAAAGGGCTTGCATAAACAAAAAACGCCACTCCACCGAAGACTACGTCATCCCCAATACCAAAACCTTCTACAAAGTGGAAGTCCTCTCCCCAAAACCGCCCCCAAAACCCGCCAGAAGGCCCCAATCTCAGTCCCCCAAACGGGAGGAGGAAAAAGAAAAAGCTCTCATCGTGAAATTCAAAAAAATGCGGAGCTCCGAGCTGGTGAGGCTCAACAATGAAGCCACTAATTTCCTCTTCCCGCAAAAAGACGACTCTGATTCGGAAAGCGAAGGAGAAGAACAGAACCCTTCGGATTGTGGGGGCAGCTCCCCCCGACTGTCTTGCAGTGACGAGGGAGAGGAAGGGGAGGGTAAGGAGTTTTCTGGGAGTTTCAAGGTCGATGATGACAGGTCGATGGACAGTACTAGTTCTAGTACTAAAGGGAAGAGGAAGAGGCGGACGCATGCCGAGGCGTTTATTATGGACAATGAGAAGTATTATAAGTTCGAGACGCCTGGTTCGAGGTTAGTGCCTAGTTCCTAGTTGAATAATCTTTACAGAATTAAAGTACGAAATGAAGAGTATAAAATAAGTAAGAACTGAAATAAATTTTTAATAATTGATAAATGGTTTGGGTTAATTATTCTATCGTTGATTGTAAATGATTAATAATTTATCAACATGTCTTGAAACCACCACTTTCAATATATTTCTAGTTTCCATCAAAGAGTTCCTGCCAAAAGTCCTATACATATAAAAACATAATCATACACAATATAACCCAATCAGCTTACCTTTTATGGGCCAAAATCCCAGCTTCCAGCTAACTTATGACACCTCATCCACAATTATGGTGAACTATCTGTGCTTGCATATTCTTACTAGTCAATCCCATTTACTCAACTGTGAGCCATTCTTTGGTTACTAGTTGAAATAATGAATAACATTTACTTTACTCTTGATCCAAATTATACTGAAAGAGGATAGGAAGAAGGTCAATAAATCAAACTTCAATTTCCTAATTGGCTGAATCTATAATTGATGTACCAAAAAATAATTGTGATAATCAAGTTATCAACTCAAGTAGTAGCCAATAATGAAAAGTGAAGCTTTCAGAATAATAGATCGCTTTTATTTACAACCATATATGTAATGTTGTCATTACTAACGTCATTGAAGGTTGGGAGGTGTCACATTTCACACCTCTACTTCCCGCCTTCATTTATGTAATATTTTAGGTATGTTCAAAACGAAACAGAGATTTATTAATCATCTCGTCCAAGTCGGAGGACGTGAAACCGGATGATCTTATATAAATTTCCATAAAAAATATTCAGATACCTAACATGACTTCATAAAGATGATACGACTCCATACACTGATCAAAGATCTTTGTAGTGATATATTTACTGTCCTAATTTGAAACTACATTCTACTTCCCGAGTGCATTCATTCTCGTAATAATAAATTTTATCCTAACGTCCATTATAATATCAATACATTTTAAGGACTGAAATGAATTTGAAGAATGAATCAATGGTGTGGCCATGTTTCTTCAAATGTATTCGCAATAATAATTCCGACTGCTTTACCTAATCTGAAAAAGTTTATGCAGGTTAAGGTATCACGGCTCCTACTTGCCGGCCGTCCCTAAATCGCCAAAATTCAACGGAATGGTCTCGCCCAAGTCGGAGGACGTGAAACCCGATGAACCCAAGGAGAAAAAGATCCGATACAATCCCGACGCCAAAGTCCAATTGGACAATTACAAGTTCTCGTTCGAAAAAGTGCCACGAGAGGCGCCTTGGTACGCTGCCTTCAGAAGAATTGACAGAGGAGAACAGACGTATATCGAATTCAGTGATTGTGAGTACATGATATGTTGGGTTCCCCTGTATATTTACTAACTTGTCATACAAACTTTTTGATCACTTTACATGCATTTCACATTTTTTTCAGGATATTACAACAATTTTTTTTGCTGCCATTATCACTATCCTATACGATTCCAACTATTTTTGCTTGAAACTGCGATTTCTCAACGCTTCCCGTCGCTTCTACGTTTCTGCCATGATTTTTGAATGTGTTGAATGTGAAGGAACATCAAAAAATCATGGGAGAATCATTACGCATGCCTCAAATACTGATGAAAGAAGTGGGGGTTGCTTATCCTAGGCAATCCCTACTCTTTGCATACTCCTGATATTCTCATGACGTGAAGAAACTCACAAATCGTCATCAGAATTTGTCTTACTCATCATTCACTTTTTTTTCAGCTTCTTACAACGTTTTTTTTGCGATCATCATAACTATCCTGAAGAATCCTAACAGTTCTCGTGTGAAACTTCAATTTTTCAAAGCTTTCTCGACGTTTTCTACGTTTTCTTCACGTGTTAAATGTGCAGAAACATCGAGACAACATGAAAAAATCATTTCGTATGCGTGCTATACTGAGGAAAGGAGTAGGGGTGGCTTATCTTAGGCAATGCCTACTTTTCGCTTGGAACCGCTATTTTGCAAGAGAAATTTTCCATATTCTGTTTATGTTTTCACATTGTATATTCATTATCACGTGTGAAATCTGAAGAAACCTCCAGGAAGCGTTAAAAAATCATTACAAATGCGCTCATGGGAAGGAGTGGAGGTGGCTTATCCTAGATAATCCCTACTCTTTTCCGAATCTCTTCTTTTTCTAAGGATTTTCACGCTTATTCAATATGTTCTCGTGATATTCTCACGCTGACTTGAAAAATTCTGAAAAAAAATGTTTGGAGAGAAACAGTAGGTGTGGCTTATACTAAGCAATCCCTACTAGAACTTTTCCACATAAAATTCGCCCCACGCAATTTTTCAACGAATTCTTCATGGTGTTTTCACGTTGATTCATGTAAAATGTAAATACTGCAACGTGAAGAAATATCTACCCTTTCCCCGCTTGCTCCTCATGCCGAGACATTTTGGAAAAAAACTGCATCCTCCACATACCGTTCACTAAAAAAGATAAGGAGTAGTAATGGATGTCCCAACAATAGCATCGGGAGACAACACAATCTAGAGCTAAAATCTAATGCTTTTTTCCTTTGTATAATACACTATTTTTTTTCTGTGACAGAAGAAAGGACGAATCAATATTGAGAAGATATTACATTATTTTGAAATCTGAAAATTATCGACGTGAAATTTTAAGTTTTCAACAGTAGGGACACCTGCGTTGTAGGCATCTTTATCATTCTTTTGAAGGAATCAAATATATGATGTCACTTCTGTCAGTCTAATTCTGTGATTTGATTTCAAAAAAATGCGAATTTAGTGGTTGTTCAGTAATATACGTTAGAGTCACTGGATGGTATTAGTTTGATAAGAGTTCGGACACAGCTGAACTTTTGTCCTTTTCTATTTTCTATAATACAATGGTTTAGGTGAATAAAAGAATAAGACATATATTCGGCTCTTTGTCTTTTCAATTTCCCTAGTAGTGCCTGATTGTCAAATACGATTTTAGAGGTTATATTTTCTGTCAAATCAATCATAGCCGTAGATGGACAATGGGTATAGGGTACAAACACCCAATTCAATTTATAGTGATACACTTCTAACAAAACTGTTATATAAATGAAAAGAATGATGCATGTAACAACATTTTAATATTAGAAAATATACACATATGGAGGAACTTTTATAGCTATAATTCCTTATTATATGTGAAACTGTACTCCAGTGATGAGTATAAAACATGATAGATAGATATTCTCAATATAAGTACAGGAAGTAACATAAGTACTTTCAAGTGAAGTATTCCTGAGACAATTATAAGAAATAAAGTCTATATAAGCTTTTGTGTCCGGAAATGCATCATTTCGTAGATACAGAGTGCTGAAATACAAAGAACAAATCATTTTTCGATAAACATTTGATAGGAAAAAAGTAGTTTATTTTGACGAGACCTACCAAATACTTGGTTTTGTAAAGTTCTCACACAGCAACTCCACTTAGCGCCCTAGGAGCTAATAAGTAACATGGATCGATATAGAAAATACCTCAAGCGTAATTAACGCCCTTATAATAATTCCCTTGATATACATAAATAACTATTCACTGTCCACTGTTGAATTTTAAATTTGGTCGGCACCAAAAACGCCATTCAATAATATATCACTCTGTAGTTTACTTGCTTTTCTTAGTTTCGTTTTCAAATTCTCAATTTCATTATGTAATTTTGCGATCATTTCCTCTTTTCCATGATCATTTCGTTTTGTATTTTGTGTGATGATAATAATGGAAATTTGTTCTCGAAATCGCCTGCTTTGTAAATTGACGGAACAGCAGATTCTCACAAACAGAATTTGAAATCTTCTGTTTGAAGATGGGCCTAAAATAGTTTCATTCTAATCAGATGCTGTTATAAAAAGTGAATTTTAATGAGTACCTCATAAATTTCGCTCGTCTTCAAATTGATTTTGCACCCATCAGGCCACTTCATATCTTCCTTCCATAAGCGAATGGTTGATATTTGTTTCGGAAAATTGAATGATATCCATTTTAAATACTGTCTGTAGGTTAATCGAGGAGGTGGTATATTCATTATTCCAAATTTTTTGGGATTTTCTCTCCTCGTTTCTATAAAATAAAAATATGAATATTATTTCAATATACGTGTAGTAAGGACAAATCAGATGATTTGCCCCAAAATGTCACTGCGTTTAAAGAATTTTCCTATCAGAGAGCCTAAAAGAAAAATTCACTAGCTTGTCAGTGACAATTTGTATTGAAAAAATTTTTGGAGAGGGGAAATAAAGGTATATAGAAAAAATATCAAATTTTCACTTATCTTTGGAATAATGGAATTTTTGGAATTGTGTCTAAAAACAACATATTTTCAATTGGGTGATGAGTTTTATCAACAAAACTTTGGAATGGCCATGGGATCACCATTATCTCCAATTTTAAGCAATATATTTATGGAGAATTTTGAAGACAACATCATCAAAAATTACCAAAAACAACCTAAAACATGGTGGCGATACGTAGATGATATTTTCATAATTTGGCCTCACAATATTATGGAGCTAGATAATTTTCTGGATTATGTGAACAATGCCGAACCTACAATAAAGTTCACTTTGGAAATTGAATCTAATAATCAATTACCGTTTCTAGATGTTCTTATTGAAAAATCAAATAACATCTTTGTAACGAGTGTTTATCGTAAAAAGACCCATACTAACAGATACTTGAACTTTCAATCAAATCATCAGAAAAGTATTAAGAAAGGAATAATCAAATCACTCCATGATAGAGCCAAATCAATATCATCTGACCAACAAATTTTCAATAACGAAGTCCACCACATTAAAAATGTTCTTCAACTCAATTCTTATCCAAAGAATTTTGTCGATAGGACGATTCATCGAATTGAAAACAAACAGGGTCAACCACAACAAAATCAACCATCAATAACGACAAATATAATACCATACATTCCCGGCATATCTGAAAAAATAAAACGTGTTGGTGATAAATTTCAAGTGAAAACTGTGTTCAAAACTGAAAATACAATGAGATCAATTCTAACTCAAACAAAGCCGAAAAATGAAGAACAATCATCAAAAAATTGTATTTACAGTATACCTTGTGTTTGTGGAAAGTTTTATACAGGTGAAACCAAGAGACCTCTTTCAGTAAGGACGAAGGAACATAAGTACAATATAAAGAAAAGAAACATCGATAAATCGAAACTAGCTGAACATATCCTTACTGAAGACGGACAACATATGGCAGAGTGGAATAATATTAAAATTATTGGAAAAGAAGATAACAACCAGAAGAGAAAAATCAAGGAATCTGCTTGCATTCTTCTGAACGGAGACAATAACATTGCTTCTTGTTCAGTTGATATAGACAGAACATGGTATTCACTACTAAAATCTGAACATGAAAATGGTAAATTCAAGATCAATTAATGAAAACATCCTGTAACTCATTTGATTGCCAACGTCACCAATTGTCATTGAAAACTGAAAAGCTTCAAGACATTATACGACTTCGCTATCGAAATAATCTCTTCTTATGTTGAAAACGGGAGCAGAACCGGTCCCGAAACGTCCAAAGATAAGTGAAAATTTGATATTTTTTCTATATACCTTTATTTCCCTTCTCCAAAAATTTTTTCAATACAAATTGTCACTGACAAGCTAGTGAATTTTTCTTTTAGGCTCTCTGATAGGAAAATTCTTTAAACGCAGTGACATTTTGGGGCAAATCATCTGATTTGTCCTTACTACACGTATATTGAAATAATATTCATATTTTTATTTTATAGAAACGAGGAGAGAAAATCCCAAAAAATTTGGAATAATGATATCCATTTTCTTCAGAATTGGCACAATTTATTACACAGCAAGTAATTTCCATAGCTGCTTTCATCTCGAATGTATAATTATGAAATTTTATTTCAATTCTGACGTTTATAAAATGTATTGTCAAATTCAAACAATTTTGAATGAAAAAGCGCAGGACGACTATGGTGCTCTTGTCACAATGCAAGGTGTGAAACTTAATAAATCTAAACACTCAAAAACCCTAACCGTTGTCATTTCTGTGTCCGAACTCTTATCAAACTAATAACATCCAGTGACTCTAATATACGTAACCGCGAAGTCGAATGGAAGATAAAAGGACTTGCAGTTCTTTCTCTGAGACGATATTATTGACTCATTTTTCGGAAATATAGTACAACAAAAGCCATCAACAGTGTTTATATATGTGATATATATCTGGGAAAAACGTAATTTATGAAAAGTGACATTTTATAACCTGCCAACAGAGATAAACTGCCGAACTTTTTTTTCCCGTCACAGAAAAAAGTAATTTATGAAAAGTGACATTTTGTAACCTGTCAACAGAGATGAAATGTCAAACTTTTTCCCGTCACAGAAAAAATAAATATTTTCTTCAAAATTGAGTCCGACGTTATTTTTGAGACACCATTTAGTAGCTTATCTCAAACAAACTTTACTAAAGACTACCTTGAAGATGAAATTGCCTTGGTCAAACTTATGTATCCACTTTCAGACTTCTTCGATCCATTTCTTCTACCCTACCAAATGTCCACCATCCCACCGCTGGACCCCCGAGTCTGCCTTGCCCACTACGGCGAACTGCGCAGACGCCTCTGCGACATGACCACAGATCCACCCCCTCAACCCGGCAAATCGGAAACGAACTCCAGGAGTTCCAAAACCAACTCGAGGAGTTCCACCCCCGATGCCAGCGTGGCAGACTCCATGCAATCCAGCTACCTACCGGATCCCGACGAAGACAGCAAACTCAGCATCCTGACAGCCAGTTCCAGAAGTGACGTGGAAGAGGAAAATCCCGAGGAAAACCAGCCGAAAAGTGGTCCTCCGGGGCCGGGGAAAAATCCTAGGAAGTCACCGAGACAACATGCTTCGACTCTAGCGATTTTGAGCAGTTTGATCCAGCAGCGGAGGAAACGAGCGAAGAACAAACTGGACAAATCGGCGAAGAGTTTAGCTGCCATTCCGGAGGAGGAAAAACCGCCCGAGGTTGCCCCAGAGCCGGAGATGGCTGCCCCTGAGCCGGAAATGGCCGCCCCACCCAAAACGCCTGCCCGCAAGACCAAGCCCAGGGTGGATTACCACGCCATAGCGCTGCAAATCGACAAGGAACTGGATAGTGCCCTAGACGACAGTTTGGAGAACTACGATTTGGACATAGCGGAGGAGCAAACAGTGGATTTCCTGCACAGCAAAACTAGTTTAGAAGAGATTTTGAGGTTATACGAGGAGGACAAATCGAAGGAGAGCGAGTGGAGTTGCAGGAGGTTCCTGAACGGCGCTCCCGGAAGGAAACCCGGAAGGAGGAAAAAAACAAACAAAACCGGGTGGCCGAACAAGAACAACAGGAAATCTACCAAGAGGGATGCTAGCAAGGAGAAGGACGAGAACACCGACTCGGAAGACTCTGAAGAAGACGTTTGTGAGGAGGAAGTGACTGATTGTGCGAAGGAAGATAGTGATAACGCGGACAAGGATTGCGACAGGGTGGACAAAAATGGTGGTAAAGTGTTGATGAACAAAGAGACGAATAGTGAGGTGCAATTTCAGCCGTACGTTTGTGTGCAGAAATTGGACGGTCAGGACGTTAGAAAGGAGGTGGATAATTCGACGAAACGGACGAAAAGAAAGTTGAGGCATATGCCCGGCTCGCCAAAGTCTCCTAGGATGTTGAGGAAGCCTAGAGGGCGGTGGTACAGAGAGAGATAAAATGATATTTAATTTGTGTTTATTTATTTTTTTTGTGTAATTTCAGAGCGATTGCGGAGATTGTATTCTATTTTGTACCGGCATATTATATGATTTTGAATGTACAGCATACATTGAAGTAAGAAATAAAAGTTCTCTTGTTTTCTTTTTCTGCGTTTCAGTGTTTTCATCTTCTCACCTCCACTAGAGATTATTCAGAAAAAATTGGGGTTATTAAGGAACGGTTTTCTTTTTCAATACATGCCGACGGTGATATTTTACTTTCATCATGAATTTGTCAGGAAATGTTTTCTTTTCATAATCGATTGAGAATTTGCTGAAACCGGAAATGCATTTGTCAAATTTTCAAAATTTCAAATGGTAGATATCGATCACAGATCGTCGAATAATTGAAGAACGCGAAGGAAAAACATAATACGACGAAAACAGATGCTAGCAAAGAAAATACGAAAACAGTCTGAAGACTCTGAGGAACATGTGCGATGAGGAAATGAAATGAAGATCAGGTGTATTTTTTACGTGTCCATAAGGGCTTAAATGTACAGAAGATCTGTGGTAGGTGCAAAAGTCGAGTTCAGCAATTCCGTCCGAGATGCGAGGGATTTGTTTGTCATGTGACCACGGATTAGATAGATAAATTGGAATAAACGAACGGTGCAGAGTGCTGTCATGACAAATCTATCTAAAGTATTTCAATTTTTGTAAAGACATATATTACTCAACGGATTTATGTGGTTAGATTTGTTGTTTAACATTAACATTCTCAAGAAATTCACAAAAAGTGAATAATGAAATAATAGAACGCACTTAAAATTTGAACAATTCAACACTTGACCTCACAATTTCAGTTTAATCGCTTTGCTCGGTCAAAATTCTCGGAGCATGAAGATCGTCGTCGGTACGCTCCGATTTTAATTGCCGAACGGAAAAGATTTACTTCCCCTACATCTAGATGTCATAAACGACACATCGATGTGATGTGTTTCATGTTTTTCAATTATTCACTTTGGAGACCTGCAGAACATCTCTTTCCAAGGACTCGTTCATCCAACGAACAGCGAGGCTCTGGAATACATTGCCAATGGAAGTGTTTCCTGAGGCATATAACCTCCAGAAATTTAAGAATACCAATTCCTACCTTATTTCCCTTGGTTCTCACAATGATGGAAGTAAGATATGGTGCGCGCATTCGGCCATTATTACGTATTGAAAATTTCAGAAAAATCACTCGACCGCCTGCTATGATTTCTCTACGTCACAACGAGCGAGACCGAGACGTTGATTCTACATTTGACCGCTAGGTGGTGATGCTGCTATTGCTGCTGTGACGAGTGGAAATAAAATGGCAAATGGCATTTTAGGTACGCGGAACATATGTCACAGTGGGATAATTCGAAAAATCTGCGACAATTTCAAAACTGACAGATGGTATAATTGTGCAATGTAGCCATCTATTAGAAGATCGACGGAACCATTGCTCTCGCATCAATAATTACACCATATCTTACTTCCATCATTGTTCTCACGATGTTCTCTGAACATTACTGGATAACCCTTTTCGTGGGAACCAGAACATAAAAAAAAATCCAAAATTATAACATATATATCGAAATTATTATAATCCCCAATCATATCAATATCACCTATCAAAAACAATACCCAAATTCATAAAGTTTGTGAGAAAACGAATTGAATGTATTGGCAAGTAATTTTCCATAGTGATTTTGTTCGATATCCAATATATAAAAATATACTTTTCAAATTTTACAATGAACTGAAGTGATTTTTCAATAGTCAATTATATAAGTAAGAAGAAACGAAAAAAATACAAAACAAAAAACTACCGACACTCAGAAATCAGCCAATTTCTGGAATATAAAAATATTATATTTTCGTTTTCATTTGATTTAATTTGTTCAGTTCATTTTGTTTATCGTTCTTCATCTCGTTGCCTTTATCATTTCTCTCCGAATAGTCCTTCACTTCAGCTTTCCATACGATTCAGAGTCGATCCTTCGTCTGATTTGACTTTATCGTTCATTCCCTTCCCAATTATCTACGTTTTTTGTCTTTCTCATGAATGACTTGACACTTTGTATTTCACTATTGACATTCATTTTGTCAAACTAAAAGAGCTTGGAAATCTCGAATATAAAAGAAAACATCGTATTCTTTATCAGTATTTTGTTTGGCGTAAAACACTTCCAGTTTTGGTGTGGTGGTGGGGTATGTGATACCTCAAATGAATTGCGGATTGATGATATTTCAGAAATTACGTGGGAAACACCGTTGCCGCTTCTTGTATGGAGTGACTAATCGTTATACTTTTTCAAAATACATTTTATTGTACTGAGGGGGCAAATTGGTCACTTTCAAAGGGAGAGTTATATTTTCCAACTAGATAGATGAAAACTGATGTCGTGCCTGAGGGTCGATTCTCATACAAAACTCAATGATGAAAACCGCGTATCGATATCTGTCTTCGTTTCGGAGTTACAAGGTGTTCTTCGATAATGGGCATTTTTGAAAAGTGGCTACAATTTTTTTTTCCTGGCAAATATTATATGTTCTCATGAAAATAACTACAAAGGATTGGGTTTGTGATGAAAATCATTCCTGAGGCACGTAAATCGGCCTTCGTATATCTTGTTCAAGAATATAACTTGTTCTTCTTGAAGGAAAAGGTCTATTTTGAAATGAGGTATATGGTGACTGATTTCAGTGCCTGAGGATCAATTTTCATGACAAACACAATGCTTTGGAAATATTTTTATGAAAACGAAGAATTTTTGACCAAAATTGAGTTTCAGTCACTTTTCAAAAATTCATATTTTCGAAAAACACCTTGTAACTCTGTTTTCTTTCTATCAAGAACGGGAATAGGAGTTTCCCTTTTAAAGTGCCAATTAGGCCCACCCTGTACAAATTATGTCATGTGGGGTAACGTTAATAAAGGATATCGTAAGTACTAGTCACACATTATGACCACACACTGAAACTGTTTGAACTTTGGACTCTAAAGAGTAGGTAACCATAAGTTTTTATTATATTTTGATTCGTTTACTACGAGAAAGTGGCATAGTATACGCTGTTTTAAATTTTTGTCCAGGATAACATGGAATTCAACCAAAGAATAGGTACTTTTTTTTATAGCTAGTGTGATCTCAGGGAAAATGAAAGTGTTTGACTATAAAATAAAATATATATTTATTCAACAATAGATTTACAACATTCATATTGATTATAATAATCATAGATATAGGGACAAGACATTCAGGAATTGAGTAGAGTATTATATAAAATATGTATTGAAATAATGTATATATTAATAATTCTCGTATTGGTTCCTTCTAAATTTCTCAATATTCTGTACACACTAGGTACACCCTTCGACTGAAACCGAAGGGAAAATAAATCGCGTCATTAAAGACTAAAATAGGTACATGAACTTTTTTGACACCCAGTAGATTCAAGTAGAAACATTTTGTTTATTTTTCAGGATGAATTTTTCCTCCAGCTCACCAGGAACCTTAAAAATATTCATACTTAATACATTCTATAGTGAAAACTCTAGTGCTAACAATAAATATCACAGTAAATTGATCATAAATTTACTATATTAGGTAGGTAGGAATCACAGATACCAAGTTTTTTGAAACAAGCAATATAGTCTAAAAATATCGATTGAGTGGTCCAATTTTGATGAAATAAGGTGAGATTTCCTTTCAGGATCTAGCTTTGAGTTAGTCCATTCATATATTGTATATGACTGTTCAGTTAAATAATAGTTGGGGCTACAATCAACTTTTTTTACGGCTGTGTTCCATACATCAATGAGGTACTTTGTTATTTCCGTATCTGATATCACAATGAAATGACTCTATTTCAAAAAAATTTCATCGCCCATGGAATGTCAAATTTTAATGAGCATTACTTGAGAGGAAATCAGATGGCTTATTATAGAAAGCACAGTAACAGTAATGGCCGTTGAAATATTTATGAATCCACTTATAAGGCATCTATTTCCTATCTGACGTTCATTACTGTGATGGTTCAAAGAAGGAAGCAGGAAGCGAAGAAATAATGAATGGAGAAATATATTTCAACAGACACTACGATGCAGTTCATTTTTTATAGAATACCTGTACTTTCCTTGTTCTGTTGGTCGTGTCAGTAGCCACTCCCGAAAACTAGCTCAGTTGTCATATCGCTGTCACGTCAAATGTCAAGCAATGGAGTATTTATTTTTTAAACTGAACCGTTTGAATATGAGTTCCTTATCAAAATTTTTAGGCTATCAACAGTGTGTTGTACGTGTGTTTGAATTTATCCTAATTGAAATGTAAGTACCATAACTTGCAGCTTCTTCATGAGTAGGTAGTAGTAATAGTAGTTTTTATGATACATCTCGGAACAATAATCAGTTTGTGTAGATTTTTGGGATTTCTTCTTTTTCCTTTGTGATGTTTTTTTTTCAAAAATTTTTGTCGGTACTTACGTATTCTCGTATAAAAAAACACGAATTTCACAATGAAAACATGAACAAACCGCTATCTATTGAGATATTTTATATATCTCGGATATCCATTTACAACTATATGTCCTCCTTTTGCCATCATTGGACAATTTGTATACTCACGTTGTACTTCAATAACATATTTTATTTCCTAAAACCAACAAGAAGTATGGTTTATTTGGATTTTTTTCATATTTAGTGAGATAAAAAATAGTTTGGTTTAACGATATTAGATGTGTTCATTATTCATACTTAAATTTGGTTCAAGGTGCAGGAAAATGTTTTTTCAGTGGCCAGTTTTATACAGAGCAGTTTATTATTTATCATGTGTCAGTCATATGTCTGTATCCATCTATCAATTTAATTAATTTGATCATCAAATGAAATGTCTAGTAATATGTGTGATAGGAAATTCAGAATATACAGTGTCATTCATAAAGTCGGCATCATATGGGAAAAACTTTTATTAATGACTTATTTTGGAATTCGAGTTGGACGTTAAGTTTTGCTTCAAAAAAGATGAAAAATGGCCTACTCAATCGGGGTCACGTGACTTTCGCTACATGTCAAAAGTGACATTTTTTCAAATTAATCGCTGAAAGTAGACTTATTTGTTCGAATATCGAAAAAGTTTACTTGAAAAAGTTCTTTCTATTTCAATTTTACACATGCTTCTCGAATTTGATCTGTCTATTGCAACTTTTAGATTTTGATTTTTTTTTAATTTTTCGATATTTCTGTAATATTTGAAGAATTGTTAATTCCACGAAACTACTTCATACCAGTAGCTTTTTCATGCTACTTACTTTCAATTACTTATTATATCTGATTTTGGACAGAAATATGATTTTCTTCAGAAAATGACAATACCCGCTTCCAAATTCTGTTATGTTTGATGCAAAGTTGATATATCGTCAAGCATTTAGAAACGAAATTCATTTAAACTGATCTTTTCGGTACTGAAAAAATAAATTTAAATGAATTTCGTTTCTGAATGCTTGACCCAAATATAACAGAATTTTGATGTTATGTTTGCATCAAACAGAACAGAATTTTGAACCGGAGATTATAATTTTCTGAAGAAAATCATATTTTTGTCGATAATTAGTGATAATTAGTAATTGAAAGTTAGTAGCATGATGAAACTACTGGTATGTTGTAGTTTTATCGAATTTACAATTTTTTTAATATCAGAAATTTCGAAATTTTTTACAAAATATCGAAATCTGAAAAATGTAATAAAAAGATAAAATCCGAGTCACATTAGTAAAATTGAAATAGAAACAACTTTTTCAAATGAACTTTTTCGATATTCGAACAAATTAGCCTACTTTCAGCGATTAATTTGAAAAAATTTCACTTTTGACATGTAGCAAAAGTCACGTGACCCCGATTGAGTAGGCCATTTTTCATCTTTTTTGAAGCAAAACTTAACGTCCAACTTGAATTTCAAAATAAGTCATTAATAAAAGTTTTTCCCATATGATGCCGACTTTATGAATGACACTGTATAGAATATATCGAATGGAAGAAATTTCATTGAAATTGGACCACTCATGGAAAAGTTTGAAAGTGAACATTTATTATTTGTCCCACCTTCAATATAAAATAAGATATTGTTAGAACTACACTGAATATTGAAAGAAATGTATTATTGAGGTTATTTTGAGCATAATTCTGGATTATGTTAAGACAATAAAAGCTGCCCGGCCAGCACAAAAATTGATATTAAAAAAAGGGTCACAAAATGAAACTGATTACCTATTTCCAATATTAGTTTTATTTTTTGTTATCACATAGCTATTTTCAATGTAAAATACAAATAGTAAAAAAACATTATATGCTATCAAATATTGCCGTGTAAAATTACGTGAATTATTGTCTAAAATAAAAACAAAGGTATCTAAAACTCGTAAGTTTTAGCACAAATATTCTATTTAATTATCGGTTATCTTTTCATTTTCAACTTGTTGAATTTGGTCTGGTTCCTGAAAAACATTCACAACATGTACATGCACAAATTAATAAAAGCGAGAAAATAATAACTATTCTATAAAGAAGACATCAAAGCAAACAAGTTTCACTCACTTTCGGTTTCGATCGGTGAGTGTCTACAGCCGGTATTTTTAGCGGGATTTGCTCCACCCGGCATCCATAAGCAACAGGTGTCAGTTTTATTATTGTATGCAACGGCACCTCCAAATAAGGCAATTCATCTGAAAAAGTTGATATGTTGAAAAAAATCAGTACTAGATGGCAGATTGAATAGTTTAAACATTGGCTATTTTCACTTATAATATCACGAGAGCTTCAATTATTTTTTCGAGAACACGAATATTTTGAAAATTTTAGAATTTTCAAAATATTCGTCGAGAAAAAATTCCCGGGTATTAATCGAGGCTAAAACTAGTATTCGGTAAGAAAATGTCACACCAAACATTTTCGATCAATTTAAAAGAATTTCAAATGGTTGTTTGTGAGGAAATGCGAGAACTAACATGTGTTTTTGTACATTTCAAATTTGCAAGTATATCTACATGTTTTTTCCCAAATGCAACCCTAGGGCTTGTGACCCCCTCATTGGAAAGCTGGTTGGAAGAGGAATCCAGGGTAGGTACTGATCATATCTCAGTTTGCAGTACGTTTGGGGGTCGCAAAACTCAAAATATATATTCGAAGTTGAATATATTATCTACGTATTTTCATCAAAATTTCGATTTTTAGTGACAGTGATATAGGACATTTCACGCCAGTTTGCAATAACACTTCGTTTCAAACTGTAAAGATGGCAAAAAAACTAAATTACTTCTTGCGGCTCTACAAATACGCTGGAATACAATAGCAGATAGCAGTAGTGGCAAAAAAATGGCCATAAATTGTTCAACACACATTTTGAGCAATTGATATGATGAAAAAAATTGATTTTAAAATTACATTTAAATCTTATGCAATCTTTAAACGTATGGAAAACTAAAATTTGACTAGTACACTGGATTCCTCTTTCCACCAGCTTCCCAATGAGGGGTCACAAGCCATAGGGTCACATTTTAAAAAATCATGAGGCTGGGTTCAGCTACCCCTGCAGAGATATATTCTCGATATTGCTTGCAGAAGGTAGGTTAATACGTTGAATCGTTGACGTATGTAGGGCATTTTTAGAAAAATATTCACCTCCAGCCTAATGAATTTATTCCAGTTGAAGTCTCCACACTGTATATATAAATATATATAATTGAACGTGGTAGTCAATATCACTGAAATGAACGTCAGTGTTTCATTTGTCAGATATTTCGACATCGCATGTGATTTTAAAGTGTACTGTGAGAAAAATTCACATTTAGGTCTATTTATAAGAAATAATAACTTGTTAATCACCTGCTAGACTATCGTCCATGGTTTACCGGCACCCTCTGTATATGTATAGAAACGGTCTTGGAAACAATATAAAAATAATGCAACAATGAAAGGAATCAAATTGATTTAGTTATTCAATTGAATTGAAGAATTGACATTTCACGTCATTCTTGATGATTTTTGATGGGATATTCAGCAATTCTTGTAAATACGGTGGGAAAATCAGTAGGTAACTTGTTTAACCGTTGTATTAGAGATACAGTAAGTGTGTAGGTATATTGAATCCTCGTGAAATTTTATCTAGATGGTTTTCAATGAGGAATTTAACAATGTTTTAAAATTTGCGGGAAAATCGTGGTTTCTAATGAGAAATTCAGCACCTTTCCATTGGAGACGCGAATGTGTATAGATTCAGAATCCTTGTGACGTCGATATAGGTGTTTTCAATGAAAATTTCAGCATTTTTTCGAATTTGGCGGGAAAATCAGAACCTTCATGATCCTCGTGACATTTAAAGTCAGTCTAGATAGTTTTTAATGTAAAATTAAGCAATTTTTCAAGTTTGACAAGAAAAGTAGAAACAGTCTCGGAAACCGTATACAAAAAATGCAACAATGAAAGGAATAAAATTGATGGTTTTTTAATTGAATTGACTTATTTTAAATATGAATTGAAGAAAGTGTAGTCGTAGCGAAAAAACAATGCATTGTCATATGTAGCTAAAATTGACTTTTCAGTTTGAAATTGTAAACATACTCAAGCAATACAACAAAAATAAAAACCAGTCCTCACCTGCGCCCTTATTCAAAAAGTACGCCAGCAAGCACCTTATCACCGCCTGGTGCGACACGACCAGCACGTTCCCTTGCCTTTCCAGCTCCATGATTACGGGCTCTAAACGGGCCACCAGGTCCTCGTAGCTCTCCCCTCGCGGGTACCGATAAGCGAACTTGTTCACGTCTCTGGACGCGAACTCTTCCGGGTACCTCTCGTTGATCTCCTCGTAGGTCATCTCTTCGCAGACGCCCTTCGAGAAAAACCGAAATTCGATCATAAACCCTTTCGCCTAGGGTGTCCTCAAATGGGGACAGCCTATTCTAATATAATATCTAAACAGTTCAGATTGGTTTCCTTTCAATCTCAGATCAAACTCTCATCATGATAGTATTTCATTGAAAATGAACACGCTTGCAGCCATGTGAAGACAAACAGATGAATTTTGACTGGCTACAGGCGGGCCACCAGGTCCCTGGAAGTCCTGGACGCGAACTCTTCCGGGTACTTCTCGTTGATCTCCTCGTAGGTCATCTCTTCGCAGACACCCTCCAAGATGAACTAAAATTCGTTCATAAACCTTTTCGCCCAGTGTCCTCAAATGGGGGCAGCCTATCCTTATATGATTTCTATACAGCTCTGATTGGTTTCACTCCAATATCACATAAACTCTCATCATGATGGTATGTTATCGAAAATGAACACGCTTGCAGCCATGTGAAGATAAACAAATGAATTTTGACGGGCTCCAGAGGGGCCACCAGGTCCTCGTAGCACTCCCCTCGCGGGTACCGATAAGCGAACTTGTTCACATCTCTGGACGCGAACTCTTCCGGGTACTTTTCGTTGATCTCCTCGCAGGTCATCTCTTCGCAAGCGCCCTTCAAGAAAAACCGAAATTCGATCATAAACCCTTCCGCTTAGGGTGTCCTCAACTGGGAACAGCCTATTCTAAGGAGATATTCATACAGTTCAGATTGGTTTCACTCCAATCTCACATCAAACTCCCATCATGATAGTATGTTATTGAAAATGAACACGCTCGCAGCCATGTGAAGATGAACAAATGAATTTTGAAGGGCTCCAGACGGGCCACCAGGTCCTCATAGCTCTCCCCTCAAGATTACCGATAAGGCAACTTGTTCACGTCTCTGGACGCGAACTCTTCCGGGTTCTTCTTGTTGATCTCCTCGTAGGTCATCTCTTCGCAGACGTTCTTGAATTAAAACCGAAATTCAATCATGAACTTTTTCGCTCAGGGTGTCCTCAAATGGGGACAGCCTATCCTAATATGATTTCTATACAGCTCAGATTGGTTTCACTCCAATCTCAGATCAAACTCTCATCATGATAGTATGTTATGGAAAATGAACACGCTCGCAGCCATGTGAAGACTATAACAGGTGGATATTTCCGGGCTCCAAACGGGCCAAAAACTTATCAAAAACCTTGGACCATTCAGGAAATCACTCCACTCAAATGGATTGCTAATGGCCTATTTCAACTATGTGTGGGAAAGACGCCAACAATGAACGAAATGGGCAAGATTCTTCCTTAGCATATGTCAGCATTTCACAGTTGAATAAGGCGGAAATTTTTAAACCCTATGCTGCAATCACTCAATTTCACTAGAGAAAAAACGAGTATCTGGATATTGTGGATCAGCAATAACAGCATTCAGGTAATGATCTCATCTTCGAAAAATTGAAAACATGTCAAAGAATAATTTGATTTGAATACATTGAAACAAAAACGATCAAAATTCGGTGCATTGCTGGATTCAAGCTATATAGCTCAAAAGCTATACAACTTTGAAGTACTGGCAATTTACAATATTTTGAACGTTTTTGTGAAATGGAAAGTCTTGACCTTGTGAGCCATGGAATATTTGTGACATCAGCTAATATTTTCATAGGGAAATGTAAAACTGAAATGATATTACACAAGGTTCTATTTTAAGCCCACTTCTCTGTATTATATACCTAATGGAGGTCGGAGCAAAAAAAAACAGATTACTAGCGTGTGTGTTCTGTTCTCGACTTGCAAGACCATGGCATACTCGTCATATGAACAGATATATAGAATTTAAGAAAATGAATCCACAAAAAACGAGTCCTAGAATTGATGTTCCACAAGGTCCTATCCTGGGCCCACTTCTCTGTATCATTTACCCACACGGATGATTCTATTATTTTCACACTCACAGCGTCTATTTCGTTGAGAGCCTTCCATCTCTCCTGAGGTACGTTCAGGCCGGAGACCGTCTGGATTGTCCTTTTGAGCCAAGAAGTCCAAATTCTCAGACCGTCTATCTTTTGTTCTTGAATGTAATTCGCCAAAGAGTCGGCGTATTTTCTGCCTCTCGCACTCAAATCTGAGTCTCCTCCGATTCGTCCCAATAAGTTCTGTTCACTTTCACCATGCTAAAAAGAATAAAGTTCTCTATATTATTTCGGAAAATTCGGGGGAAATAATATGAGATTGATATATAGGGTGTTCTCTAAGTTTAGGCGTTTTTCAGATGATGTAGAAATCATTGAAATATACAGATCCACCAAAAAATATCGCCTCAAAAAAAGTTTAGTAATAACGGAGACATCATCAAATGAACATTTCTCACATTTTGAATGAGTTCAAGTACGGTCCTGGCCACACAAATCGGATTGTCTTTCTCATTTTTCTGTATATAGTCGAACAATGTAGCACTTTAGGAAAATAATGATTAAATGCTTTTGACTTACGGTGAGAGTCGCGAAAGTGCAGGAGTAGCATTTGGTGCACTCTGTAGCCAGATGATCATTCAAATTCTAAGAATTATTATACACGGTGACTTGAAAATTCAAAATATTCAAAAATTGTAATGTTGATAATAATATGAGATATTATTTTGAAAATTGACATAGGAGTATTTGTGACAAGTACTAATAGATTGCCTACATTAAATTTTTTGTAAAAAATGCCTAATCAAATTCAAGATTCACTATATAGGGTGAACAACTATGAATTGCCGTCGGCAACGAATAGTGATACAATGTTGATTTCTAAAATAAACGCTAGGTGGCGTAACGGCTATGAGTAAAGAGGAACTTGAAATTTTCTCCTCATTTAGTAGAAACAAGGTGTACTGAAAATATATGCAGTTTGATCCTTGATTGTTCTGTTCCACACTTTTTGTCCCATCTCAAAAAGTAAAGTGGTGGGTGAACGTAAAATTATTTTTTTTCTGAACGTCTGTAACTCTGGTAATTTTCTACAGAATTCAACGTTCTTTGGATCGTTGTGTAGGCCTCTTTCTGTTCTATCAACTGGCATTTGAATTAGTTTCATATTCATATTACCGTTGCCGCTAGATGGCGTGATATAGAGTACTAAAGCTACTCTTACATTACAGCCTTTTCATAGAAATTGCTGGCAACTGAATTGCTGGTCTTTGTTAAACAATAATTGCGCATGCGTTTCGGCCTATTTTCACTGCAACTTTCAGGCTTGAAATATATAGAAATGTTTCTAATTTTGAAGGTCATTCACGCGCAACTTTGCATATTTTTAGTGATTTTAGATTGACAACTTAATTATCGTGTTGGTGGTTCTGTATAATGGTCGACTATAAAGTAGAAGAAGAAGAAGAATCATTTTAATCATCAATCAATTTTAACTAATAACTTATCAAATGTAGGCTCATCCATTCTCAGATAGTTTTTAAAAGCTTTGAAGTCATTACACTCTTTGAATTCATTAGTTATTCTTAAGTTTCCCATTGTTTTATTTAACCATGGTTTGTTCCAACAGGATCTATTCCTCCTGTTTTCCATGCGCCTTTTTATGTAAGTGGCAAGAGCAGCAGTAGTAGTAATTGCCATGAGTAAAACTTGTATTTTTTCTTTATCCATTTTCAAAATGAATTTCCACCCAATTTCGCTTGACTTGTTTTTCTTGAAATATCAACAACTTATAATGTCAAAAATGATGTCAAATTTCAACGTCCATAGTTCGAAAACTCTGAAAAAGTCTTGGAAAATGTCCCAAATGTAAGAAGACTAGTTTCTCTAGTTTTTAATTTTGCGTGCAATTTATATTGCTTGCAATAAAGTTGCTGCAAAAAGGCTGTAATGTAAGAGTAGCTTAATGGATATTCAAATGATGAAATAGAGAAACTAAATCTCAACAGACCAACGAAAACCGCAACATGGTTGGAAGAATGATTGAAGGCAGCCGTTCTTAGTTGTGCACCCTGTACAATGACGAAACAGAGTTATTTTATTTCATTAATTATATTTGCAATATTTTACCCGTGTCAAATAAATCGTCCTGGGTGTGATGTGAATATTCATCAGATAGTAAACGATCCTAGCTTGGACATGTCCCTCGTGCTTGTGCACGACAACTTTTTGGCCGGTATTGTATATTTTCATGAACGACACGTCCTTTTCTCGTTCCTCGTCCAAAGAGCAGTACTTCTCCTCGTAGTGTTCGATTCTCTGTAGAAAATCGGCCAACGCCGCATCTTTATTCATGTTCGTGTAATCCGGGCTGCTCACTTTCACTTCCATTATATTTTGCTCGATGATTCCAGGATCATCACAATACTACGAAAAAACAGAAAAAAATAAGATGTCTGTTAGGCAATAAATATGTTGGAACTGTGACAGATGACAAGAGAGGTGATACTACTGGAGTAATAAAATGATAAGTACGTGCTTATAATATGCTGTTTTTACGTAGGAGCGGCAGTGATTTTGTCGATTTCTCCATCGATTCAACCTCTGCAAAATATTGAAAAATTTTCCATACTTACTCCCAATTTGATGGAACATTTTTGAGATTTTTTTCAAGCATGTTTTCATAATTCTCAAGCATATTCCTCGAAATGGTTTCAAAATTATTCTCTTATATTTCCAGATTTTCGAGAAAACGATCGTTCTTCGACAAATGTGATAATTTGTACTACTGACCAGAAATATTCTTATTCGCAGCTCAAATATCACAGATTTTGTCTTGGAGCTTGGAGCTATTGTGACCTTTATTGTAATCTTATATATTGTTTATATACAGTGTTTGGCAACAATCTATTTGATAGATATCATTACAGGAAGACCGAGCACAACACATTGATCAACTTGTATAGTGTTCGAGATTGAATGACAGCAACTCAACATCTCAGTTCTTGCTTTATTTCACTTTTTGAGTAAACAAAGTCAACTTCTTCAAAATTTCTATTTAGGGGAATAAGCAGGTTATTGTGAATCACCTCGTATATTCTACACTGAGCAACATTCCAATGATGAGTTAGGATGAGAGAGATGAGTAAGAATTCATTGATAGATCACATACATTTTTGAACTCTCAAAGTTTCATTGTATAAAACTTCCATCAATCTTGTACCTCTTGTGTCACCCTGTATATTCTTTCTTCCGTTTTTATTCTGTAACTTCAAGGAAAGTTGCTCATTCAATCTCGAACACTATACAAGTTGATCAATCTTTTTCTCGAAAATCTGGAAAGATAAGAGAACAAATGCGAAACCATTTCGAGGAACATGGTCGGGAATTATAAGAATATGCTTGAAAAAAATCTCAAAAATTTTCCATCAAATTGGGAGTAAGGAGAATTTTTCAATATTTTGCAGAGGTTTGTTTGTCACCCTGTATAGCCAGAAGTAACCATGTATTTCCATCAGCGGTCTTTCTGTCACACACCCAATGGATCAATCTTCAGAATAAAGAAAATCGCACCCGAATAAGTGGAATTCTCGCGAATATATTCACCAATGTTGAATTTACAGCAAAATGTGCTCGATGGGGTTCGATTGATCAGCAATTTAGTATAGGTACTCGTACAGCTTGACCATTTTAGCTTGGCCTCTGAGAATTGGATGCGCAGTAGACCAGTCGGCAGAGTGGGACGAGAGCTTGTTGGCTTTGCCATGAAATGAAAGACATTATCACGTAATTATTGTGTCCTGTACAAATGATCACTCCGTATATGAATACCACTGATGCCGAGAGCCGAGAAATGCGTTGTAACAGCTGCCTCGGACTTTGCTGAATCATCTGAGAAGTATGAAATGTTCGATAATGAGATATGAATCATAATATACAAGATTCCAAATCTAAGCCAGAAGCATCAGATCGAAACCATCATCCGAGTGTGATAGTTGCTCTGATACGACCAAACTGTTTTAGTAATAATTATTGTTCAAGAAGTATTGTGTTGTCTAGTTAAGTGTGTAATAAAGTTGTTCAGTGAATTATTCATCGTAGTGGTCATTCCTGACAATAGCCTGAGAAAAAGGGGGTATACAGAGTGTGTTATTAAGAGACTACCCCTTTTTCTCTAACAAGCTCATGATTGTCCAGGAACTGCTTTAGTGAACATCGGTTAGAACAGTACAGAAAGATTGAACTTTCTAATAAAAAGGCGTAGTGGATCTTTGTCGCACACTAAACATCTCTGTTTATCGTTTGCGTATCTCAGGGGCCAAGCTAGAATGGTCAATTGCCCATTTTTAGCCCATTTAGCCGACAATCGGGTCGATTCTGTTTGCAAATAGCAATATGGTTGTAGAGAAGATATTGCTATCATAGCAAGATTTGAAAAAATGGAATTCTAATCATCGATTTTTGGCAATATGATCTGTCAATTTCAATGACACCTGGTCAGCTTTCTTGCTATCTCGGCAACATCAATTTCGTGCTTGCTATCTCATAACAAGGTAGTGGATTCTTTGTTTTTGCACTACAAATTCTTCCAACTGTATGAAAATTCAGAAAATAGTGGATTGAAAACATATGAGAGTTCAGTTGTGTCAATGACTAGTCGAAAACCTTTCCTCAAACTTTCAATTTTGTAGAAGAATTATTGAAAATCTTTGAATGGTGATTACAAACATATAGGATAGGTTCACTACCGTGACCAACTACTTGAAAACCTTTTCTTGTAGTTCCAATTTGTAGAGGAAATATGAGACTACAATTTCGGCATATCAGAGAAATTTCAGTTGCCTGATGGATAGTTTATCAAGCTATTTTGCTAGAATATTTTAAAAAAATCACGATTTGTTTCATCCGGCTTTTAGTTGTTTTCTCATTTCGGGGACATGATTGATTACTTGCACCAGTTGCACAACGACGACCAGAATGTGCAGGACTCCAGGACTGACTAATTTGAGAGGTTAGATAATCATGAACTCTTCTTCTTCATGAAATAATGGCAAAATCGATACCTAACACTTATTAAACAATGAGTTGAAAACAGTGTTGTCAGCTCAAAAATTATCAATATTTCAACATTATTGCTATCACTTGAACTTATAACCAGTCTTGCAGTTACTCTGCAAACAGAATACAGAACTTCATAGCAAGATTGTTATATGTTATGCTCATAACAATATTATTATCTTAGCAATGTTATAACAATATCCGAACAGAATCGACCCGAATGGCTAGAGTACTACGCTTTACATACATTCCTTATGGAATATGGTATGGCGTGGCCTGAGGCGATGACAAAATAATCTTAGCTTGGATTTTCGATCAGAGTTGAATTTTTTTTCAAAGTATATTCTTCATTCTCATTATGAAATGAAAGAGACTGGCGTGAGCGGCCCACCCATTGGAATGGGCGTGTACACCTTAGTAGAACTTTCAACTCAAACCATGTTTATAATGATCCTTTTATACATAAATAATGATTAACGACATGATTCGATCGAAAAATTAACTGGAATGTTTTATTTTTGGACATAAATAATAGTACCTTCTGAAATCGGACCCTCTTATGACGTAGAAACCACATATCTCGCCATAGTTAGAAGAGCATTTCCGTAGTGAAGCTACTGTTTCTCTACAGGAAATGAACTTCGCCCTTTATTTTCGAAAAATATGTTTATTTGTATTCACAAAATGTATGAGTATTACTTGAAAATAATAAAGACCTTTATTATTATTATTATTATTATTAAAATACCAAACGCCCGACGGAGACTGAGGCAACTGATACATTAATTCTTTCAACTGTGATCTCGCGCTAATTCACTCTGTCAGAAATCATGTATTATTCGTCTCTGTCTGGAATAGTCTTGTTTCAGTATTAGGGTTTTGACGTCACATCATCGCCTCGTTGTCAGAGGTCCGAAAAATCGGGGATTTCAATAATTTTTTTATAAAACGTAGGGAGCTCACAGCAAGAAACGGTTTGCGGTGGTGAGCTAGTTTGGATGAGTTCTATCGAATTATGAATTTTTTTTTGTGATATAAGCCCATTGGCATGGCAGTCAAAGTATTAAGATTCAAGAAAAAAGATAAAAGTTGGTCAGCTTCTTGAATGCTTGAATTATGATGTATTGAAAAAGCGAGATTGATTCTGGCTTAGATAGGTTGTGCATCATGAAACCATCAGTATGATTAAGTGAAATTCCTAAACTCGATATACCGGGTGACACAGGGTATCGGGCCACCCCTGTAACTTCTGCATTCGTCAACGGATTTTTCTGAAATTCGGTAAAGTTATATAAGCAATTATTTCGGATTTGATCACATCACAATCCAATATGGCGGACTTCCGGTATTTCTGGAAATGCCAGCAACTTTGTTTTTTAAAATAAAACACCCTGTATATTTTTACATATTCAAGTTCAACAGGACGAAACAAGTGCAATCTTTATTTCAAATGTCATTTTTTCGAAAAAATTTAAATTAAAATTGTTTTTTCATTTCACCTCGTGGATAAATGAGATGTGGTCAAGACTATTCACAATGAGTCACACATAACAGAAGAACATAATTTTTTCTGAAAACTAATTTTTTGTGTCACTTATCCAGGAATCAATACAGCCACATCACTTTTTGATCAGAAATTATTTTTTTCAAATTCATTTTTGTTTTTCGGTGCAGTAACAAATTGTATACATTCAAAAATCAACAACTAGTTTATGAATTTCCTTGCAGTTAGAATAATTTTTCAACTAGGTAGGCTGTGGAATAAATGACATTTGACATCAAGATTGCACTTGTTTTGACTTGTTGAACTTGAATATGTAAAAATATACAGAGTGTTTCATTTGAAAAAACAAAGTTGCTGGCATTTCCAGAAATACCGGAAGTCCGCCATATTGGATTGTAATGTGATCAAACCCGAAATAGTTGCTTATATAACTGTACAAAATTTCAGACAAATCCGTCGACGAATGCAGAAGTTACTTACAGGGGTGGCCCAATAACCTGTGTCACCCGGTATATCGGTGGTGACCTACCGATTCGACGAAGAACAATTTGAAGCCCATTTTGTTGACCACGTAGTCCTGGATGAGCTTCCGCCTGTCCTTGGTGGAATTGGTGCCGTCGAAAACGGCCACTTCCCCCCCGCTTTCCAGCCACTGGCACACGTCATGCAGGGCTTCGTTGGCGCATTGGGTCCTGATGGCCATCGCCTCGGCATTATCGGGCCTGAAAAAAGATACATCTTGCGACATATCCGACCTTATCGGCTATTAAGGATGCCGATTCTGGAAGCGATTTTCCAGAGATCGATCAATTTTGCTCAACAAAATCGGAAATTGAATTATAATAATTTGAAGATAAATAATTCAGTGGCGGCTCCTCAGAGGAGGCAACGGAGGCTGAGCCTCCTCAAAGATTCTCCTTAAACTGATATTACTATTCTTTCTCATTAAAAGGACACCAAAATACATGGATTTTGATTTTATTTCCTGTCTAGGTGAATATTTTTGATTTGGCAACAGTGCTTGCCCACACATCATACGTTGAAGTCTACAAATCACGCGTAAAATATTCAACTTGGCAACATCTATAGGAGGCTAGACTCCTTCATAATGCGCAACTCACGTGCAAATGCCCGAATACGCCCCTCGATACGCCCGAATAGCGTGTTTGTCGTGTCGCTTCGCGAATTGCGGACAATCCAGCGCGAGTGCATTGCATTGTTTATGTTAGGTTAATGGTTAGGGGCTCTATAAATTTCTGAAAAATGAGTGTTTTAAACGATTGCGATTTAGTGGAATACTTTTTGGTCAACCCATTCAGTGCTTTGTCTTATGAAGATAAATTGATTGTGAAAAACAAACGTCCGACACCGGAATTAAAAAATCTGATTGTAACAGGTAGCAAACAAAATCGTTCGTTCAATCCTGATTATTTATTATTATTATTATAAAAAATATATCTGGTTGACGGCATCTGAGGTAAGGAATAAGCTATTTTGTTGTTCAACCGATAAGTCATCATGTTGGGGGCGATCAGGATATAATGATTCGAAAAATTTGCCTCGCGGATTTGGATAGACACTGCAAATCACAGGAACACATCTCTTCAAGTATTGAGTTCAGGTTGACTGGTAAACAGAATGTCATTAAAGCTATTGATTTGGGTGAGTCGTAGAGAGTTGTTTTTCACAATAAATCTCATATCATTCAGCCTCCTCTGTCATGAAAGTCACGAGCCGCCACTGAAATAATTCTATATTCCAGAGATAAAAGTCAGAATTATCGTAATTCGGAGATAAAAGTCAGATCGAATTATCCAATAATTCAAAGATAAAAATCAGAATGATTCAAAAACTATTTTAGCTCAGAAATGAACGTCAGAATTATTTTATAATTCGTATATAAAAGTCATAATTATTATATTTCTGAGATGAAAGTCAGAGTTATAATAATTCGGCTGTGATATCTGTTTAGATATAAAATCAGAATGATTCAAAGACTATTTATTTTAGCTCAGAGATGAACGTCAGAATTATTTTAAAATTCGTATATAAAAGTCGAAATTATTATATTTCTGAGATGAAAGTCAGAATTATAATAATTCGGAGATGAAAGTCAGAATTATTACAATTCGGAGAGAGATAAATATCGGAATTATTCTATAATTTGGAGATAAAGGTCGGTATAATCATTATAGTTCAAAGATAATAGTCAGAATTATTATAATTCGGAGATAATGTTGTTCTACTCTCCAAAACATTAGGGGAAAGTTGAAATTGTTGATTTTTTTTAACGTGAGATCTTATTCAACAAGTTGTGATTGTGACAGTTGCATACTTTTTTATGTATATATACTTGTGTTTACCTGTAATGTTTTTCTCTTTAATACTTACTACTAATGTGATGACTATTCCTATTCAAATGTATTTGTCATAAAGGAAAATGAAGTATTATTATTATTATTATCTTCTGAATGGTCGAGAACCCTAGACCAAATTCCAAGAATGGTGAAACAATTCGCCAGGAATGCGACAGGCAACAGAGCCATTAAAAAAACATCTCCAATTATCACATAATATCAACTGAGCCAGAACCGAAGTTCAACTAGAATATGTTAGTGCCATTAGTGGAACTTCTCACAGGACATTGTAGGCTCAGCAGAAACATGAGTACAATAGGTTTGGCTGAAGGACTGCTGTGCAGGTTTTATGAGGAAGAGGAGGACACATCATTTCACATACTTTGCCACTGTGTGAGGGCTTGTCAAGACTAAGGCTCCTTATGCTGGCAGAGAAAGAACCAGAAGCCTATTTTGTCTATCTCTTGGGGCATCAAAAACATGGGTACAATAGTTCTGGCTGAAGGATTGCTGTGCAGGTTTTATCAGGAAGAGGAGGACACATAAAATCCTTTTTTTTCTATCTCTGGGGGTGCACGAAAAGGAATCCCTATAATGTTCGGAGAACACATCGTGCGTACCTAAGGAGGATAAGGAGAGGAGGTAGCTGACCTGGCGTCACAAACTGAGTTTCTATTGAGGTATATTACGAGGTACATATATTAGAGAGGTCAGTTGAAGACGGTTGAAGAATAAGATTTCGAGAGCAGAAACAACTGAAAAAGTTCGCGGTGTGAAGACAGATAGCCTTAAGGCCCCAATCTAATCCAATCTGTACCTGAAAAAATCGTGGTTTTTGTATGCTGATGTCGCGTGCCTCCTGTACTCTCCTAGATTGAACACCTTGGTGTTGATACCTATCCAGTTCAGGTATCGGGACAGCTTCTTGGATATGTAGGTCTTGCCTCTGGCTGGAAGACCCACCATAGCGATCACATGGGGGCTGTTCACATAGTTCACTCTTTCGCCTGAAATCAATGATAAACAGGGTGCGGTTAAACAAACAGTGCATTTTGAAGGGGTTTGAAAAGAAATTGGCACTGTTTGTTTTGCCACACCTTGTATCTGATATATTCAACTGAGAAATATGCTCTTTAAATCTTGTGCCAATGCTCCAAGGTGTTTGCCCACTATATTTCATGTTGAAGAGATCACAATTCATTTCATATGGAATAATATATTGGGCGAACAGGTTGAGGCAATGTCACAAGATTCAAAGAACATCCCGGTATATCCGTGAAAAAAAATAATTTATGAAAAGTGGCATGTTTCAACCTGTCAGCAGAGATGAAATGTTTAACTTCTTTCCCGTCCCGGAAAAAAATAATTTCTTCGACTTCGACGCAATCCGCCGGTCTTTAAACCCCGGAAAAAGGACCAAAAATTCATATTTATGGGACGATTTTCTTCATTTTGTATTGCCGAGGAATAGTATATCTGACACCAAGAATAAAAATGAACAGGTACCTATTCTGACCGAAATGGCTCTGGTGAAAACTCGTCGTTTATCATCAATTTTGTTACTCATCACTCTCAGTTGCTTTCAGCACCACTTTTTATCACTAAACTGCACTAAACTGAAATTGAGTTCATAACATCGTACATGCGATTATTTAGCATGTTTTGGAAACAAAGCACTTTGGTTGCTCATTGCCAGCTGGTTACCTGATTTTTCACTACATGAACAATATGGATAATAAACGGGGTTTGATAGCAAAGATTCGTGAAACAACCGACTCAATAACTTCGGTTATAGATAGATTTCGGATTCGCGTAAAAATAGATTTTTTAAGCCAGCGGTAAATGAGATAAAATGGCAACAACAAATTTCTGCGAGCACGTATGTAATAATGAGCAGATATTACACAAATCCTTTGAGAAACGAACTTTGGACTTTGGTCATAGGTAGTTATTTCCATTCATTCGATTTAATTAATTGTTTCATAATTCCACTTCAGTAGTGTAGGACTAGGACCTTGAGTTCCAATTTTCTTTATTTATCATTACTATTTCTATCATTATTATAATGCTTAACCAATTTCAGTTTCACATATTTTCATATTTTTGCACTTTCGGATGCCCTTCAGTCTTTTTCTCCCTTTGTATCTTCGAATTTAACCATTTGATCCCTATACTCTTATGGTCTCGCTACTGGTCGAATAGAATTTAAACATCCGCAGGTTATCAGTTATTTTCATAGTTATTGAGGAAGCCATCAACATTGAGCTTATCAAAAACATCTGGGAAGTACAGGAATTGTGAATGATCGTCAATATGGCTTTCGCCATTGTAGATCAACTAGAGATTTAATCGCTGAACTTATAGATATATCATCAACTAAAAGAAATAATCTTTGGTAGAAGTCCAAAGTTTCTCAAGGTGTCCGTGGAATACCACTCGATTGGGCTAAATCATATCTATCGAATCGAACACAAATCAATGTTTAATATCATCAAATCCCAACCAAGAGAGTCCAGGCCAGGAGTCCCCCAGGGGTCAATCCTAGGTCCCTTATTTTTTATTATATTTACATTTGATATCAGAAGGTGCTGCAACCTTTCAAAACAAATGGTACTGTATGCTGACGATACCAATATCTTGATGTCCAATAAGGATACTGAACAACTAGTTACAAATAGTAACGCAGCGTCTGAAGAATCAAAATCGACTTCAACTTAATGTTACAAAAACATGTTTCATGCGATTCATACCACGAAATGTATCACCAGATTATGACCTCTACTTACATATTCAAGGCAAATCAATTCGAACCACAGATACTATAAAGTTTTTGGGAATCACACTTGATCCAAATTTGACATGGGTGCCACATATAGGCAGAGTTTGTTTTAAACTAAGTACATGCTGCTATATAATTAGAAATTTAAGAGAAACAGTATCGTTTGACGTACTCAGACTGTTGTATTTTGGCCTGGTACAATCAACTTTACAATATGGACTGATATTTTGGGGATTATCAGCAGACTTTGAAAAAGCTTTCATCGCTCAGAAAAAAATCATATGAACCATGGTCAATGTTCATCCATCGACTACCTGTAATAATCTCTTCACTAGAGCACAAATAATGACTTTACCTAGCCTATTTATCTATTGCTTGGTTATCTACATTCGAGCTAATGAGCATAAGTTTGAGAAGAATGAGGATATACACTCGCATAATACAAGAACAAAATGTAATATTCATCAAAGTTACTACTCACGTTTACAAATATGTCAAAATTCACCTAATTACATAGGAATCAAAATATACAGGGTGGGCCACCAGTAACGCCTCGGTCTCTAGAAGGCTAACCATTCATCTTCTTGGAATTCTTCCTCTCTAGGAAGTTGCATGTCAACATAGGCTACCATTTGAAATTATTTCGAAACATACAGGGTGTCCCCAAAAACCATAAAACACTGAAGTTAAACTTTTTTCTATCGAACACCCTATATATTATTTTATTTTGAGATTCTCCCTGATAAGCTGATATCAACGACCCATCATACTTGGGGTCTAGCAGTTATAATTACTGAAATATAGGGTGTGAAAAATCGAGATTTTCCAAGTTCAAGAATTTTTTGTGTCGAAACTATTCATAATTGGTCAAAACGGCTTGCATGTCCCTATCTCAACTTTTGATTAACTATCTACTGATATTTAATTGGGACATATACCGGGTGATCAAGATTCTGAATTCTGCACCACCATGTATTTGTTTCAATTAAATGTCAGTAGATAGTTGATCAAAAGTTGAGATAGGGACATGTGAGCCGTTTTGACTAATTATGAATGGTTTAGACACAAAAAATTCTTGAACTTGGAAAATCTCGATTTCTCACACCCTATATCTCAGTAATTATAACTGCTAGATCCCAAGTATGATTGTTGAAATCAGCTCACCAGGGAGAATCTCAAAATGAAATAATATATAGGGTGTTCGATTGAAAAAAGTTCAACTTCAGTGTTTTGTGATTTTTGGGGACATCCTGTATGTTTCAAAATAATTTCAAATGGTAGCCTATGTTGACATGCAACTTCCTAGAGAGAAAGAATTCCAAGAAGATAAGTGGTTAGCCTTCTAGAGACCGAGGCGTTACTGGTGGCCCACCCTGTATAATAAGTTTAAACTTATATACAAAAATTATGAAAACTGTAACATATCATTTGAGACTAAACTCAAAAGTTTTCTACTTGAAAATGCATTCTATTCCATAGAGCATTTTCTTCAGTTTTGAAATGGTTGGTTGTTGTGAACGTATTAATAATGATTACTTCGAAATGATTTTAACTTATATTTTAATCAGTTTGTGAATGTATTCATATTGATTATTTGTTATCATTATGTTCGATTTTAAAACTACTATCAACTGGTATCTTGACTAGGCTGATAAGTGTTATCCATTTTACTTATGTACAACCTCTTATGCTGCAATAAATCATATCATATCATATCAATACAATATGCGCATGTTTGCAATATGCGCACGGGCCGTAGTTTGGTTATTTTATGAACGATAGCAGCACACATCATACACACAACACACAGTTTTCTGTAAACCTACTCTAAGATTTTAGTCGGTTAGACAGCAAGTTGCAAGCGTTATCATCTGGTGTCGCTAAAAATCATTTTTTGAAGACGCCGGTATAATATTTCCAGGTTAAGATTTTTATTATTGAGTTGTAAAAGACATTGTTAATGAACTGCAATATTTTATGTTCCATACATGGGTATTGAAGCTTAGATTGTGGTGGAAAACAATTTAATTGAGGTAATACTCAAGACAAAAACATAACCTAACCTAATTTAACTTCATGTGTAGCAGTATGCCCACCATGCGGAGTTGTCAATATGCACATGGGCTACGCTACAGTACCTAAATCTACGTCAGCACCTAAAATAAGTGTCAGATGAATGGAATATATCTTATGCGCTTGTGCATTATCTGCCAAGAAGATGTTGAGGATTGTGTGCGTTTAATAACTAAGGACATTCAATACATTTTCTTACTGTAGCTGACGTCACCTCTGTTGAAATTTCCATGCGGTAGGCACAATCAGGCAAAGTTCAATCATTTAAATTGTTTTAAAGATGTGTACTTCATTTTTTTCTCGTATTCTGTTGAATTTTTGGGATGAAATTTCACGTTAATCAGAAGAATTAGAAGAAATCAGATATCATGGGAATATTCCTTAGACTGTATCATATTATTGTGCTGAATATGTGCACTTATTTCAAAAAAACCTTGTATATATATATATAAAATAAACAATAACTTTAGAAACAGTTCCAAAGGAAATCTTCCTAGGTGAGGTTGCAGTCAAAATTTTGGCCTTGATGAGAGGACTCTTTGTTACTTAGCAGAGCTTTCGGAAATGTTTATTTCCTTTATCAAGACAACTATAAAAAATAATGGTCTCGTTTTTCCGTTTTTTCTCGAAAACGAAGCGTTCTATCGAGTATCAACAAAAGAGGATCTTTTTTTCACATAATCAAGTAGCCTTTTATGACATTGTATGAAATTTGAAATTTTTTTGTCTTTTCTCACTTTGTAGTAAAATATAAACAATAATATTTCCGTAACGGTGCCACTGGTAGAGAAAATGAAAATTTTTGTACATCAGAAAATGCACATTGATGCATAAAAGACGTGTGCCAAATTTCATGAAGATGTATACAATAGGTATTATCTCAGTTATTATCAAAAAACTGAATATTTTTTAAAACGTCATCGCCCTGTATCTCAAAAGTTATGACATTTAGGACATACGTTCATATGAAGTTTTGTTCTTGAAATGAATATTAATTAGCATGTCTTTAAGGAACACCCTGTATATCCCCCTCACGTGTTGGCAACACTGCTCCTAACCTTCTCTAGTACTCTAGCGATAAATAAGCCATAAAGAATTCTATTCTAAATAATTACCCCTCTTTCAAGATTAACATACCAGGTGGTCCAAATGTTT